AACAAAGCATTGAAACGAGCCAAAAAATGCTACAAATAAAAAAAACAACACAGTTGTGCAATTGAGATAACAAAAGGGAAACTTGAAAAAAGGGGACGCGCGCTTTGCTTTTTGTATGACGCGTGTGCTATAAGCCTCACAAAAGGATATAAAACGGGCACAGCGCAGCGCTAGAATAATAAATAAGGCTTGTTGTTGTTGCTTTTGTTGCTGTTGTTCCTGGCGCAGCAGCTGAGGCCGTTGGCGAATTGAAATTTTATGAGAAAATGAAATTGTATTAGAAAATATGCTGCGTGAATCACGAGGCACGCATACACAGGCACATACTTACACAACACAGACACATACAAGCACACGCTTTAGTGAATAGGGGACGCGCATTATTGTGTTCTCTACGCGCTTTCGCTTCAGCCGACGTCAACAGCGACCGCAGGACGACGTCATCGCCAGCCAGTTAGCTGTTGTTGTTGCCTTAGCTGCTGCTGTTTGGTTCCTGTTTTCGCTTTTTACCGTTCAGTCAATGACCACATTGTGTACACAACGTGTGTGTGCATATGAGTATATGTATGTGTGTCTGCTCTTGTCCTGCCGGAAGTTGACGCCGCCGTTTGGTCATTCTCGTCGCTTTTGCTCAAGCTCGTTGCGACGCTCTGCCGCTCTCGGTCTTGCTCATTCTCATTCTTCCTCTCTCTCTCTCTGTCTCTTTCTCTTACTCGATGCTACGCTTGAGCTGCGTTTGTGAAAAACAAGTTTGTGAGTTTAGTTGCGCGCAGGATCCGGCTCCCCATAGGAAATGCACTTCAGCTCCTTTGCCTTAAAATATGCTGTTCAGTTCTTGCGCGTACGGCCTTTCGCGTCACGCTTTGATCCTGTCGCTGACGTTGCTGCTGTTCATTCCTCTTTCTCTTCCTCTTCCTTACTTCCTCCTAGCCATCACCCATGGCACATAGTATAGGCGTTGCCCAGCTAATGACATGTTGTAAATTATATTCCTTGTGCAACGTTTCGTTTCTCTTTCTTCTTGTAATTAGTTTGGTTTCGCTGTGCGCTGCGGCTGCTTACATTTTGTAAAGGCTTTTTCCTTATTTATTTTATTCCTCTTTTGTAGGTAGAAAATAATGTAAGGCTACCAGGATATCTTGTAAGGGGAATTGGCCAGACTGTGTAAAAGCACTAAGTGATCTTTTCAATTACCTACAGTTGCGAGATCATAATATCGAGTCAACTTTGTGGCTTGCTTAAATTTAATACAAATGAGGTGTCATTAAATATGCCTTTTGAAAATTGCTCAAAGATCTCTAAAGTTCTTTGTTTTTGAGAGACTTTTATATATGTATAATATCATATCTTACGATTACTACATAGCATTTTGCTTCATATAGTCAAGACTGATACGTTTCACGGTTTTCAAGAAGGAATTCTGAGAAAAGTTTTTTATATTATATTAGAAAAGTGACATAAATAATCGAATCATTCCAATTTAAATTTAAAATTGTAATAGATGGGATCAGATGTTATAGAGCCACTCATGATCTACGTTTTGACATGTAACATGTAAATGATTTTCGGCTTTCCCGGAAATTGAAAATTTCGTGCTGCGCGGAAACCATTCAAGTACCAGCTGAAAAGTATGTAGATTACCATAGATAGAACGGAACGGGATATCAGATCCTGTACCCAGATTATTGTAAGGAGTTCTGTAAATCGCGGACTAACACAAAGCGTAATTATGTATAAGCTAGGCGCAGTTTAACTGATACACAGTTTATCCTGCACTCTTTTTGTGACTTAGCTGTCGCTACGAGGGAAAAAGAGACACATGCAGAGAGAGAGAGAGAGGAGAATACGAAGCATAGTAAATTCGGTTGTTTTGTGAAGCATTCGCTGCAGCTCGTTTTTGCCAATAATTCACAAAACATTTGCTGCGCAAAAATCTATTGTTTGCTACGAACCAACTGCCGTTTTTCCTCTGCATTTTCCACACACAAACATACACACACCTATTTGTATATCAAGCATTATCCTGTCAAACTTGTTTTTGCTCTCGTTATTGTGAACGTTCGCTCTCGGTTTTCCTTGCACATTACGCTTTAGTACCGTCATTCGCATTAAAAGGACAACGCTCTATGTCTGTGTCTGGCTGTTTGCCTGTGTGTGTGTGTGTGTGTGTGTGTGTACTGCCGCAGTCAGCGTCGCAGTCGCTATCGCTTGGCTGCGCTGCTTCGTCCTCGCCAGGCACGTCTTAGTTTCAGTTTACGCTCGCAGCTCCGACAGCTCAGAACATGTTGCTGATCCGCGCCCGTTGCCGTGTGTGTGTTTAAAGCAGCAGTTCATAATATACACATAATATAAATACATGTACATATACATATACAAACATACATATTTCTAACAACGGCAAAATCTTAATATTATATTGAGAGCTCAGCCTCAGCCGGCAGTTTAAAAAAAAATAAAAAATACGAAAAAAAATTAGAGGTGCAGACACTCGGCAAATGTTGCAGGCCAACATTTTTTTATACAGTAACAAGTTACAGTTATAAGCTCGCAAATAATTCCGTGTCAAACAAACAACAACAAATTGTGCAATTGTGCAAAATAAAGCGAGCGCCAGCCGAAAGAAAAAAGCAGAGAGCGAGTGTGTGTGAGAGCGAGCATAATTTGCAAGAGAGAGCGCCTGAGCGTAAGCAACAAAAAGCAAGTAGAAAAAAGTGTAGCACACAAAAAGAGTGACAAAACAGAAGCAGAAGACAAGAAAAAGTTCTTTCTGTTCCACCAAAAAGCCAAAAATACTACAAAAGCAAAATGTGCAATAAACTACAAAAACAAAGCTAATTCAACAAATAAATAACAGTAGTGGGATTACACGATCCAGAGATCAAGAATAAGAATACGATCGGGAGGCTGCATTTAAATTAAAAATTACCGAAGCGCATACCCAAGTGAGTTTTAAATTTTTCAAACATTTTTCCCATACATATCCACTATGCATATTACTTATATACCTAAATGGCACACACGCACACACACCTATATAGACATACACACTTGTGTACATATATATGTACATGGATGGCATGGCAGTTGCTCTCTCTTTCTGTCTTTGCGTATGCGACTCGCTACTTTGCTACTCGCTCATTCGCGTGGACAGCATGTGCTCTCGCTTGCGCACACAGCGCGCACTCGTCGCTAAGGTTCTCTTTATTGTCCTCGTTGTCGTCCTCGTCGTCGTCTCATCGGGTGGTGGTACAGTTTTCTGCGTAGACCCAAAATTGCGTAAATTTTCATCCATGTAGTTTGCTTGCATGTCTCGCACGGCGTTGTACTCATCGTCTCTGTCGTTGTCGTCCTTGTTCCCGTTCGTTCTTTAAATTTGTTTATTCATCAATTTGTTTTTGGCTGCCAGTAAACATTATACATTTCGCAAAGAGGTTTGTACTTTGGTTTTTCTTATTGGGCGTGTTTCTCAAACGGTGTATCCTTTTTTATGCTGTTCGGCTGTTCGTTATTTTGTTCTGCGCCATTTTAATTGGGGTCCTTTATATTTTTCGTAGGTATGCAGCTGCAGGGGGATTAGTTGTAATTTACTTATTATGAAAAATTGGATTTCGACTCGCTTATCTAACATATTCAAACGGTTTCAGGACTTTTCCATCTGCAGTGTATAACAGTACTTGTGTTTGTAAATATATAGCTTAAGCTTTTCTTTGTACAATTCATAGATACATATAATATGTTCGTGTATGTATTGCATTAACCCAGAAAACGCAACTCGGCTGAATTAAAACCTACGAGGAGGACCTTAAAAGGATTAAGATGTAATAATTATGAGTATTGCAAATGCATTAAAAGAAGAAAGTTGAAACAGCAAAAGGATATTGTGATGATTAAATATAGTTATTTTAAGTATATAGAAAATAATAGACTTATTGGAAATGTTTCTTTAGACAAACCCTTTGGGTATTTTAGCATTTTGGAACAAATAGAAATAGAATAGTGTGAACTAGAACCGCCTGGAGTAGTGACCAATGCGTGCAGCAAAAACTCAATTGCTAGATAGATAGATTAATAGATTAATTACTTAGATAGCGAAAAATTAAGAAACAAATATGGATCAGAGTATTAATAAGTAAATTGTTAAAAAGATCAATGTTAATTTTATTTAAATATATAATATAACAGAATACTAGAAAATATTTCATTAGTCTTAGGCTAACTAATATATAATATTTATTTAAGAAAATAAATATAATTAATAATTCAATGAGTTTCGTGCTAGAACGACAATTTGAGACTTTTAACTAAAATGGTTAATAAGTAATGATCTTTATATATATTTATAAATGATCGCTGGTAAATGACGATGATAAATTTTAATTGAAAGGCAGATAATATGAATTGTTTTCCAACTATTTACTTATATTTTAAATAAAAACAACTCTTCGGAATTTATAAATTTTTATGATTTTTCAGGCTAAAAATTTGTACATACTTTATTTTAATATAATTACAATCCTAAACTTTCAGCGTTAAATGAAAAATAATTTTAATACAATTTTGTGGCACATATTTTGAACAATTTAAAAAAAAAAACAATATCTTTCGATTGTTATTTCTTTCTTGTAATATAATCGACATACAAGATCAATGCACCTTTTGAAGGCAGACTATTAAGACCGGCTGACTGGCTGCATATCCTGCCAGACTCTGAAGCCTGTTCGGCGCGCCTGCCTGCTGCTGCTGCTGTTCTTATTTCTGTTGTTGTTGTTGCCGGCTGTCCCATTGAAAAAGGGCGCTCGTAAATGAAGTTGCAGCTGTTCCTGTTTGCTTAGCAACAACAACAACAACAACGACAACAACAGCAAAGGCAGGAGCAGGAGGCAGGGCACGCACGCATTCATGTCAAGTCTTTGGCATCTGCGCTGGATTAATGCAGACAGCCGAGGCAGCGAATGTCTCGTTCTCTCTCTATACATATCCATCTCTTTTTTCTCTAACAGTTACAGATCGCGTTGATTAACGTAGACACAAAATTAAAAACAGAAAAAGAAACACAAAAATGACCGATATACCGCGTATTATGGTATTCCGTCCCACCTGGGAGGAGTTCAAGGACTTTCCCAAATACATAGCCTATATGGAGTCACAGGGCGCCCACAAAGCCGGCCTGGCCAAGGTGGTGCCGCCCGCCGAGTGGGTGCCACGTCGCAGTGGCTATGCGGATTTGGATGCCTTAAATGTAACAATTCCCGCACCCATTTGCCAGGTGGTTACTGGAAAACAGGGATATTATCAACAGATCAATATACAAAAGAAACCGCTGACGGTTAAACAATTTAGCGAATTGGCCAGCACCGAACGCTATGCCACGCCGAAGCACTTTGATTTCGAAGATCTGGAGCGCAAATATTGGAAGAATATAACCTATGTGGCTCCCATTTATGGCGCCGACGTTAGCGGCAGCATTACAGACTCTGATCAGGATGTAAGTGTTAAGCGGACCTAACTGAGTGTCCTTTTTCTTATGCCTCCACAATTTCTCACAGAGCTGGAACATAAATCGTTTGGGCAGCATATTGGACTTTGTCAACAAGGACTATAATATACAAATTGATGGCGTTAATACTGCCTACCTGTACTTTGGCATGTGGAAAACGACATTCGCCTGGCACACCGAGGACATGGACTTGTATTCGATCAACTATTTGCACTTTGGTGCGCCCAAAACGTGGTACGTGGTGCCGCCCGAGTATGGAAGGCGTCTGGAGAAGATCGCCAATCAGTATTTCCCGGCCAGCTATAAGAACTGTAATGCGTATTTGCGACATAAAATGACGCTTATTTCGCCACAGATACTTAAGCAACACAATGTGCCAGTCAGCAAGGTAAAACTAATATGGAAAACTAGTGCTGAAAACACTTGGGAGACAGTCTTCGAACTGGGCCTATGGGGGATTCTTTTCATATGTTGTTTTCCTTACTGCCCCGAACTAGCTTCCCTTTGCTAGGCAATTGCAATCGAGCATCTCTTTTTTTTAGCAGCTTTGAGTAGTAGCTTGAGCTTGAATCAAGTTAAACTGAGTATCCTGGAGATCTATTGATTAATGAACCAAACAGTTATGTAATTTAACTCATAGTCCACACACAATTTAGGGTCAAAATAATTGAAGCTGTTGCTTACAGATTCGCAGTTCCCTAAAATGGGGGCCTAATGTCCGCAGGCTTCATAATGAAGTAATTACTAATAAGAAGCTAGTTTCAGGCCAAACGAATCTCAATGTTCATATAATGCAAGAAGCTTTAAGTAGCTCCTCAAATGCTTTGATTACCTAAGCTGGAGAATCGTTTATTAAGTTGAGAAATATGACCCAGTTCGAATCCCAGACAGGCCTCATTCTAAGGTCCTGCGCTCAAATACTCAATACTTTACCCATGTTCCATACAGATTACCCAGGAATCGGGTGAGATTATGATTACGTTTCCTTTCGGCTACCATGCTGGCTTCAATCATGGCTTCAACTGCGCCGAGTCCACAAACTTTGCCATGGAACGCTGGATTGAGTACGGAAAGCGTGCAACGCAATGTACCTGCAGCAATGACATGGTCAAAATCTCAATGGACACATTTGTGAAACGTTTCCAGAGCGAACGTTACGATGCGTGGTTGGAGGGACGCGACCTTGGCCGTCATCCCGAGGATCCGCCCAATGTGGTGCCAACTGCGGCACCACTGCCACCGCATCTCGATGTCCTCCTGTGTGATAAGAAGTGGGTTGCAATCGCGCGCCCGAATCTAGACTAAAATACTAACAATTCCCCATTAATCACAGAATGAAGAAGCAATGCAATCCCACCAAGGCGAAGAGTTTCAAGGAGCGTAATCCTGATTTGGACTTGGATGAAATCCAACAGAATCCTAATGTGCCCGATGATGTAAAGGCCATGTTAAAAGAAAGCGTGCTAACGCTAAACGAAGAAGAAACTGAATACACGCCCGAGGATACAATGAGCCTTCAGAGTCCTGCCGACTTCAAGACCAAGCAGGAACTGCTCGAGTACATGGACGATGGCACTGGTAAGCCGCGCGGACTGCCAAACCTTCCAACAGCCAAACAGTAAATACTTTTCTTGTTTTGATTTCTTTATCTCCTCATTTTTGCAGAGGACGACGATGAGGAGGAGGACTTTAAGCGGCGCAAGCAAAAGCGTAAATATGATGCAGACTACGATGATGACTGGCTGGCGAGCAAGCGTCGCAATAGCTCACGCAACAGCAGTCGCGGTCGTAGTCCGCGCGCCAACAAAGACGATCGCTCCATCTCGCCGGCATCTTCCACATCCACGTCCTCCACATCGAGAGGGGCACGCGGCGGTGGTGCGCGTGCTAAAGCGAATTCCACGCCGCGCAAAACGCCCACAAAGCGGAAAAAGGAGGTGACAGCTAGCAGCAGCAGCAGCAGCGGCGGCAATGTGACTGCAGCAGCAGCAGCAGCAGCATCCCCATCAGACAGCACAGCAGCAACAGTTGCAGCAGTCACTGAGAGAAGCAGCAGCAGCAGCAGCGTTGGCGCAGGTGAGCGCAACAGCAGCGACAATTTGATCAGCAACAGCAACTGCAGCAGCAGCAACAGTAGCAACATCAGCAGCAGCAACAGCCACTGCAACGCCACAGTCACAACAACAACAAGCATAGTCACATAAGAATCACAGTCACCATCATCGTCGACAACATCCAGCTAATCCAGCCAACCATCATCCCAACAAAAACAAAATAACTATTGACTAACATTTTAATCCGACCGATCCCCCCTCATTCATAGCCGCTTTTGTCAGCATTTATTTTTTTATTCATCACCATCATCGTCGTCGTTTTAGTTGTCTCCTATTTGTCTTTTTCTTTTACTGTATTTGTACATTTGATTTGAATTAGAAATTTTTGCTAAAACTAAGTCGTCAAAGTTGTGTCCTAATTTGTAAGCGCCTGAGAAATATATGAGAGCACTCTAAACATATATATATAAATATAAATATATATATATAAAAGAAACTTTATGCTAAAAACTAACCAAAAACCAAAACTGTTTTACTAAAAAGGACACTATGCATGGGCTGCAAACGCAGCTCGACTTCTGGTTGGGCTTCGGTTTCAGTTTCAGTTTCAGTTTCGATTTGTTTCCGCTGCAGCTTCGTTCGCTTTTGCTACATATGTATATATGTGTGTGCGTATATGTATATACCAAGTGTGTGCGTGTGTGTGTGTGTATGTCGCTTCACAATCCCAAACGCTTAACTGCCGACATATAATAACCACATCCAACCAACATCAGCCAACATCACAAAAGAAAACAAACATAAAACTCCAAAATGCACATTAAATTCAAATTTCAAACGCATTTTTACAGATGCCAAACGCAGGCTCAACGAACAAACACAGCAACAGCCACAGCAGCAGCAACAACAACAGCAGCAACAGTTGCAATTCATGCAACAGTCGCGTAAATTCGAAGGCAAAATACCAAAACTAAGTCAGCAGCAGCAGCAGCAGCAGCCGCAGCAGCAACAACCGACAGCAGTAACAACATCTAGTCAGCAACAGCAACAGAAAATTGTTAGCATCAACATGTTGCCCGCAGCGAACACACTGAATGGCATTCCACAGCAGCAACACCAGCAGCAGCAGCAGCAATATACCAGCACAGATGGCAATGTCTATCAGCTGCAAAATGAAATTCTCTGTGATGCAAATGGACAGGCGACAACAGCAGCCACGGCCACATATCAGACAGCAGCCGCTGCCGTAGCCAGCAGCAATAGCAGTCCGCAGCAACATGTTGCTACCAGCGTTGCCGGTAAGTTACAATTTTTCTGATTCTGGCAATACTCGTACTCTCGAAAAAAGAAAAACCTTATCAATTGCGTTTGTCGTTTAATGTAGTTTGTTTTGTTTTGCTTACATTTTGTGTGCTCGTCTCTTTGGTTGTTGTCTTTTATTTATTAACCTCATTTACTAACTCCTTTTTATTTTGCTTTATTTTAACGATTCGAATTGGCAACATGTATTGTTGTATATCAAGTGCTCCAATCAATTCATTAACATCATGCAACGCATTAACATTCTGTAACAGTAAACTCTTAATTTCTTTTTTCATTTCAATAATTTTCGAAGAATTTTTGTTTTTTGTGCCAAACATCAAACTGCAGCTATCAAGAAAAAGAAGAAATACAAATTTCGTTATGTTTATTCGATTAAATGTGTCTTCCATTTGCGCTGTTTTTATATACAAAAAAAAATTAAATCTCCTCCACAAAGAAATAAAACTCTAAAAAAAAACAGAAAAGAAAAGAAAATTCATACCAAAACCAAATAACAAATCGCTTTTCAGTTCTTTTACACTTCTTACACCTCGTACATCGTATATTAAAAATTCTCTCTCGCTGAGCATATTTGTTCGTATTGTGTCATTTCTGTTTTATATATTTATTATGCAAAACAGCTATCGGATAACTGAAATGAAAAGAAGTAACATATACATAAGTGCACAAATTAGGCCCCGACAATGCATATATATATATATTTATAACAAATGTTTATGAATATAGCAAATAATATTGCAAAGCGCATTTGACAAAAGGCTCAAAAATTGTTTATTTTTTCTTTTAATGACGTATGTATTTTTTAGTTTATTTAAACTATTTTTAGTTTAGCTCTTAAGTTTATCTCCTGCTGTTCACAATGGAATTGACGTTAAATATGAAAGCGCACTAGATAGTTTTTCTATTCAAACACATTAAATGCAACTTTTGAAATTCCGTCTTATTTTTCAAAAGTTTTATGAATTTCAAATTTCTAACGTTTTATCACGACGAAGAGTGCTGCCCATTTGCGCTGGTAGCAACTGCCTGTGGTGTTTCATAATACCGAAAAGTGCTGCCCATCAACTATTTGCTCAATTGCATTGCGAACATTGGCGTAGCTTATTTGATTTGAATTATTTTAAGTATTTCGCACTCAGAGGTATTTTTTAGTATTTTTTATTAATTTACTAAAGTTAAGTGTGGGCAATAATAAATTGGAATCAATTTATCTGAACACACGTAATTTTTGAAATATTTTTTATTTTGAACTACTATTTTCTAGATATTTTTTAATTTTAAAATTGATTTAATTAACGTTTGCTAATTGTATGAAAACGTATACTTGCATAATTTGTAGTAATTAAGTAAACACAAATTGAAGCGACAAACCAAATATGAATATAGAAACCAATTCACTCACTTCTTTTCAAATGTAGTGTATACAGCTATTTATGGGGTATATTCCATATACATATGCGATATGCGCCCCATTTAAAGACTATGTTTAGTTCGATGATGATTTGTAGCTATCATTTTGCACAGCATTTGATTTCGGTATTTGATTTATGAGTGAATTGTTGATTTCGATTTCGATTACGATTTCGATTTTTCGAATTGATTTATTGATTATTTATGCAAATATTACATTCAAACACATCTTTTATATGAACCAAACCGAATATGTACTTTCAATCAATATAAACAAAAGACAATGTGGTCACAACTATTAGTTCGTCCTCCATCCTGCACACGAACGCCACAACGAATGGAGCCTCGGAACAGCAGCAGCAGCAGCAGCCACAATATCACTATATAACCACAACGGGAGAGGATGGCCAGACGCCAACGACGATAGTCTTTGAAAACTATAACGGTGGCTTGCCCACGACGGCGGTTAGCGCCGCCGCAGCGACGCCCATCGTTAGCAGCGTAGATGTTGGCGGTGTAGGTGCAGGTGCAGGTGCAGGTGGTGCTGGCTCAGCGACAACGACAACAACCACAGCGCTAGTCAACACTGACGGCACTATCATCGAGTTCGATGGTAGCACCTACGAGGAGTACCATGTCCTGAAGAGCGAGAATGGCAGCAGCGATTGCTTGAGCAATGGCAGCAGCGCCGTCGCAGCGGACATCATAAAATACGAGCCGCAGCATGTGGGCGAGGATGAGGAAATGCTGGAGGAGGATGAGGAGAGTGGACTGCAAGTGAAGTACGAGGAGCAGAGCATGGAGCACGATCATGACTTCGAGGAATATCAAGTGATCAAGGCCGAGGTGGAGGCCGAGGCGGCCGAACAGGCAGCTGGCACCACCAGCTACACAATCAGCGGCCACGACGACCAGCACCAGCAGCAGCAGCAACAGCAGCAGCAACCCCAACACGCCATCAATGATGCAATGCCTGGCATGCTCTCGAAAGCGGCGGCAGCCAAGCAGAAACGCAAACGCAAAACGCGCGTCATTGCGGAGGACGAGCAGGGCGAGTATCTGGAGAAGATGAGTGTGCGTGGCTTAGATATAGCGCGCTACGAGCACATCATCGATGGCGTGGCCTATTGCTTGGTCTGTGCCAAGAACGACATCTTCAAGACGTTCAAGAACAAGTACAGCTTCCAGCGACACGCGTATCTCTTCCACGAGGGCCAGAATCGCAAGATCTTTGCGTGCCCCATCTGCAACAAAGAGTTCTCGCGGCCAGACAAAATGAAAATGCACAAAAAGGACAAGCACGGGGATGTGCCCCTGCCGCCCAACTCGGCGGCGAGTACGCCGCAGAAGGCGGAGGCAACGGGCACGCCGGCAGCGAAACGGGCGCGCACCTCTAGAACGCCGCGTGTGCGTAAACTGAAGTCGGGGGATGCGGCCACGCCTAGTAGCACGCCCACCAAAAAGCGTTTGGCGCAGATTGACAGCGTACTGGATGAGGTGCAGAATGCGGAAGCGGAACAGCAGCAGCAGCAGCATCAGCAGCAGCAGCAGCAACAGCAGCAGCAACAGCAGCAGCAACAACAGCAGCAACAACTACAGCAGCAGCAGCAGCAGCAGCAACAGCAACAAGCAACAGCAGCTGCACCACAGCAGCAACAACAGCTGCAAACGTTGCCCTCTCTCGACTTTAGCGGCATGATACTGCCAGGTGGCGCGCAGCTGGCTTTGGCCAATCCCGGCGCCAGCAGCTCTATGACGCTGCAACGTGGCCAGGCCACGCCCACGCAGAGTGCACAGCCAACGACGACAACGTTGATCTACTCCAATCAGCTGGAGTTGCAGCAGGCGCTGCTGCAGCAACAGCTGCACGGACAGAGCATTATGATACAGGATCAGGCTGGCAATCTAGTGCCGCTGCAGCTGGATGGCACGCAGACCATATACACAACGGCGCCAGCGCCGCAGCAACGTGCGGCAACAGCAACGTATCAAACAACAACTCAGCAGCAGCTGCAACAGCAGCAGCAGCAGCAACAACAGCAGGTGAGCAGCAGCCAGGCGCAGACGCAACCCACGCACTACGAGTTGGACAATGTGACCTACCTCAGCTCGACGGCAGCAGCCACACCCACGCTGCCCAACGAGCAGCAGCAGCAGCAACAGCAGCAACATGTCATCGGCACCGTGCAAAGCTATCAGATACTAACTCCCGATGGCTTGCAAAGCTTTCAGCCCAAGCTGGAGACCGGCGAACTTGGCGATCTGTGTCCCTACACGATGAGCGCCACAGCAGCGCCTCAGTACACATTCACCACGCATGCGAGCGCGCAGCCTACGTTAAATGCGAATGCGCTAGACGCGCAGCAACATCACCAGCAACAGCAGCAGCAACAGCAGCAGCAACAACAACAGCATCAATCGCATCAGCTGCTGCAGCAGCATCAATTCAGTCACAATCCGCATCAACAGTTTATGGAGCTAAAGAATGAGCTGCTGATAAAGAGCAGCGACGCGTATACGCTGGATGCCGCCTCCATGTACCACCTGCCCTTCTCGCCCACCTCGATGATAAATGCGGTGAACGATGTGAACACCTCGTCGCTGCTGGAGACCAAAGAAATTAGGTAAACACACTCAAATAACTCTGTTTCTCTCTCTCTTTTTCTCTCACTATCTGTCTCTCTCTCTCTCTCTCTATATATATATATATATATATATATATATATATATATATATATATGTATATACATATATATGAATATTTAAATGAAGCTATGCTACTCGCTATAATCTAAGTAACTTTTTTAGTGTAACGCGCTCTCGTTTGTTTTACTCTCTCAGTACTCGCTATCTCTCTCTCTCTCTGTCTGTCTATTGCTCTCTCTCTCTCTTTTTATCAGTTCTGTTGCGTAGTCGACGGCGGCGCTGCGTATTTGCTGTCGCTGTACCGTTACGTTGCGTTCAATTCCGTTTCGTTTCACTTATGTTTTCAACTAGTGTTGAACAACGTCGCGCCAACTACTAAAAACACTCACACACGCACTTTCCAAACATAAATCGCATTCAAAATCAGATTTTCAATTTGAGTTTCGAATTAAAATAAAACGTAAATGCGCCTTAACCAGATTTAGTTTTTAATATTTTAGTTAATTTTCCTGTAGTTTTTCTTTAAGCGTATGTATTTAAGTATTTTGAGTTGAATATATTTATATCATAATCTTTTTTTATTATACGTAACAATGTTGCTTAACTTAGTTTAGTTTTAGTTTTTAATTTCAATTTGTGCATTTATTTATAGCGTATTTCTTCTCGTACAAATTATATACATTGAATCCTTCAGTTCGCCTTTATACTTGCTTTCGGTTATGTACAATTTTTCAGTGCTCTAAAAAGGAAACTTTAAATATTAACATTTTACCATATACAAACAAACAAAAACAACAAAAAATCACATGTATTGAAGAACTTATTGTACATAGACATTATTTGTTTGTTATTTTATTATTTTCACTTGCGCCAATAATTTTAATTACAATGTGTTCAATGCGATTTTGTTCTTTTTTCTTTCTTTTTCTCTTGTTTTATTTTATGTACACAAAACCAACCCACCAACCAACCGACCAACCAATCAATCAATCAATCAATCAATCAATCAAACAATCAATACAAAACTCGTTTTAATAAATTATAAAACAAAAACTTTAGCTACGATATATCAGAAGCCGTGCTTCTAGCGCTCTGAAAAAGCAACACGACAAATGCGACAACTGCAGCCAAAGTACCAAAAACAAAAAATAATAATAAAAATGATCAAATGAAAATATTGAAAAGCAACGCAAATGGAAGCCATTTACAATGCAAAACGAAAGAGAAAACAAATTACTAAATGCGTATATATGTTAAATATGTTTTTAATCGTAACGCTTACTCACAATACTCATTTAACACACACGTTTTACAACACTCAACACAAACATACATGAGGATGAACTCGCATACATTCAACTTATACAGCACTGCTTGTTCGTGAGTGTCTGTGCATGCGAGTGTGTGTGTGTGTGCGTGTGTGTGTGTACCACATCAACGACAGAAAACTTCGCACATTTCATTAATTTTTGCGCACTTCATAAACATTTCATTTGCATTTGCATTTGCCTCACAATGGACGCCCTTCCCATACACTCACATAAAATAAAACTAAAATTTATATATATATAAATATATATTTAATTATCAATATAAATTGGACTTTTTAAGTGCAAGGTATGTGTACTTTATTTTAATTCGCTTTTTATTTATTTCTTATTTTAGTTTATGTTTTGTGGTTTTTATTTCTTTGTGTTTAACCAATTGTTCCATAAGCGCATTCATCTCATGATCCATTGTCAATTATTAACTCTCATCTGGCAGACTTCTTTGTTTCAATGTTAGGCAAGTTTTTTTTATTTTGCAGTGTTAGACATTGCACTGTTTAGACTATTAAAAAAAACATAGGTTGGGGCAGATTATCAGATATCATTAAATTTAATATTTTCAATTGTATTCCACAAGTTTTTGGTTCAGCAGTTTTATTAAAAAGTTTCTTTACATATATTTTGGTGCTAATAAGGATCTGCTCGACAGTCAGCTGTTCTCTCATTTCTGTTCATTTAACGAGCACGCCTATCGATATATCGATATTTTTCAAATCAATTTTTTCGTTTTTATATCGAACTAAGCTCAAATGCAGTCAAGGATATGGTTTTTAGGCAGCACGAATTAATTAATTTTCATTTGCATCCCTTTATTGATTTCACTCATTAATTGGCCTGGAAATTGGCTATTTTCCATAAGCTCATATCATGTACATAACTCACCCAACCCATATACACACATACATATACATATATATTATGATTTACTAACCCAGCCACTAAAAATAAACTCCTTAAATTAAAGAAGAAGAAAATTAAGCAAAATGCTAATCAAATTGTTTATTCAACCAAAAATTTTTTCTTTTTCTTCATTTTTCTCAACAAACTTTTTTGGTTCGCCCGTTGTGTTCATGTTTTGTGTTGTTTTAATGTCATATTTTTATGATTTGCACACAAAAATTCATATACAACAACAACAACAACAACATGTGCCACCACAACAACAACCACAGGTTCTTCTAAACAACATCACGCATACAACAACAAGAACGAGCAGTTCAAGCGGCCATACACACCACGATACAACAACAACAACAGCAACACTCACAACAACATGCACAACAACAATCAGAACAACAACAACAACAACGATCGGCAACGTCGCCAGCGCGAAGCGAATCGCATCTATTACGAAGAAATTATCGTCAAGCAGGCCAATGCACGTGCTCTTCTTGCCGCCGACAACAGCAGTTGCAGCAGCAGCAGCAGCAGCAGCAACAGCCGTAACAACAACAGTTGCTGTAACAGCAGCAACAGCAATCGTAGCGCCGCGGTCAGTTTCGTCGACAAATTCGCTGACTTTGTAACCCATAACCGTAGCAATTCGAAAAGCAAACGCGACTTGCAAGTGCTCAACAAACACACTAATAATCCCAATGCTGTCTCATCTCTCATTCCAAACTCTAACAAAAGCAGCAATGGCAACAACAGCAGCAGCAACAACAACAACAACAACAGCAGCAGCGCTGGCAACAGCAACAACAACAACAACAACAACGTTAGCAGCAGCAGTAATGGCATAAAGACCACCATTGGCAAAAAGACGCCTGTCATACTGCTGGCCGCACGTGGTGCTGTACACAAATCGCAGCAGCAGCAGCAGCAACAACAGCAGCCGCAGCAACAACAGCAGCAGCAGCAGCAGCAGCATCCGCCACTCGCCCTGCTCAATGGCAGTCCAGCAGGCGGCAAACCGGCAGTCACCTTGCTGCGTGTCAACGCCAACGCCAATCGCAGCCGCCAGGTTATCATTACTCCAGACGCTGCTAACCTGCAGCAGCAACAGCAACAGCAGCAGCAGCAGCAGCAGCAGTTGATTGAGGAAGAGGAGGAGCTCATTGATGAGGATGTCTATGATGATGCGGATGCACTGAATGCCGCCTTGTGCTCATCGACAGCACAAATCCTGCGCAAATTTCGTATACCCAAAGGCACAGCACTGACAGCCAAATCGGCGGATGGCTATCTGGCCATGCCAACGCCCACGCCTTCGCCGCCTATTGGCACAACTGGTGGCAACGTTGCACTAGACGCAGCCGGCTATGTGGACAACACAGATGACATCATCGAAGAGCTCAACGAAGATGATCTGGTGGAGGAGGTAATCGACGAGGAGGCGACTGGCTGTGAGGAGCAGCAGGTGCTGCAGCAGACAGTAAACGACAACGATGGTCTTGATCTCAGCAGCAGCAGCAACAGCAACCACAATGCTTCAGCAGCAGCAACAGCAGCAATGACAGCTGCAACGACAACATCTGCCATGCTGCTGCAGCATCCGCAACAGCAGCAGCAGCCGGCTGCGCTGCAGCTGCAAACCGTGGGACCAAACGGCACTGTCACCTGCTTCAATCTGCCTCCGAATACCATATTGGTGCAGTCTTCCGATGGCAGCATCATAGCGCATCCCAGCAAAGCTGGGCAACAGCAGCTGATCGTGTTGCCCGCGGACTGGCCAACAGCCAATATGGCTTTGACTGAGCCGACAGCGACGGCAGCTCAGCCAGCGCAAACGCAAACGCTGCTGCTGACAGCCGATGGCACCGCCATACCAATCATGGCCCCACTGCAGCAGCAACAACACCAGCATCAGCAACAGCAACAGCAGCAGCAACAACAGCAGCAACAGCAGCAGGCTGCAGCTGTTGCTGCTGCAGCGCAGCTCTTTGCAGCGTAGGGTCTAATGGGTGGCCAAATGGGTCGATTTTTGAATAATGCCACTATAATGCCAACCACATACTTCTTTTAAATGTTCAACCAACCCACTCAGACACGTTGCACACGTCGCAAAGCAACTTGTGGCACAGCTCGTTGAATTGCTTTGCTGCCAGCTGCAACAAATTCCCAGATTTCAATCCGTAATCTCGTTTCATTTGCCCCACTATCATTGGCTTAGGGCATAGACCAAAAATCGACGCATTTGGCCACCAAAACAACAACAACAACAAAAACAAAATCAAATCAAAACAAAATTTAATTAAATATGATATCTAAACAATAAAAAGCCAAGTTAAACTTAAAAAGCAGCCACAACTCAATTGAAAAGCTATGCGAAAAAAGAAGAAAACACAACTGATATTACATAATGTTAAAGTGCATACCAAATTTATTTTTCTATATATATACATATATAAGACATTAAGCATAAAGAATCCTATACATACATACATACATATATATATGTAAATATACTATGTTTGTGTAGTATATTTAAAACTCTTGTTTATGTTCATGTTGTGCGCAAAATGTAAAATGAAGAAAGCAAGAAAATGTTCATAATGTAAACACACAAATACACACACACACACGTACTCACTCATGCACAGCCAGTGTTGTGTAACGAATCCTGTAAATTTTAAACAACATTTAAATTATTTTTCTATGCATTAAGTAGTCTATTTTTAAGTGCAACAAAATAACCACAAATGCGACACCCGAGCCCAGTTTTCTAACTAATATTTTGACCAGGCGCTGGCAGCAAAAGTTCAGCGCCAGACAAAATTTATGTTTAACTTAATTTAATAATTAAAAATAAAACAAAAAACTTATGCTGTATTATTTGCAACAAGAAAAAAAAAACACAAAAAATACAAACTGAATTTCAGCTTACTAAATAATTTAATATTTTTAACTAACACTTAAATACTATATATATATATATGTATATATATATATATATATACATATATATATATATATATATTATATGAGATACATAAATAATTTGTTCCTTTGCATAATATATTTATATATAGTTGGCAGCTATGCAACGTATTTCACTTAAAGTATTGTCCGTAATTATTTATTTTGAATTTTATTTAATTTTTTATTGTTGTTTCCCGCAAGCAGAGACTATCTTTCTACCCCACATGTTGTATATTATTTAAAACAAAAAAGAAAAACATAAACCATATATATTATTTGCAATTTTGTTAAGCCATCCGCAAACGTTAAAGTAATACATTGATTATGATTAAAGTTAAGCCTAAGAATTGAAGCATAGCACTGACCTAAGTTGTTAATACTAAGCGCGTTAGCCTGGTTAAGATCAAAGTATTTTTTCATAATCGCAATGCAAAACAAAACGAAGAGAAAACTGCAAAAAAAAAAAACGAAAGTTATTTCTTAGGACTAAATAACTATAACTATTGGAAGACAATGATTCAAAGCATATTTATTTTAAGATCAAAAAATAAAAATTGAAAAATGAAAAAAAAAACAATGAAAAAGTGAGGCACACTTTTTGTAAGATAATTATATAGATTAAGTCGTGACGAATTAACGAAACTGCAAGCAAGTAATTAAGCAAAACATGAGTAGAATACATTATGTATAAAAAGTCTATGAATAATAATTACCTATACATATATAAATATATATTTATTATAAACGACAACAAAAATACAATTTTAAAAATTCAAAGCAAATAAAGAATTAAAATAAAAAATTTCTAAATGAAATCATCGGATTGTTTATATGAAAATTAATGTAGAAAATTATTATCGGAATTCCATTTGCTGAAAGTAGATGGCAAAAGTTTCCAAAATTATAAAAACAATTTCGTAAAACTATATCTCAGTTGTAAATATATTTCAATGACGGCTGTCGTAACATTAACAGGGACTATAGCTAAGTTTGAAATTCACAGTATCGGTAATATATATATATATGTATATATCAGATATCAATCAACTGGTCCATGTAGTGCATCTATTCGCTAATGCGGGCATACACCACAGCCGTGCGGCAAGGTGTGTAGACTTGAATGAAGTTGGAGCGACCGGCATGACCCCAGGGATCTGACTGATGTTTGCAGTTCATGTCTATGCGATTGTGGCCGCCAAATAGGGGGTCATCGGAGGAGAGCACAGCCTGATAGGTGCCAGCCCAATTGGTGCCCACACGATAATCACTGAAGCTTTGAGTCGGATGGAAGTTGAACACAAACACGAGTCCTGCGCGCTCAAAATGGATTGTCTTGTCGCTCTGGTGTTTCCAGCTCACATAGGCGGGGCCCGAGTGCAGCCAGCCGAAGCGTTCCTCCAACTCGTTCATGGCACGATCAAATTCATTGAGGTATTTGTACTTTAGCAAATCGTCATCCACCAAATTCCATTGGCGACGCGCATAATGGTATGAGTCATTGTTGCCTACCCGCGGAAAGTCCAGCCACTCGGGATGACCGAACTCATTACCCATGAAATTAAGATATGCCTCGCCGCCCAAGGCGTGCGTAATAAGGCGTATCATCTTATGAAGTGCCAGCCCACGATCAATGATTATCGACGAATCGGATACTGTGGACATATGCGTGTACATCTCCTTGTCCATCAGCCAGAAGGCAATGGTCTTGTCACCAACAAGCGCCTGATCGTGCGACTCGGCATAGGCCACCGTGTTCTCCATCCAGCGTCGATTGGTCAGCGTGTGTACAATGTTGCCAATGTCCCACTGATCATCGGTTTGTTCCTTCAACAGCTCTATCCATTTGTCCGGAATGGCCATGCCTAGGCGATAGTCGAAGCCGATGCCGCCTTCCGACACGGGACGACAAAGGGTCGGCATGCCAGAAACGTCCTGCACAACAGAAAACGAAGTTAGAAATGCCAAAAACTCAGATCTAGAATACTCGATTTACCTCAGCTATGGTTATAACCTCGGGATCCAGCTTGTGCAGCATATAGTTGGCTAGACCCAGATAGTTCAGCGCATCTGTGTCCACGTTGAGGCCGAAGTATTCATTGTAGTCGCCGCTGAAGCCTTCGCCGATGCCGCGCGAATGGTACAACATGGAGGTGACGCCATCAAAGCGGTAGCCATCGAAATTGTACTCATCATGCCACCAACGCAAATTGGATAGCAGGAAGCGCAGCACTTCGTGCTCCGTGTAGTTAAACAGACGACTGTCCCAAAGGGAATGTTCACCGCGTGCGCCGTCGTGGAAGAAGCAGCTGTTGGTGCCATCGAATTGATTAAGGCCATCCTGCACATTCTTGGAGGCATGCGAGTGCACCACATCAAGCAGCACGTAGAGACCCTGGGCATGGGCTACGTCGATCATGCGTTTAAGTTGCTCCGGATTGCCAAAACGACTGGAAGCCGCAAAGAAACTTGTCACCTGATAGCCAAAGCTGGCATAGTAGGCATGCTCCATGATGGCCATTACCTGGATGCAGTTGTAGCCCTGTCGCTTTATGCGTGGCACAATGCGATCCGCGAACTCATCGTAGCTGCCCACTCGAGGCTCCTGCGAGGCAATTCCCACATGGCACTCGTAGATTCTCAATGACTTGGGCCTGGCAGGTCGCGAGTGCTGTCGCTTATAGCGCTCTCCTTCCGGCGGTTGCCATACATATTGCTTGTAGTTAACGCCTTGATTGGCGCTCTTGGGCGGCTGCACCACATACTTGGCCCAGGGCGATAGACGATCCAATAGCTGACCGTGCTGATTGCGTATGATAACCTTTATCTCGCTGAGATGCTTAATCGGCGCACTGCCGTCTTGATTGGCAGGCAAATGAAGCTCCCACTTGCCAAAGGGCAGCTTCTTGTACGGATGCGATTCCCACTGCCAATTGTCTGGAGGAATTCAAATTTAAATTTCAAATATTAGCAACGGAGTTAACCTTCAAAAAGCACAAATTTTGTGCAAATGTGTAATTATCGATAATATCGGTATTAAAATTGACATATTTAACAAATGGCCTAAAATATACCTTTTAAAAATAGAACTTTGTTTTATAATCGATAATATTTTTTAGTTTCAGTTGATCGGCTATCGATATTTAAACAGCTTTAAAGTGGAGGGTGTTAGTATAAGTGCGAATTCGAAAACGAGGCGAAAACTGTTGCTAGCTCGCTTGCACATCCTTAACGAACCGCAAATTAAAATTCATCTGATCATTCGCACTTTTTGTGAAGAGAGAATTTCCCTCAAATACATATTCGAGTACTCACTGAAATCGCCAGTAAGATACACGTCTCTTGCACCCGGCGCCCACTCGCGTGCTATCACTGAGTTATCCGGCTGAAAGTGTAGGCCATAATATTTGTAGCCCTGGGAGAACTCTTCCAAACCGCCCTCACATTGGTCAATCTTGGCAATCCAATCCTTCAGTACGCCATGTCTGCATAAAGATAAATGAAACAAGACGAAACGCGGAAATCAAGTTCAGATCTCAAGGCCAATGACAGTCTATGGTGCGACGGCAGTTCCAAATGTTGCATCTAGGCATCATTCGCACACAGACGCAAAAAGCGAAGTAAATCATACGCACGACCTTCAACTGACATTGACCGCCGCAGTTTTTCCAACTGCACTTGCGGCGACAGTACAAAGCCAGTTGATATGATTATGTAGGGCGCAACAAAAACAAAAACAACACGCTGCCCTATTTTACACTGAGCCGCTTATCAGCCGGTGCAATCTTTGGATTATGTGATGTGCGTCGTCCACACGTACAAATTGCATTTTGATGGCATTTCTAACTTACCGGCGACGTATCTCACGCTCGAAAGGCTTCAGGTAGCCATCCATTTCGATCAGCTTCTCAATGTCCTGAACCTCCACCTTCATTGCGTCGCCCATCTTGCAAGTCGCTTAGAAATTAATATACACAAATAACAGCGAAATGGAAAAGAACTCGCGCACCCACCGGCGCTGCTTGCAAATTGACAACTGCGATGTTCAGCGAGTGCGGGTCCCAATACAAAAGCTCTGACTAAGAGCTTTCTGGTATGAAGTAACAGCTGTTCGAGTTTCTTCCTCATTGTTGTCTTTTGTTGTGCTTATTCGCGCGTATAAACAACATGGCAATTAGTTGCATAGCTTGCTCCTGATAAGAGCAGTAGATGATAATGTGATAATGCGTCTATGTAGGCAATATGTATATATGCTAATTGGCATCGCTTGCGCTTAACTTGCGCCTGTAATTTGAAAAAATCTTTATTATGTAAAGGTTGAAGAGAATATTATAAATTTGAAATATGAAAACGATCGTTGCTATGCGATGCATGTTCTATATACACACATGTACAAATCTACAAACTTGTATGCTAACGATGACCTTATTCAATTGAACTTTTGTTGTGACTCTTCTGTTTGAATTAATCTAAAATTAATAAAGACAATTTAAGTAGTAATCAATAACGACAAATAGAAAGATTTATAGTAAGCTTATATTATTTTGAAATATGTTTATTAAATAGGCATTTTTTTCTTATCGATATTCAGCTACTTTTGGCGGTAGGAGTAAAAACGAAAGTTTGAAAAGTTTGAGCAACAATTTTCTTCGAAGTATCGTAGATTTTTGACCAGTTTTAAAAATGTAAAATGAAAATATTTTTTTTATGAGACAAAAACTGAACAATATTTTATTATTTACAAATCAGCTTTTTACATTGAGAAGTTTGGTATTTAGGTGAGCCTTGTTTTCGATAAGCTTTGAAATATCGAATATTTATCAGAAAATGGTCACTCACATTAGATTCCGAAAAAAGCAAAAGAACTACACACGAACCACAATCAGCTGTTGTGGCTAGCGGCCATTTGCAGTCTGTTTTGGCGTCGCGGGTGTGAAGGAACGCGCTTCGTATTTTACGCTTAGTTTTAGGTTTAGCGCGTTAGACTTAATGCCGGTGTCGTCCAATTTAAATTAGACACAGCATTAGGCAACGGTGAGTGTTCGCGAGTTAATTAATAATAATAAGAATGCCAATAAAATGTGACTTTCTGCATAGGCATTTTTGTATATTTCTAAACGTTTAACAAACGTGCACATAGAAATTTAGGATTAAGATGGGTCGCAGTCGCAGTCCCGCTTCGCCCGCACACAGACGAAGGGAAAAGGAGCGCACAGAGCGCAAAAAACGGCGAGAACGACGCTCAAGAGAAAGAGAAGCCATTGGCGTTGGGAGCAGCAGCAGTCGCCGTGACCGGGAACGCGATCGTGAGCGCGACAGAAGCCGCAGCCGTGACAGGGACCGTGTGAGAGGAAGGCGTTCGAGGTGAATAAGCAAGTGTAGTGTACCAAACCACAACGATAAGTATAAAGTACTAACGATTTTTTAAACATATTAATTACGTATATAATCACTAAGCATACATTTATTGTATAATAAAATGGGGCATGCTTAGTGATTAAAAATTAAGTTAAAAGCATGGCAATTGCAACTAATGAACTAGTTCAATTATTTTCTGTTGTATTGCAACCCTGTGTGTGTTGTGTGTGTGCTTATTTTGACAGTTCACTAGTTCGCTGTCTCCCATCTCCAGATCAATTGTTCTTTCGGCAACCGTTTAGCAAATTACCACGTGAAGCGAAATACGCGAATTTCACAACATAATTTAAAGTACCTTATTAGATTGACTCAAAACCAGACAGTGGATAGTGTGGACTATTAGAAATCACACAGAGCTCGAATCGAATATAGTTTCATTGTACTGTATAGAAAAACAAAACTAAATTACACAGAAAATGGCGCTGCGCGTGCAATTCGAGAATAATGACGATATTGGCGTCTTTAGCAAATTAACAAACACATATTGCCTGGTAGCAATTGGTGGCTCCGAGACCTTCTACAGCGTCTTCGAGGCAGAATTGGCCGAAACTATACCAGTCGTTCATGCCAACATTGGCGGCTGCCGCATCATTGGCCGGCTCACTGTTGGTAATCGCAACGGGCTGCTAGTGCCACATTCCACCACAGACGAGGAGTTACAGCATTTGCGCAATAGTCTGCCGGATGCCGTTAAGATACAACGTGTCGAGGAGCGTTTGTCTGCATTAGGCAATGTGATTGCGTGCAATGATTATGTTGCACTGGTGCATCCTGATTTGGATAAGGAGACAGAAGAGATCATAGCAGATGTGCTCAATGTAGAAGTCTTTCGTCAGACCATCGCCGACAACACACTGGTCGGCTCCTACACAGTGCTGAGCAATCAAGGTGGCATGGTGCATCCCAAGACAAGCATACAGGATCAGGATGAGCTGTCGTCTCTGCTGCAAGTGCCTTTAGTTGCGGGCACTGTGAATCGTGGCAGTGAAGTCTTGGCTGCCGGCATGGTCGTCAATGATTGGATCTCGTTCGTGGGCATGAATACAACAGCCACGGAGATTTCCGTTATAGAGAGCGTATTCAAATTGAATCAAGCACAGCCGGCCACGGTGACAACAAAGCTTCGTGCCGCACTTATCGAGGAGATGTCCTAAGCGACCAGAACAGCGTTCTATTATATTTAAGTACACACAGAGACACACACACACACACATTGATTTTGTTATCTTTTGTAAACAGTCTGCAAAAATACAAGACAACCACAAATAAGTTGGGTTCATAACCGGTTGTATAATATTATTGAAAGGTGTCACGTTTCATAATTAAATCCTCAAAACGATGTCTAATTTATGCATATATACAAATGACCCTGCCCTAGTTTGGCTAACTGCATATCTTATATATGTTCTATATTTCCATTTTTAATTTAAATGCAATCAAATTCCAGTTCATTAAGTAGGAACCGCTCTCTGTCTCTCTCTCGCATATCCTTTCACAGATCCCGTTCACGTGGTGCTGGCAGCAGTTCGGGCCCTTCGACATCAAGACGCGCCACACGCAACAATTCAGCGAGTGCAGCTGCAGAGCGTCCAAAGATCAATGAAGCAGACTTGGAGGGTAAATCGCCGGAAGAGGTTGAGATGCTGAAGACAATGGGCTTCTGCACTTTTGACACCACCAAGAACAAGAAAGTCGAGGGCAACGATGTTGGTGAAGTGCATGTAATCCTCAAGCGCAAGTATCGTCAGTATATGAATCGCAAGGGTGGCTTCAATCGGCCGCTCGACTTTGTCGCATAGCCAGCGGCAACTAGTTTTTTAAATCTTAATGCTACATTTTTTCACGTCCTTTGCGAATGCAAGGCGACGGACCTGCAATTTTATGCAATAGACCGGTTTACAAAATTTCACAAATTTGCCACACAAAATTTCCACAATCATCACTCAACACATACAAATACCTCATATATAACAAGCTAGTTATTTAGTACTTTAAGACAATTGCGTTGTTTTAAAATTAGCTTTTGCGCGCCTTCAAAACAAAAGTTAATTTTACAACAATGGCAACGCCATCAATCCTCCCACAAATGTAATTGAAAGCTTTATGCAAAAGATGTACTAAATTATCGATAGCATAGAAGAAGACCGATAGGTGGCAACACTGGTCAGTTTTGTTCATTGTTTTGAATATGTTTTTGACCGTTTCTTTGCTTTCAATTGCATTTGCCAAATGTTTAATGCACACGATTAATGCTTTTTAAATATTTAAAGTAATTACGATTGTTTTTTGCTGTCAGAAAACCACTTACACACAGTATGCACACACACACATTTGCATATATGTGTAAGCATTTGGCGTTTGTTAAAACCACGAAAGAAAAAAACATACGAATTAACTGCAAATCCAAAATTTATCTCACACACATACACAATTACTTAAAGTATTTGAAAACATGAACACAAAATATACCCTACCCCAAATCCTTTTTCCCCATAAACTTCCTCCATACGCTGCAATAGTACAATTTTTACAACCAAACAAATATATATCAAATATATATTTTATATATAGAAATTTATTTATACACACACACACCAAGTACCTACAAACCCCTTAAAGTCCTTACCGTACAATCGCCTCAAATCTACAATAGCCATAGCCATTTGTTGAATCTGTTATTTGTTTAACATTCAAAATGTTGTCATTTTGTTTCTCTTTAATATATTTAACAAGCCAACAACAGTTAATTCAATGATCACAAGTGCCAAGTGAAGAAAATATACAAAAAGCTAAGCAACAACAATGCAGGCAAACTAAACACGTTTATGTTTAAGTGCAGGCGCAAATGAAATAAATACATTAATATATGTACAACTTTTATACCTTTTTATACCAATTACAGTAACAGTAACGTAACAATAACAACAATGTGTAAACAATAGTTATTAATTTGGCAACAATTAATACGAACTTTAAAAAACAACATATTTGGCAAATACACACACACTTACATACATATTGTCTTTGTAGTTTTAAACATAACGAAATTGCAGGGATTTTTTCATACACTATTAAAGCTAATTAATAAAGAGAAAATAAATGTATAAAATGTAAATGTTTGGTCTAGTTTCGCTCTTCACATTTAAGTTAGAACCAACTTGTAAATTACAAATAATAAAATACAAACACATCAAAATTACAAATGAAAGATCAAACTGTGTTATTTGTTTCACCCAGACAGATTAGTTTCGAATTTACTTAACAATATACATTTTAAACAAAACAAAAATTAAAAAAAAAGATTCTAAATTTAGATCGGATACAATGAATAAGTATGGTTTCTATACACGTGCGGTAACAGCTCAGCTACAGGATATGCCGATGTCGCCATTCGTACCACACCGTGAGTTCCAATTCCGGAAACGTTCATCATCTGTGGCGGAAAATCGTTTTTATCGGCGTGTCGATAAGACTCTGGAAAAGGATTTTGCTCGCAAATGCATGACAGCTTTCCATATGGGTAATCAAGCACGCAGCGACAAATCCGAACTGGATGCAGATAACTTGCTCGGGTACCAAAAGAGCTTGCTGCGTATCTCTAGCTTGGACCTAGATAGCACATTAGAGCATGAGCATCGCCTGAAGAGAAAGCTGCCAAAAATCGAATCGGAATTGTAACCTCGAAAGCCAGAGAACCTTCCCTATGGGACCATCTGGTCGCGTACAGAGAGCTTGGCGCGCATGTTTTGCTAGAATCTGGAAGCAAATTAGCGCATGAGCCTCCGATTAAAAGGTGGCTACCAACGTAAAATGTGGACCAGAGTGCCTTTCTTATGAGTTCCCTTGATCGCGCACAAAGAGATCTGGATAACAAATTAGCGAATGCGCCTGGGATGAAAGGATTGCTGCCACCAATCAAACGTAAAATATAACCACAAATTTCGCAATCCAAAAAAAAAAATATTACTTTTGTTTTATAATCAAAAAGAAGCATATATTAGCTGTAAATTTCGACTGCGATTTTTATGGGGTACATTTTAGTATGTATATATATATATATATCTATTTAAATTTAATTACCAAAATTCACGTAATTACATACATATATAATTTTATTTAAAGTGTTTTTAATGGTGATTGTTTTACAAAGAATTACCCTTCAGTAAAATACACATTAAATGATGTTTATTCATATTTTTATCAATGAATTGAATTCCTAATATTTTCCACTTTTCTCGTTGCTCTTCCTTTTTTATGTTCAGCTCAAATGTTATTTGGTCACTTTAATTAATTTATTTCATGTATCTTGATTGATCAAGAGATTTTAAATGCAATATTTGCATTCGCTTATTGACGAAAGACACATAAATTTCATTTGTTATCCACAAATTTAATACAGCTTGTAGTTTTATTTAAGAAATTAAAATAGTTAAGAAAATATATTTGCCTTGTAAATAAATGTGAACACATTGATTAAAAGCGAAACTATGAGAGCAATGAAGAACGCAAACGTTAAATAAAATGACTAATTATTTAATTATTGTTACTCTTTTTATAATTATGAAATACATGTTGGTGCTTGGATGCGACTGCCGATACTCGAACATTGCTGCAAAAGCCAAATGTGTATAAAATCGGCTGCAGCTTCAATGGGAATACATTTCAAATGGGACAGAATTTCTTCGTGTATTGTGCGCGAATTTAAACAATTCAAAACAGATCCGTAATTACAATTAGCAACAAATTGCAGAATGCCTATTTGTTGTTACAATGATTTAATGTTTCGTTTGTTTTCTTTTTTGTAATGTTATGTTAGTCTTTTTTGTTTCCACCCTACGCGTCGATCAATATGCCTTAGACATACTTTAATCTGCCTTACGGGGTTTACGCTTGCGCACCTGCTCTGTATTGGGCTTATCTGTGCTTTCGGGCGCCTCATCGCCTGCTGATTTGTCTATAGATTCTGTTTTCTCTGCCTTGATTTCAGTTATCTTTTCGTTTGCATTGTCACCATTATTTAACTTCTTTTGATCCGTCTTGACTTCGGCATCATCCTCATCCTCCTCATCTTCATCGCTGTTGCGATCCTCATCCTCGACAGCTTCCTCATCATCATCTTCGATTTCCTCGGTGGCCAAGTCCTCAACGCCCTCGGCTAGATGCTCCTGTGACTCGGAGAAGCTTTGACGCTGTGATTTCTTTGGTGGGTAAACAAAGTCCACAATGCACACCAGCATCAACCCCAGAGCAGCTCCCACAAATATTGTGGCGATGGCAAAGAGTGCATAGGAGCCCCAGGTGGGCAATCCATATTCCTCCTGCAGGCGCGCGTTGAAATCCTTAAAGAGTTTTTGTGTGTGCTATTAGTATATACAACATACAACATATTCATTCATATATACTATGCAAAAGCTTGGGATTGTGCGAAAACTTAAATGTATTGAATTGACCAAGTCTGATTTGGCAAATTTAATTTGGCAACCTTATAGCCAAACAAATAAGCTTGCACCACGGTTCCATCTGAATGAGAGATAGACAATATATGCAATATAACCTCTTGGCCCAATCTATTGAGATAAGCTTCCGCATGCGTCCATTGAACTAAGCTACGACATAACCAAACCGAAGCAGACGTAAACAAGCGATTGCATGGGTTGTGTACCTTTAATGTGTGCGACAGCTTGAAGAAATAGGACAGCAAAGACATGTGAATGGTGTCGGGCTTCTTCCATGAAGACAGTGGCTCAATACTTTGCCACGACTTCTTCTTCAAGAAGTACAACAAAGCTTCGGCATCACGTGCGCCACGATATTGACGGAATTCACCATCTTTGACACTGCGTTAAATGCAAAAATATTAAAATAAATTGTGCCTATATAAATTATAAACTTACTGATAAATAGTGGGTAAGGCGGTGACAAAGAAGCGACCGCTAAGTGAGGGCGATGTGGTTACATCGATCTTGGCCACATGGACATTAACATCCTTAGCTGTGCTGGCATATCGCTCCCAAACTGGCGCCAAGTTCTTGCAGGCTGGACACCAAGGAGCAAAGCTGCAGGAACAAGAATTGATAAGATAATATAAAACACATCAAATATTATATGTATACATATGCTGATATAAATATAATACGATTAATTGATAGGTATAATAGAATGTCTTAAGAAAAAAACACAATTCAACATATGAGCGATTCTTTGTACAGCAGCTAAGCAATATGAAGATATTAATGCATTCTGGATGCCTTCATTTAAGTGCATCCTTCATATCCTCTAACGTTATATACACGATTGTTCTTTTTTCTTACGCACGTTTAATGTTTTTGGTTATGTTGTTTTAATATTTGTTTAAAACTTTCATCTTGTTTTTGGCAAAAACAGCTGTAAAAACGCAGCTGCCGGGTCATGACTCAGGCAGGCGGCTAATGACGTAGCCAATCAGTAACGCGCAACGCACATCGCTAAGCAGAATGCAACATTCCACAGAACCAGAAACAGCTCCAACAGCAGCTTTATTGTTGTTGTTGTTGTAGTGTTGTAGTATCTGCTTACCGGCAACACCCCACACAAAGTGCGTCTGCGTTGATTTTTTTGTTAATTCTATTGTTTCATATTACTCACAATTCAATCATCCATTCGCCATTTAACATTAAATGCCAATTATCTTCATCCAATTCGATTAAATTTCCATTTGGCTGCGACATTCTTTTGGTCACCGTTGAAGAACGGTCACCAAAAGCGCTTTGTGCAGCGAGCAGCGTGACGATGACACATGACGCGGCCAAAAATTTTAAGGTACAATGCATGTTAGCAAAGTGTTCTGTGTATATTTTGGATAAAACGCTATTAATTTCGGTATTGAATTTTTGCTAAATTTTCACAATTATTTTCTTTGTTTAAATCTGACTTTTCTTGTTTAAAACAAACGTAAAAATTGCGGACGCGGAGACGTCCGGTCCGACACAGTAGAGATGTGTTAGTATGTAGATTGACATTAGAGAGCTCTTATCGAACAATCGATTAATTTAATGTTTACAGTTTTGATTACGATGTTGTTTATTTTTAAAAATTATATGCATTAATTGCTAAATAACAACTTTTTACCTATAAGACTAAAAAAGTTAAATCAATTCTCAAATTATTTGCTTTGTTGGCTAATGTCGTTAATAGACTATTACGCTTGCAACACGATACTGTTAACATACTGTTCTGATCATCGTAACGAACTATCGATATCCAATGGATAACGATTGTATATCCGATAGTTAAAACGAATAACAACAAAGAAAAATATCTATTAATATTAAATTGGACGCAACGCCAACAAAATTAACATATTAAAATTGTTTGAAAAATTGTGCATATTGGCCTAAAGCACGTCAAAAATGGCCAACAACTATCTGCAGCCAGTAAATAATCATTTTGATATAGATAAGTTTGCGGATGTTGACGATGACTTGTTTTTGCGAAACACACGAACAAGTGCAGAAAACAAGGCACAGCGCAGTACGAATCCGTTTGAAGATGATGACGAGATATCAACATCGTCGTCAATTGCAGCTCAAAGACAGGCGTACGCTGAGAAACGTAGAGAAATTGAACAGCGTACGCTGGACTCAACGCAAAAAAGTTTGGGTATGTTTCATACAAAAAATATACATTTTTATATTGGGGGCGTTCCAATTATAGAATTTCGTAATCAGGTTTACTCTATGAAACGGAGGATGTGGGCAGAGCAACAGCTGTGGAGTTAGCCAGGCAGCGGGAACAACTAGAAAAGACCTCAAATCAATTGGATGAAATAAACTCAACACTCAGATTCAGTCAGCGTCATTTAAATGGATTAAAAAGTGTTTTTGGCGGCCTCAAGAACTATTTATCTGGCAATAGGGATGCTCCAACGGCCACTGCCTCACCTTCTGGTAGTCAAATGTCACAGGAGACCAACTCCAATGTCAATGCGATGACAGGTGGTGGTGGCGCAATACCAAAACAGCCGATGTCACCAACAGAGCGTTATGATAATCATCCAGTTAGTCGTATACGAGACGATAGTAGTTCCTTTCATCAGCGCCAGGCGCAGGCTCAGCAAAGAGCTGCGAATCCCTTTCAGCAACAGCTGGAATCCAATCTCGATGAGATGTGTGACAATTTGTCGCGCCTTAAGTTCTTGGCCACTGATTTGGGTACTGAAATTGAGTCGCAGAACGGTTTGCTGGACAATATGAACTACAAAATCGAGAGCGTGGACATAAACATGGTCAAGCAAAACAAGGAAATGAATAAACTGCTAAAGAAATGAATATGTTATTTCGATGTATAATTGGTACACCACAAATGATTTTATATATATATATACTTTATACTTTAAATTAGCGCGTAAATTCGAATGCATATTAATCATATCGTCGTCTTAGTTTTTGTCGCCATTATTAAGCATTCCTTGTTTATTTTTGTTATTTCGTATTATATTGTGTGCACCAAAAAAGATATTGGTTTAAGCTGGTACTTGCTCGTTACAAGTGTTCATTTTCAATGAAATGTTTAAATAAAACTTAAATTAGTGTATATTTTTAATGAGTTCTGAGCATCTGAATTTTACCTTCTTCAATCGCTTAGCCTGTGCCGCATACTTAGCTTTAAGCACGTTCTTTTACAACACTGATTTAATTCGATGACAGATCGTAGAAGTTTCTTATCGAAAGGCTGCTTTAAACATTTTGGTGTGCTCCTTGTTGCGCAGAAAGTTAAAGATTTACCGTTTTAAAAAAGTGAGTGATAATTTGATTTTAAAGTTTTCTCTTGAAATGGAGGATAGCTACAATATAAGCACTCAATTGCTTAAGGAGCCATTGTCATTTGCGTAAGTTGATTAATAGTAAATGTGATGAGACTTATGTCAATGTCTATAATTTGTTTCATGCTTGGTTTGTTGTTCTTTAGGGATTTGATTAAAACTGGCACTCAATTTGAAGTAGATACAGCCAACTACAATAATACTGCTTATGATGACTTTGTTGTGGATGAAAACGATGAAGTTGTTGGCGAAGAGGAAATTGACCATGAGGCGCTTGTCTCCCCCTGGACGCGATCCTTTGAAGAGCTACGCCGGCTAATGACGCCTGTGGATGAGTATATTTACAAGCGAATTACACGAGCCGGTGTCAAAGAGCAGGGCCTCGTTCCGGATAAGGCTCGCGTAGCATTGCGTTACAGCGCCTACTGGGAGGGCCAGACCGCTCCATTCGACTCGTCATTGCTACGAGGAACTAAATTTGAGTTCGTAACGGGTCAGAATATGGTTCTAGAGGGTCTCGAGACTGCAGTGCGCACCATGAACGTCTACGAGCAGTCAGAATTTATCATATCATACAAATTGCTGTTTCACGAAATGGGCTGCCCGCCACGCATAAAACCACGTGCTGATGGCTTGTTTAAGATTGAAGTAATCGAATTTACATTGATTGGCAATGAACATTCTCTGGAAGAGATTGCACCCGAGGATCGCAACAAGTTTGCGGTGGTTTTTCCCAAGGCGCAGGATATGCATTTGCATGGCAAGGATTGTGTGAAACGTGGCTCCCATCGCAATGCAGTGGCGGCTTTTGAACGGGCCATTGCTTCGCTAAACTATTGTCGCCTGGCGGATGAAAAGGATGAGATCAAGCAGCAGGAGCTGCTCATTACGCTCTACACCAATCTGATGGTGTGTAACAATAAGTTGAACAAGCCAGCGAGCGTGTGCATTGCCATGAAAGCTCTGCGGCTGTTGACTCACAATCAACCCTCATGCAAGGCTCTGTTCCAGGAAGGTCGTGCTCTAGCCGCTCTAGGAAATTACGAGCAGGCTCGCAGATGCTTTGTGCAGGCGCAGGCCAAACAGCCCAACAACAAAGAGATTAGCGACGAGATTATCAACGTCGAACAACGTGTTAGCAAATATAAAAAGTCTATGCGTGAAATTTGGTCAAGAGCTCTTGCCGGCAAAGAGCAACCGGAAAAGAAACCAGAAAAAAACTTTTCAAATCAACAACTTAAACGCGATTTTGAATCGCAGCTGGCGGAGTTTAGTAATTCCTCCCTGCAGTCCCTCAATATGAGTCGCAAAATGTACACGGACAAGGAGTTCGATGTGCTACGTATGTTGGCTAAACAATTTAATATGAAATTGAGCCTCTCCCCGTTAGATGTAGATCAGCTAACGCTATCCAAGCTGCAGATTAAATAGACGCAAAATATATTACAAATTTTCTTAAGAATAAGATTAGGTATTATTATTGAACTTGTTCAAAAGACAACTATCCAAAGAATGAGCCATTGTTATACAGTCAGCGCACGGTATATAGAACTTATGGAAAATGAATATCTGTAACTCTTAATTTGTAGACCTTTTTCATTATAAAGTTTTCGTATATTGGAAGTTATACGATCAAGCGCTTACAATACATTATATTAAACAACAGTTCCTGAACACATTAGAGAAACACAAATTTAATTATATTAAAATAGTTTTAACTCTTTTATGTTAAATACAGCTTAGTTGAGTTCATGTATTTAAATATATATATATTATATATTGATTTGATGCTTAGCCAATTGTTTTTATTGTGATCGTTTTTGCTGCAGCTCCTTGGCTACCTGTCGCTGCAAGCAACCAAGGCAGACACATCCTTTGACATGCGGTAAGGGATGATCCACGACATGTACTTCCTGGAGCTCAAAGCTATTTAAGTTGTACGCGGTCAGACTATCCGCTTGCTGGCACTTGCAGTATAAGCAACAACAGACTATGCAGGCTGCGAGGACAGGGTATTAACAATGTGAGTTTCTATGCTGTCAGATCGCACTCTTTCACTTACTTATGCATGTTACCCATAGCGACAGCAGTAAATAAGGATATATGTGTGTAGGCACAATGGGTTCGAAATTAGCTTTGCTATTATCAGGAGCCATTGTTTCACTAGGTCTGCTGCTACTGCTGCTGATGCTGTCGTTGTTATCTGTGTATAAATCCAGAAAGGAATTGACTAACGTTTGCGAGTAGTGGCCCACATTTCCAATGTCACAATGGACAGGACACGAGCTTGAACAAAGGAGAAACGACAGAACAAGCCGTATTCTTGTTTGAATTTTCATTATTATTATTATTACTGCCGATCGAACAACTTTTGCTAAACAAATGCGTTTAAGTTGACATGTGAACACTTAAAGAAGCTTTAGAAAACTACTGGCAAAGTTGCATTAGTAAGTATAAGTGCAGGTATGTCTACGTCGCATTGTAAGCTGTATGCGAGTGCAAGACTGGCCTATTGATAAACAAACAGTTGCCTAGTCGAAATGTGAGACTTCATGGGTCTGTGAAAGAATTTAGCTTGGCAGAGACAACTCTGAATTTATTGGTTAATCATGAACAAGAAAACGAAGATAAGCAATGGGGCTTTATATACCTCTAGCTTTGCGACTGTTTAATCTAAGGACTTTAAATATTTATCCTTTGCATTTTGGACAACCAACATTGTAATCTTCCCATCGGGTGTTATGAGCACCTCATGCAATCTGGTGCGCACACGTAACATGGCTAGATTTTGTTGCGGTTCCAATTTTTGTAGGAATGCTTGTGTCTTCTCGCGTAAATTGTCATAGAGACAGGCGTGCTGCAGGGCATCCTGACGCGACATTGAGGTTTTGACTGGCACACCCGAATGATTCATGATGAGCACCTCCTCTACACCAGGTTTCTCGAGCAGCAAGCGAAAAGCTTCATCAACATAGCTCTGAGTGCGCTTTGGCTGATGAAAAAGGTAAGTTAGTAAAAGATGGATACGTGGATGATATGGATGGATGAGCTATATACCTGAACTTCATAACCCTGCATTTTCTTCAGATTTGTTTGAGACTCTTATTCTATTTGAAATGCTGTCCTAGTTTTGGAAGTGAAAGCATAAACTGCTGTGTTTAAACAGATTTTATTTCAAGCTAAAACATATAAAATTTAAATTTGTGTTCAGTTGGTACATTTTTCGGCCAAGGCAGACGTGCACCATTTATAGTCCGAAAACATGTTGTTAGCCGCAACCATTACCAGTGTAAAAGCCACGGACAGCAGTTGGAGTAATTTCGAAGTCATTTTGTCGCCAAGTGTTTATTTTCTACTCATTGTATGCAATAAATGATTTTTACAAGCCCTAAGTCGTCACATGACTTGACATTTAAGCTATTTATATTTTATAATTTGCCATGAATTCAAATTACTTACGCCTCTTAACGCAGTTAAAATTTCACTCAATAGTGCCTTATGTGAGCAGTTCCAATTTACAAGACCTTACGCATACACTTCTATGCAGCAGTTAAAGCAGTGGTATAGAAGCAGTGCAAAATATACAACCCAGATATGCATGTTAGGCAGTTCAAATGCACACTTATAAGCAGTTCTTAAAGCAGTATATAAGCAGTGTAAAATACGTAATCTTAGAAATGTGTTGAAATATCGCTCTTCAAGAAAACTAAATTTAGACTACTTGATGCGAGATGGGTTTGTGGCGTCTGTCGTTAACGTGCCGCTTATTTATATTAGGTGCGGTCGGTTTAAAGGCTCGTAGGTTCAAACCTCAACCGAGATTGATGTTTTTTTCTGAATCTTCACATTTGTATTTATCTGAAATTAATTACGTAAAGAGCCACTCTCTTTGGCCGGATTAATTTACTTATAGTTAATGCCGTTTATGCGAGAGTAGGCAGATTAAATTTGGTGGGAATTACGCCTTCGGTGCCCATAACGGTTATCAAATCCGTGGGAAAACTATCATCCTTGTTTCCCTCCACAATTTAAAATTTTTTGCAATTTCACTTTACTGATTTTGTTTTGTTAAAACCCATAAATATTTATTCATAAATTATCTAATAATACAATAATATTTCTTATAATATAGTAACATATTTAGTACATTTGGTTTTGTTGGCCGCTTTGGAATTTTCAATCGTATTTTCAATTTCACATTCACAAAATACATTTTAATATGGCCTTTTACAAGAACAGCAAAGTAATTTTTTACTATACGAATTTTTTGCTCAATATGTATATATATATACATATATATATATATATATATATATATATATATATATATATAAATGTATATATAACAATTATTTCGTGGGTTATTTGACTTATCAAATAGACATTTTAAGCGGACAACGAGAAAAGTTCTCAAGTATTGTTTATATATAATAGTACATACAAAATAATTGTACAGCTATTAGCAACACGTCAAGTAGTGAACATTGTTTTAGTCTACGTTTTTGTAAGCCCCATGCCTAAAACTAGAGTACACACTTCTCTAAGTTTTTCACAGAAAAGTATTATCAACACTCTGAGGTTATTTAGGCATAGAGCTATATCCAGTCGATCAATGCCGGCCGCTGCATAAAAGAACTTAAGTCATATATGTTTAAGTTTAACTTATCCAATAGTTAATACATCAATTTTATTCTGCGGCATATATGTGTATATACACCCATATATTATTATGTTCATTTAGATAATTTTACTCCTTTGAGCTTCATTAAATTGCCTTTAGTTATAGTGTTGAATATCAATGAGTTTTTTATTGTACATCGAGCGTATTAAAAAGGTGGGTGGAGTTAAACTTTTTCAAGATTACAATTTACAGATTACTGATTCCATCGTATAGCTATTTTGGGTTTTTATAGGCTTAATGTAGCGATATGAATTACTCAACTATTTTGATTTATTTATTCCTCTCGCAGCTCAAAGTTTCGTACAAAATTTGAAGCTCCTTTGTTTTCGAAATGGGTTGTATTTTTTACTTGATTATTTGGTTTGTAATTTTTAAAGTAAACTTTTTTATGTGCTATGTTCATTCACAAATAGTTGAGCATACGTGTAACATTTATTTTGCCGGAATTGACAGCTTTTGCTAGATATTCTTTATTTAGGTACGAGCAAGTGAAAATTTTGAGTTGAGCAAATTGCTTTGGATTTGCTAATCTTAACATATTTAGCTCATTTATATATGTACACTATATATATATACATATGAGTTTTTCAATTGCATTTTTATCATATACACATACATATTTTAGGTTTTTTAACAGCCATTAACATTTCCATATTTAGGTTATTGTTGATAATTTCTTTACTTTTTTTCAATAATTTCGTAGCTTTTACAGGTACAGACACATTCACATAAACAAACGACATGCGACAATGGGTTAATCCTTTAACAGTGGGGTTATCATAAATATATATATAACACATATATTGTGTAAATTTATTCTAGGTACTTTGATTCGTAATATTATGTCACAGCTACTGCGCTAAAAACAACAACTCAAGAACAACAATTGAATAAAATTCCTGTTTTGTTAATATCCTTACACACTCATAGATTATGTATATATATAACTAAGTTCTATTCCTACATGTGGACAATACATAATGCTCAAAAATTTAACATAGTTTAAAAAATTATCACAAATTTCGGGTTTGCAGTTTTGAATCTAGCAGGAAACTTAATATAAAAATGTAACAAAATTAAATTATGTTTTATGTAAACATTTAAAATATTTTTGATTCTGCCTTGATTTATAATATATTTTGATATAATTTTTGTCTTAGTTTTAAATTACTTTTTCCACTAACTAGATGTACAAACACATACAAATGTTATAGGTATATTTAAATACAATCTTTACTCTATTTTTGCTTTTATTTTTTATTTTTTATATATTTTTTTTTATATTTTAGGCAACACACAGCTTTTTGATTTTTTCTCCATCTAATAACATGTATATATATATTTTTTATAAATAGTATATTTTAACAACAATACACAATAATTGCCATATAAATTATATTTCTCTTTATTATTTTGCATTAGTTTAATTATTGTTATTTGTTTTTAGGTATTTATTTAGTAAGTGTTCAGCTAAGTAATTACACTCATACACACACATAAAACATTTCTAAATATTTGCTTAAAGTTAGTTTTTGGTTTCTTGCTTTGCTGTTGCTGTAAGATCCATAGGTTTATGTATCTTGAAAATCCACTCGTATCTTAATTTCATTAGGTACATGAGTCTCTCATTTGTTTAGGCCTATCAGAATAGAGTTTTACATTAAACTGTGTACTATTTCCATAACTCTACATATACAGACAGATACATATTAACTAACATGCATACGAATTCAACTAAAACCAAATAAAGAAATGTTCTCTTAAGTCCAACTCTTGCCTCGATCTTTGCCCAAATTGCAAGCTTTGTAAAATGCATTAAAAATGTTTTAAAATATATTATAAAGAACATTTGCAGTAAAAATAAATATTATTTGTGTATATGTAGTAGTTATTTCCATATATTTATATGAATATATGTATATAGGGTATATTGTGTATATGTATATAAATGTATATTTTTTCCATTGCATTTGCACATTGCTCTCGATTTGGTTATGTTTCTAACGTCACTAAACATAGTCAATAGGTACAGTTATATATAATCGGGATATATATATATATAGATATATCTATGTATTTTACAGACACCTTTTCCTTCGCACAACAATCAAACGGGCTTTTTTGGGAGTTACTAAAACCTACGTTAACTCTTTGGTAATTGTAATGAGTCTTTCAACATAATACTTAGGTAAACATAGAGCACATAAATCAGTTGATAAGGAACTATTGCAACATAGTTGGTGTGTATGTATATAAGATAGACGGGACATAAATATAGTATATAGCTAGGAAACATTTTTAATGCGTTTTGCTTAAAAACCCCTGCAGTGGATAGTAACTAATTAACTTTTGAATACTAAATTTAAAAAATATAAAAACATTTTACATTTAATTTAAGCACAATTATGCATAAGGCCAATCGACTGAGCTCTGTCAATATGTCCATCATTTAAGACACCAAAGCTAGAGACTTGCAACTTCCTATGCTTATCATGTTTTTCACTTCTTATCAATAATAATCTATAATTGGATTTAGTTTAACTAAAGTACCACAAATTCTAAATTACAGCGTAGGTTTAATTGCGCGAATTTCGGATTTTGGATGCCTCATTCTGGATGGATGTTTGATTAAGACAAGTTGCATTGTAAGCTATATGTTAATAAAATAAATAATAAAATAAACTAAATTAATTTATAAGCAACACTTTGTCGTATCTCAATAAGATTGGCTTCAAATTCCAAAATTGATCATTAAGCTGTATTCACAAACAAATTTTTTTAAGCTGTCACCAAAATCTCGCTCTTGAAACTCCTCTACAAGGGTGTTTGGTATTCGGTGCTCCGAAATTTGCTATTTATTCTTGATTCTGTTTTAAGTCCGTTTATGTGAAACAATTTCTATTTCTTGGGCAAATGTTCAAAGTCTCTTGGAAACAATTTTGAATTGTTGAAGTTGTTGCAATCTCTACCAAATTTCTGTTGCTGTTCGGCGCCAAAGTAAATGTAATCCAAATAAATATTTATAAAATCTACATCTATATAAACATACAGGCATATAACATTTAAGTATTAATATATAGGTATATATAAATATGTATATGTAGACTTGCTTAAAAACAATGTTTTGCTTAGCTCGAGCTCATTTACATTATACTATATAGGTACTTAAAAAAATAGTGTTCAATATTGGAACTACAGTTTATATTAGGTTTCGAGTTGAGCTTTTCTTTATTTCTTAGAAGTTGCAGCTGCTTTCGTTTTGCTTGCTGTTGGTGTAGTATTTGATGTTGTCTTTGTAGAACTTGCCGTTGTTGTTGGCTTGTTCAGCTTTGGGGACATGCTGCTCATGCCGCTGATGTTGCTGTTAATAGATGTTGGTGTTTGTTTGGTTGTCTGGGACTTGCCAGCTGTTGGTGTTGCTGCAAATGTTGTGGACTTTTTTGTGGGCGATGTTGCTGTTGCTGTGGCTGAGAATGTTGTCACCTTCTTAGTAGGTGACGTTGCTGTGGGCTTTGTTGTTGCTGTTGCCGGCTTTGGTGTTGCTGATGTAGGGAAAGTTGTTGCCTTTTTAGTTGGTGATGTTGCTATGGATTTTGGAGCTGTTGTCGATACGGCTGACGGTGATGTTGTGTTCTTTTTAGTAGGTGTGGTGTTTGCTGCTGTTGGAAAAGTTGTAGCGTTTTTAGTAGGCGAAGCAGGCTTTTTTGCAGCTGCTGCTACTTTCTTTGTGGCTGCTGTTGCTGTGGTATTAGATGCAGCTGCTGTTGTCGATGCTTTTACTGTTGCTGGCATGCCAACCGATGCTGCTGGTGTTGGTATTGCTCCCATAGCAATTGCAGCTGGCTTTGGAGTAGTAATTTTCTGAGTTGCTGTAGCTTTCATATCAATAGTTGGTGCTACGTTTGCTGGGGTCTTAGTTGCTTCTTTTCGAATTGCCCCTGTTGTATTACTGTTAACAACAGCAGAAATTGTTGCTGTTGCAGAGGCTGCCTTTGTGGCAGTTGCTGTGTTGCTGGCAATAGCTGTGGTAGATGCTGTTGCAGCTATTTTGTCTGTTGCTGTTGCTGCTTTAGACACATTACTTGCAACAGTTGCTGTTGTTGTTGATGCTTTAGTCAGGTTACTAGCGACAGTGGCCGATGTCACTTCTGCTGTTGCTGGTGCTATCTTTGGAACATTGCTTGCAACAGTTGCTGATGCTTTAGTCGGGTTACTTGCAGCAGTGGCCAATTTTACTTCTGTGGCTGCTGGTGCTATCTTTGGCACATTGCTTGCAACAGTTGCAGCTGTTGCTGCTGGCTGTGTTACCTTACCATCCACACTTGTTGCTAATACAGTTGCCGATGTAAATGCTTGAGGCTTGGCAGTAACACTGACAGTTATTGCTGTCATTGAAGCAACAGTTGTAGCTGGCTTGGTAGCAATGCTTGCAGTTGGCTTTGATATTGTTGTAATAATCTTTGTTGCATTGTCGGTGGCTATAATTGAAGTAGATGCTGTCATAGCAGCTACTGTTGGCGCTGTCTTTAGCGTTTTATTTGCAACAGTCACGCTCGGCTTCAACGTTGTTGATACGTTTAGTGTCTCTATTATTTGGGGCTTTTGAATGGCAGCAACTGTTGCTGTTGCACCGACTCGGTCAATGCTGGCAACACTCACATTTACATCTGTTGCAGCAGTTTTGCTGGGAATGCCGTTCGCAACAGCTGTTGTTATTGGCTTTGTGGCTGGCATAAAAGTAGTCAGAGCTATATTTGGCTTAGTGCCAGTTGGCATCGTGGCAATATTGTTAGTTGTTGCAGCTTTGGCCTGTGAGCTGGCAACAACAGCAGCTGCTGTCTTGGACTTAGCTGGCTCTTCAGGCATAGTTTCTGCTGCAGCAAACGTAGACATGGTGTTGCACTCACGTCCGCTGCTCATGGTGCCAGTAGACAACACTTTGGTGGTAGCTGCAACTGTTGCTGTTGCTGTTGCTGGTGTCTTCAGTTGCTTGCTGGCAGTTGTTTGGCCATCATTGCTCGCTTCGATGAGCGGCGGTCGGCTGGGATTTGCCATTGGTATGGACTTGTTGCGTCCATTCTCCGCTTGAGCTTTCTGCTGATTGCTGTTGCTGCTGTGCCTAGCCGATGTCTTTAGTATGCTCGGCCCGGGCAGCTTACCCACCGTCATAGGCAACACATCAACGTCAACGCTGGCGGCCATCGCTGACGAGGATGCGTTAACCCGCTCTCAGAGTTGCAATGCCTCGTCTCGATAGCCGTTGCTGATGCCGTTGTCGTTGCCGTTGTCGTTGCCGTTGTCATTGCCATTGCCCGCGTCTTCGTACGGCATCAGTTCCGCTGGTGCTCCACTTATTAGTATTTGAGTATTGGTCACACCATCGTAGTTCTGGCTCTGATAGCGTTCGGCATGCAAATTGACACAGGGTCTGCCGGCAGGTCCCCATTCGGCGGTGGGTTTTAACAGATGCTTGAGGCGTTCCTTGAAGCCCAGATGGCTTGGTGCCTTGCAGATTTGCTGCACACCCACCGCAATTATGATAAGCACCGGTAATAGGCCAACGATCCAGCCCACAATATCCGCCCATAGAGGGTATATATAATGTCCGTACTGAGCGGGCTTGTACTCTACCCAGTTGAAGAATAAAATGAACTGCAATTCCAATAGAGATTAATCATTTTTGGGCGACACAGAAAATGAGCTTTCAGGTATATAGGATTATTATATAGTAATTTGAGTGGAAGACAGGAGTATCGAAATCAGTTCGCTTACCAATAGCGTTGCTGGTGTTATATAGCGCCACATAAAGCCCCAGAAAAAGTTCCATAAGCGCGAACGCTTGCCAATCATGCCCTGTATGTCGTTGAGGAAACGCTGTGATCCATAGATCCAGGCAATTAGCAAACACTCCAGTATAGCTATAAGCAGCACAGACCAATTGGCGGCGTATTTGTCCATCAGCTGCAGCCAGTACATGCCGCTCTGAGGAAAAGCACGTTTATGCTGAGAGCTATCATTAGGGATATCTAAGACATGCTCACATTGGTGGTAAAGCCGAGGCCGCCCGTGTAGCCAAATATGGCCACAAAGAGTACAACCCAAGTTTTGTATTGTCGCAGATTTGGAAACTTGTCCAAAATGGCAGTAGTTACGGTTTCCATCAGAGCAAACTGCGAGTCCAGGCCGAGGGTGAGCAGCATGACGAAGAACAGCACAGACCACACAGGTGAGATGGGCAGGCGAGTCACCACCTCCGGATATACAATAAATGCCAAGCCAGCGCCCTGATCCACAACCTTTTTCACCTCCACGTCCAGCTCGTGTGCGAGAAATCCAATTATCGAAAAAATGACTAGACCCGCAAAGAATGAGGTGGCTATGTTGCAAAAGGCAACAATAAGGGCATCCCTGAAAGATAAGCAAATTTATTGATATTTGATTTTATTAATATTATTTAAAGGTAAACGCAAACAAAAAATTCTAATATGAGCATCGAGCTGGCTTCTGCTGGCTTGAGTGGATTTACTTGCGGCGTAGGACTATGATAAGCAGATATCAATAGACTTGAAATACAGATTAAGCTAATTGAGATTTATATAATATATTATATACTTGACTGGCTAACAGACAGATGAATCGGGGGCTGTTGGCCCTGATCAAGGACAGCAGCCATATATCATAAAATTATACCTAAAACCTTCATCAGGAATCAAACCTGAGTCTTCAGAATCGCCCACTACTTTATTGTGTGAATTCCCATTTTTAATGAGCTCATAATCTAAGAAAGAGAAAAAGTTATCAGCTTCCATAAATTTGACTGCTTTTAGCCAAAACTTTTTCTATGTCAATATACAGGAGTTATTGTTAAGAAGGTTAGGAAGACGTTTATACAAAGTACTTGCAGTTCTATTGATATGTGGATATTACAAGACTATATGATACATACTTATAGCAGTTATTGGAGAATTTGTTGTATGAGGACAGCGTGATGAGGCCACCCCATGCGGGGCTCAAAGCAAAAAATATCTGCACCGCGGCATCGCCCCAGACCTAGAAAGAGCATATAAAATGTGAATATTGTGATAAAGGATGCGTTTGGGCAGGATGATTCACTTGAGCATTGGCCAGTTGCTTCCAGTCGGGCGTTAGATAAAACAGTATGCCTGTGCTGGCGCCAGGTAGGGTAACGCCACGGAAGAAGAGTATGACCAGAACCACATACGGAAAGAGTGCCGTAAAGTAGACGACCTTGCCGGAGGACTGGACGCCCTTGCACAGGCACAGAAAGACAATGGCCCAGGCGATGAGCAGGCAGGCGGCCAGAGAGACTTTGATGCTGCCCGTTTCCTCGATGCCCGACGACAGGCCCAGCACAAAGTTGCTGAAAAGAGAAGAGAACAGTAGAGAAGAGTAATCTATATTTAAAGCTGTGGAATCAACTACTATTTCCTTGGGAATGGTCACTCACTTGAAGTACTCCTCGGCTGGAGGACGCTTCAGGGCGTGCAGCGCCAGGCCTGTAATATTGTTTGCCTCAGCATAGCTCGAATTGTAGCAGTTGCGAAGATAGTAGGTGCCATTAATCGCATCACACTGATCGGCCGCCACGTAGGAGAAGCAATCTGCAAGACCCATCAACTAGTTAGCAAATTGTCCAAGACTGTGAAAACAAAAGCCAATGGACTCGAGTCCTGCTCTACTGAACAATTCAAGCTGACAGTCACTCAATTATGCATTAAGGGGCAGCAAATTTTTAATATTTATGAACTATTTGCCGGAACAGCAGGAGCAGAGCGAAAAAGACAAGGAAATAACAATGCTGAAAAAGGACTCGAATGTGTGCGAAAGGACAACAAAAAAGGACGAGCCGTGCAACTTTTATGCGGCTTCATAATTAAAAGGACAAAGTAGCAAATCAGTGGAAAACATGAAAAGGGTAGACTGTTATTGTTGCTGCTACTGCTGCTGCTGCTGCTGCTTTTGTTGTCAGAGAGCAAACAAAAAACACATTGAGCTAAGCTTTTGGTGTATGACACTAGGAAACACCCTGTCCCTGAAACAAATAATTGCATTACTACGACTTTTTCTTCACTTGTTTTATGTAAGCTGTCTGCTCCAAAATTTAGTTAAATAAGTATAACAATGCATGCATTTGACAGTCTTCTAGATACCCTGTTAAGTACATGAGTGCAGTGCTATGCCTATAGAATTCATTTTATTATGTTGCACTGCATTAAGATTTATGATGGAAGCATAAATATCAGGATCACAATTTTTCTAGTATATTATAAACACAAATGTGAACAGCTTATTTCAGACGACTTTGAGATACCCTGTAGCTATCTTTTATTTCGAATATTGAACGATTGATATATTTATCTAAGGCTTAGCCGAATTAATTGCTATTATAAGCGATGACAGTTATAAGAGATCCCCTGTACTAAATTACATTGGACACACAATGGACAATCACTGACATGAACAACTGTAGAGTACAGCCTTGTTGGTGCAGGGTATGTAAGAAGGGTTAAATGGTCTAAAGGGTTTGTCAGCCCCTATGACAGCGGGAGCAACGAGATTCAGTTGTTGACCCAGGCCTGATTAAATTTGAAGAGCGTGCTTTATGGAGTTGAGACGAAAGCAAATCGATGTTGGGTATTGACGAAAGGGCACAAAGTTCAATAGAAACGCTGACTAAGTTGATTACGAGCAAGGCCATTTGCACTTTTATTATTTAGAGTAATAAGAAAATCCATTGAGTTTTAAATAAATATTGTATGAGCGGATCTCATGCCAAATTGCAGCTGGGCAGCCGAGTTATAAAGCAAACTTGAAGCGGCTTATGAAGCACTTTTTGTGCATATTTAAAAAACAAAGAGCTGGCCACGCCGAAACAGGTGACTTTGACACACCTGGCGCTAACAATTTGCGGCTACGCAGCTTAATCCAGCTGCCAAAAAGGCGCCGCCAATGTCAGCAACTGATTATGGCATTTGAGTTGTGACGCTCAACGCCTGCCACACAGGGCGTATGAGTTTTTGGCAAAAAAGGAGAAAAAGCGTGTAAGCTGATGTTTATGAGTGGGTGGCATGGCTGGCATATGCATATGAATGTGTGTGGGTGTCTGAGTCTGCGAGTGTGCCAAATGCCAAAGTTTTTTGGGTCTTTCGGTTGACTAACGAGGCAAGCGGTTGACCACAAAAATGACTAACTGACTGCTGACTGCTGACGGCTGACTGCTGTCTACTGACTGCTGACTATGTGGCTGTTAGTTTGCCAAGTTTTGAGCTAGAGCAATTCGGCATTTTGTGTTTGCTACGGAAATGAAATGTGGCGGCAGTGCGGAGTCACACGCCACAAGCCCTTGGCTAATAGACCGTATTGAGGCATACCAAAAGCCATCTGATTTTCATTTAGTACGGCTCCTTGCCATTTTTAGTTTGTTAATAATATTTCATCCCACTATAGCTTTCATTGGGGAAGCACTGCAACTGGCAAATCGTGTCTGCATGTACCTGCCAGTCCGACATGCAATTAATTTACACATTTGCCATGCGCCTCACGTAGCTGCTAATAAATGGTAACGGTACAGCACATCAGTACAAGGTACAGTCGCCACTCCTGATGCCCTCATTTACTGTACTGCTGCCTGTGCCAGCTGAAGTTGGCTAACTTGATTACGTATCAAATCAGCAGTGTGTTTCAAACATATGATTGCGATCGATGTTTTACGTTTGATTACTGCCAAATTGTAACCCTTCTCAAAGCAAACTCGCATTTAAAGGGAAACAAATGTGATTAGATGAAGTTTAACCTTGATACGTCTGGCAAGGCAATATTTATAGGATGTATGGTTATTTGATTCATTTTTAGAGGATCTGAATATTTGGAATATTTTAATTTTGGTACGGCAAAATTTATTTATTTATAGGTATATGAATATATCATTTTCTGATTCATCTTTAGATCTGAATAGTAATTCGATTGCCAGACTCTCAACTGAGTTGCTATATATTTTTATATTATATATTTTATATTTTGTTTTAAATATTATTAAAAAAGTAGTTAACACTTTAAAGGAGCTGCCTGCATATAGCCAAATTGTTTAATAGTAAAGGTAAAGAGCGATCTGTGGAGTTGTTGGCATGCAAGTCATTAAGTTTAATGTGTTTTCCACTGTCTACCAACAAATCGATTAGTCAACAAATTAGATAATTGACATAAAGTTTGCAAATGAAAAGAAAATAAATAAAATGAAATGATAAAATAGATAAACAATTTAAACTAAGAAAATAAATTATTTCTTCTTTTGAAAGTTATTAATTCTATGAGCTTTAAAATGTATTTTAGCAATTTTTAATTGCTATTATACATATATTATATATATATATATATATATATATTATATGACCTTAAAATACGATGTGGACAGTTCTTCTAACTTTAATGTTCCATGTTTCTAGAGCTTTAAAATGAGTTCGAAACTAATTTTTAATTTGCTTTGCAGCATGCCAGAATGTCAATGGATTTTTTCCTTATATGTGCAAAGTCATTTGCTTTTATGTTGAAGAAAATGGCAGAATTTTAAATGTCTCTTTAAAACGTGTCATGCCATGAATCGAATATTTCAATTTACGTGCTAATTTTAACTTAAATATGATACATTTTTCACTGCAACTCGATTCAAATTAATCAAAGAGTCTGACAACGGCACAAAACCAACTCAATCAGCGTTGATTCAATTGCCCCCCGTTACGCATACGCCCCATATGACCCAGTCTAGGAGCTGTTAGCGTACGACATTTAAGCGAAGGCTAAGCATATGGACCCTTTATATATATATATATACAAATGCAGGCTTGTGTGCTTTTTACAGCATATTCATCATCTAATCAATCAGCATCAAAATGAAAATCAAACGCTTTACAGCTAGAAAATTGAACAGAATTTCTTGTGGTTCTTGTGGTCGCAGAAGTTGGGTTTATTTTGTTTTTATTTTATTTTTCTCTTCTACTCTTTTTTTTGTTGGCATGTGGGTGGCTTCAAAGTGTTTACACGCCGTTTAATTTGCCTGTCTGCCTTTATTTGTTATGCAATTAATTTTATTACAAACATACGCTCATACAGAACAAGACAAAGATAGCTAGCGGGAGGCGGAGAGCGAGAGAGAGAAGGAGATGGATAACCTGATAGAGCCCGTAGATACAAATCATATAAAAGTTTATGCGAATGCGGCAGCAGGCTAAAACTGTCTGCCTTTCAATTTGGCCAACTCGAGCGTGTCTACCCAGCCAACTGTGCCTGTGCGTTCGTCTGTTCGTGTTGGCATCTTACATTTGATTACAAATACACACACACGAAAACAAACACGCTCACGCACACTATGATAAGATTGTTATATAAGCCGCTCCCAAGTCGCCTTGCTGAGGAAATTGCCATTAAATTTTGTGACCTTTAAGTTTGATGTCAGCCTTCAACTTTTTTCTTGTTCTACAAAAACTTTTTACTAACAAACTGTTGTTGTTGCTGGTCCATGTGTCAGGCACATGTTGGCCATGTCCACAACATTCGCTTTGATTAGCTCAACAACCTTATTGGCCCAATTAGAAGTTATAAAAAATTAAAAGCAAAATGAATAGCAAATACGAGCCAAAGTCCGTCTGGAACATCGCCGGAAAACCCTCAGAGAGGATAATCAAAATAGTTACTTTATTATCATCAATAAATTGATTAAGGACTAGTTTTTACTCAGTTTTATGGTATGCTTAGATCATCTCATTTCAAAGCCTCTGCAACTGAAACGACTCGGGAACACTTTTCTTTTTAAATTTGGCGATTGAGTAAGCAAAAAATATGTCGATAATATTCAACGTTCTTTATGGTTTACCTTAGATATTAATAGAGAATGAGGCAATTGAATGTTACCAGTTGATTTATTAATTTTATAATAGAATAGAATAGAATTAGAATATAAACTAAAAATCGATTTTCTTATTTGTCTTTCGCCTGTAAAAGGGAGCATTTCGTACCATACTTGGCCATACTTGGTCATATTAGAACAAAGCGTTGCCACCTGGTTAAAAGGCCATAAGAATGCTGCAGTACAACTTGTCATGAAACTAAGCTGATTTTGACTTGTTCTTTTTTTGCTTATATTTTGACTATACTTTATTTTAACATGTTGCATTCTTAGCACTTTTTTATGTTTATTGGGAGGGAAAAAGATTTTTATGTGAGTTGATTAGGCTTTGTGAATGGAGTCGGGTTGCAGTTATTAATTCATGATTGAGCGCACCTTTGGTGGGAAGTGTACGGCTTGCAGTTGCGCCAGGTGAGTTAATTTGAATTTTTTTGAATGATATCTTTTCTTTCATGTCGCCTCTCCCTCTCCCTCATTCAGAGACAGCTGCCTCTACTTGTTGTTATTTAAATAAATATATATAATTTTATATATTAGCGCTGAGTTGTCTATGCTCTGACACTCACTAGACACACTCTATCTATCTCTCTCTCTCTCTCTCTCTTTATGTCATTAGTTTTTTCTACCTTTAATCTATTTTATTACATTTCCGTAATATGTGCTCATAAGTATTAATTGTTTGGATCATAAGCTAATACTTGGCAAACGATGACAGCAATGAAATGCAAATAAAATACAGAGTCTCCTGCGTAGCCTCATGGCATGAGCAAAGTCCACAGAAAAAAGGAAAACAAGATTTCACTCAGCAACATATTGGCTGAGAAAGTGTTTGAGTTGTTGTTATTGTTTGTTATTATGTGTTGAATTTGTGTTTGTCTTGAGGGTCACAAACAAACTGAAGCTGGCGCTAGGAGTGCAAGATATTCAATCTATGAACAAACAAGTTAAACACATTTTAATCATGAGGCTAAAAGTAAACATTTATCATCTAAAATTCGATGAGACGAGAAACGAGAATTGAGCACAAGGACGAGGACGAGGACGAGGACGAAGGCGAAAGCGAAGACGAAGACGAGGCCAAAGCCACTGGCGAGACGAGGTGAAAGTGTCAATAAATGAAATCCTAAAGAAATTGCTTGTCTGCCGCCTGAGATTGCGGCTGTGCGACAGTACATACATATATATGTATATATATATATATATATGTTTGCCTGTGTGTGTGCCTGTATATGTGCAGCTAAAGAGCTTAAAAAAAGCATGAGCACAAGGCTGCGAATCGGCATGCAAGCCAACGAAGCCACAGCCACAGCCGCAGCCGCCGTCACCGCCGATTGAATGTCAAAATGTGCTTAGACATAATTGTTGTCATCTTAAGTATTTCTTTTTGTAGCTCTCTAAAGAGCGGAAGAAGACAAAGCAGAAGGCGAGCAGCAAAAACGCTTATTCACATTGACATGAGTCGGCTGGACGAGCAGATACTTTCTAAACAATTAATTGTTCAAGAACATGGCAAATAAAATAGTTTTGTCAATTAAGGAAAAATTCATAAAAATCTCTTCTCTTAGAAGAGAGGGATTTTGCTACTTAAATTTAAAGAAACTTATTCAAGAATGAGTGCATTGATGATGCACTTGAGTCATGCTTCAAGATTTAGAGATATATCAAAACTCTTTGAACTAAAAACTTATAAATATCTATAATTATATTTGCAGTAATCTTCACTACGCAAATCGATGAATTTACAGCTGATGAAACTATTTTGAACATTTTATTTTACAGAGTATACTAGCAAGAGGAAGGCTAACAACAAAATCGCCCCGATTGCGCATATCGATTTCTGTTGCCGACGGACAGAGCGGAAATGCCTGAGTATTTTTTTCGCTGTTGCTGCTGATGCTGCCGCTGTTGCTGCTGCTGTTGCTGTTGCTGTTGCTGCTGCTGTTGCTGCTGGTGTCTCTGCTTTGGGCTATGGCTTTGCATCAATGGCCGCCATATTAAATCATGTTGGCTCAAGCGGCAATGGGCGTGGGTGGCGCGTAGTGGCAGCTGCCGCTGAAGCTCATGCAAAAACTTTCAATGGCGTTAGCTGTTGTTGCTATGATTATTACTTGTACGGGCTGTAGCCTGTACACAGCACCACTTGAGTGTCTGTGAGTGTGTGTGTGTGGGTGAGTGGGTGTGTGTATACACGTTTAAGTGCTACTGAGGCAGCCGCAATAAAATAAGCAAAGTTCGCAGCTTGAGTCGCATAAAAAAGCAAAACAAGCTGCAATTTGTAGCACTTTCAAGCAACGACTTTTAATACTCTACCAAACTTGTAGATGCAATAATTATAATTAATACATACATAATATATAATATGTATATAAACAACTTTATTGAATGAAATAACTTTACGACACTTAAAAAATGTATAAAAATTCCAATGGAATTTTTATTTAAGTGACAGACTATGTTACTTTATAGTTGTACATAATACTCTATTTTGTGCCAGCTAGTTCAAACGTACAGCCTTCACTGCCCGTCTACTCTCACAGACTCGTTAAAGATTTATGTCCTTCGCGTGGCGGACAAAATTTTAAATTGTGTCGCTGTGTTTGTATTACATCTCTCTCGGTGTGTGTGTGTGTGTCTGTGTAGAGAAATCAAATGCACGCTTAAGCGCGCACAATATGCGCTGCCCTGCCACGCCCAGCGCTGAAGCGCCCCCTGCGCTGTCAAACGAAAAGCAGCGCAAAAACAATTGCCTGCTTCAAGGCGTTGTCTAGCTGCGGGCCAACTTTTTTTGCTGTTGCCTGTTTATTATTATCATTTTTGGGAAGAAAAAAGGAAAAAACTTGGTTTTTATTGTTTACGTGTGCGTTGATTGCGAACGTATAAAAACCTAGCTAGCATATTTACAAGCACAGCATTAACTTTTGCTGTCGAACGTAAAAATTTATGAAGGGACGCCAAATTAATGTGTGATCGATTTGTATGGAAAAGTTTGCAATGTGTTATCGATGTTCATAAATACGCTAATACAATCGCCAATTTGGTGGAATTACATAAATTAATTCATCCGACCTTATTTATTTCACTGTCATTAATCAGTTAGTCAATCAATTGACCATTCTAGTGACTATGGCCAGTAGCTGGATATAAGCGTATTAGTCTAGCATTCAATTAAATAATTAAATCTTGTTATTCAACTGTAGTCGATACCGATGTATATATTTGTAATCGATATGGATCCATGCAGGCTCATATAACAGTTATCGATAGTCAGTATTGCACTCAATGTAATACAGTGAACTCTTATGATATTTAATGCAGAAAATAAATATAATAAAATCATAAAACAATGATTGGCTTATCAACTACATATATTACATTTCCTGGCCAATTTCCCACTGGGTCGTTTACTTTAATGGGCCTTGTCGTTTAGGCATTACGACCACGTTTGCCCTAATGCGGCCAAGCAAAAGTTTTGGACAGGATAAAGTTTCACTTTTGACAGCTTGCAGCTTAATTTATTGCCAAAAATAATATTGTTAGCTTGGACCACGCAGCCTTTCCACCTGCAACTCAATTTAAGTTTGTTTACTCACGCTGCGTGCTCCATTCCGGCTCGCAGTTCTGCCAAGGTAGCTGGGTACGGAACGAGGCAAACATATAGAATATGGTCCAGGCGATGATCAGATTGTAGTACAGCATGACAATGGCCGAAACGATGACCATGCCGGTGCCCAGGCCACGAAAGAGCGGGCAGAAGCGTCGATAGATGGCCACCGGCCCCAGGGCAGCATATTGGCCAAACGAGAGCTCCATGAACATGAGCGGCAGACCCGCTATGATGAGCATGATGGTAAAGGGTATTAAGAACGCACCTGCAATCAAAGTTTTGTTGAACATATTCAGGAAAGGATGTATATGGGAAGGACCTACCACCTCCATTGTTGTAGCACAGATAGGGAAAGCGCCAGACGTTACCAAGGCCTACGGAGTAGCCAAGCAGCGAAAGCAGAAAATCAAAGCGTCCCGTCCAATTACCGCGTTCCGGATCGCCTGTCTCAATAGCCACCACGTCAGCGTCCAGTGTGACCAGCGCCGTGCCGGAGGCGCAGCCAGCAATGCTTATGGCTGTGGGCGTGGTGGTTAACTGAGGCGGTGCTGCCTGCTTACCCGATGGCGTGGGTGTTAAAGCTGCCGCATTGCCAGGACACACTACATTGCCACCGCCTGCTGCTGCCACAGGACCCGCTCCAACTCCAGCTCCGACGCCAGCTGCTGTTGCTGGCTTGCTACTATGAGGCAATTTGAGTGGCTTGCCTCGCTCCGAAGTGAATTCACAGCTAGTGAAACGATCCTCATTTTGCTGCAAGGAATTGAATGTCGGCCTGGTTAAATAACCTTACTTGACAGTGACTCGACATACATCTGACCAGCTGCCAGGCTACCGCAACGAATGGCATTCTATGCTCATTATTGAACGAATTACGTGAACAATGTAACACTCAGTTTTGTGTGCCTTTATACACTTTATACTATTAAAGCATCATATCACTGTTACTCTCATTATTAAATTTGTATCGCCATTTATCTATTCTATTAAAAATATATTACCTAAATTTGTTGATTGACAGAGAAATCATTTAAAATTCAAAGCGTATTATTATATATTCTATCTTCCCTCCTCAACCTTTAATCTTGAAACTTCAATCTTCAATCTTTCATCTTCTATCTTCAACCTTCAATCTTCTATCTTTCATCTTCTATCTTCGCCCTTCAATTTTCTATCTTCGCCCTTCAATTTTCTATCTTCGATCTTCAATCTTTAATGTTAAATCTCCAATCTTCAATCTTCAATCTTTCATCTTCTATCTTCAACCTTCAATCTTCAATCTTTCATCTTCTATCTTCAACCTTCAACCTTTAATGTTAAATCTCCAATCTTCAATCTTCAATCTTTCATCTTCTATCTTCAACCTTCAATCTTCTATCTTCAACCTTCAACCTTCAATCTTCTATCTTCAATCTTTAATGTTAAATCTCCAATCTTCAATCTTTCATCTTCAATCTTCAATCTTCAATCTTCTATCTTTCATCTTCTATCTTCAACCTTCAATCTTCTATCTGTCATCTTCTATCTTCAACCTTCAATCTTCTATCTTCAATCTTCGATCTTTAATGTTAAATCTCCAATCTTCAATCTTTCATCTTCAATCTTCAATCTTCCATCTTTAATCTTCAATTTTCAATCTTCAATCTTTCATCTTCTATCTTCAATCTTCAATCTTCAATCTTTCATCTTCAATCTTCCATCTTTAATCTTCAATTTTCAATCTTCAATCTTTCATCTTCTATCTTCAACCTTCAATCTTCTATCTTCTATCTTCAACCTTCAATCTTTAATGTTAAATCTCCAATCTTCAATCTTTCATCTTCAATCTTCAATCTTCCATCTTTAATCTTCAATTTTCAATCTTCAATCTTTCATCTTCTATCTTCAACCTTCAACCTTTAATGTTAAATCTCCAATCTTCAATCTTCAATCTTTCATCTTCTATCTTCAACCTTCAATCTTCTATCTTCAACCTTCAACCTTCAATCTTCTATCTTCAATCTTTAATGTTAAATCTCCAATCTTCAATCTTTCATCTTCAATCTTCAATCTTCAATCTTCTATCTTTCATCTTCTATCTTCAACCTTCAATCTTCTATCTGTCATCTTCTATCTTCAACCTTCAATCTTCTATCTTCAATCTTCGATCTTTAATGTTAAATCTCCAATCTTCAATCTTTCATCTTCAATCTTCAATCTTCCATCTTTAATCTTCAATTTTCAATCTTCAATCTTTCATCTTCTATCTTCAATCTTCAATCTTCAATCTTTCATCTTCAATCTTCCATCTTTAATCTTCAATTTTCAATCTTCAATCTTTCATCTTCTATCTTCAACCTTCAATCTTCTATCTTCTATCTTCAACCTTCAATCTTTAATGTTAAATCTCCAATCTTCAATCTTTCATCTTCAATCTTCAATCTTCCATCTTTAATCTTCAATTTTCAATCTTCAATCTTTCATCTTCTATCTTCAACCTTCAACCTTTAATGTTAAATCTCCAATCTTCAATCTTCAATCTTCAATCTTTCATCTTCTATCTTCAACCTTCAATCTTCTATCTTCAACCTTCAACCTTCAATCTTCTATCTTCAATCTTTAATGTTAAATCTCCAATCTTCAATCTTTCATCTTCAATCTTCAATCTTCAATCTTCTATCTTTCATCTTCTATCTTCAACCTTCAATCTTCTATCTGTCATCTTCTATCTTCAACCTTCAATCTTCTATCTTCAATCTTCGATCTTTAATGTTAAATCTCCAATCTTCAATCTTTCATCTTCAATCTTCAATCTTCCATCTTTAATCTTCAATTTTCAATCTTCAATCTTTCATCTTCTATCTTCAATCTTCAATCTTCAATCTTTCATCTTCAATCTTCCATCTTTAATCTTCAATTTTCAATCTTCAATCTTTCATCTTCTATCTTCAACCTTCAATCTTCTATCTTCTATCTTCAACCTTCAATCTTTAATGTTAAATCTCCAATCTTCAATCTTTCATCTTCAATCTTCAATCTTCCATCTTTAATCTTCAATTTTCAATCTTCAATCTTTCATCTTCTATCTTCAACCTTCAATCTTCTATCTTTCATCTTCTATCTTCAACCTTCAATCTTCAATCTTCAATCTTCAATCTTCAATCTTTCATCTTCTATCTTCAACCTTCAATCTTCTATCTTTCATCTTCTATCTTCGCCCTTCAATTTTCTATCTTCGATCTTCAATCTTTAATGTTAAATCTCCAATCTTCAATCTTCAATCTTTCATCTTCTATCTTCAACCTTCAATCTTCTATCTTCAACCTTCAACCTTCAATCTTCTATCTTCAATCTTTAATGTTAAATCTCCAATCTTCAATCTTTCATCTTCAATCTTCAATCTTCAATCTTCTATCTTTCATCTTCTATCTTCAACCTTCAATCTTCTATCTGTCATCTTCTATCTTCAACCTTCAATCTTCTATCTTCAATCTTTCATCTTCTATCTTCAACCTTCAATCTCCAATCTTTCATCTTCTATCTTCAACCTTCAATCTTCTATCTTCAACCTTCAACCTTCAATCTTCTATCTTCAATCTTTAATGTTAAATCTCCAATCTTCAATCTTTCATCTTCAATCTTCAATCTTCAATCTTCTATCTTTCATCTTCTATCTTCAACCTTCAATCTTCTATCTGTCATCTTCTATCTTCAACCTTCAATCTTCTATCTTCAATCTTCGATCTTTAATGTTAAATCTCCAATCTTCAATCTTTCATCTTCAATCTTCAATCTTCCATCTTTAATCTTCAATTTTCAATCTTCAATCTTTCATCTTCTATCTTCAATCTTCAATCTTCAATCTTTCATCTTCAATCTTCCATCTTTAATCTTCAATTTTCAATCTTCAATCTTTCATCTTCTATCTTCAACCTTCAATCTTTAATGTTAAATCTCCAATCTTCAATCTTTCATCTTCAATCTTCAATCTTCCATCTTTAATCTTCAATTTTCAATCTTCAATCTTTCATCTTCTATCTTCAACCTTCAATCTTCTATCTTTCATCTTCTATCTTCAACCTTCAATCTTCAATATTCAATCTTCAATCTTCAATCTTTCATCTTCTATCTTCAACCTTCAATCTTCAATCTTTCATCTTCTATCTTCAACCTTCAATCTTCTATCTTCAACCTTCAACCTTCAATCTTCTATCTTCAATCTTTAATGTTAAATCTCCAATTTTCAATCTTTCATCTTCAATCTTCAATCTTCAATCTTCTATCTTTCATCTTCTATCTTCAACCTTCAATCTTCTATCTTTCATCTTCTATCTTCAACCTTCAATCTTTAATGTTAAATCTCCAATCTTCAATCTTTCATCTTCTATCTTCAACCTTCAATCTTCTATCTTCAATCTTCGATCTTTAATGTTAAATCTCCAATCTTCAATCTTTCATCTTCAATCTTCAATCTTCCATCTTTAATCTTCAATTTTCAATCTTCAATCTTTCATCTTCTATCTTCAACCTTCAATCTTCTATCTTCAATCTTCAATCTTCAATCTTTAATGTTAAATCTCCAATCTTCAATCTTCAATCTTCCATCTTTAACCTTCAATCTTCAAATTTCAATCTTCAATCTTCAAACTCCAATCGTTTTAAGTTATTACCTCCCATAGATCCACATCCAGCTGGGTGCTTGATTCCTTGTTCGGCTTGAGGCTTTTCGTTTTAGACTTTGTCTTTGATTTCTTATCCATGTTGGGGCTCAGTTGTTGCTGCTAATTGCATGCTATTCTTTGGCTCTGGCTGTGGCTCTGTCTGCTTCTGCTTCTGCTGCTTTGTTCAGCTGCTGTTTTGCAGCTTTTCGGTTTTCGTATTTTGTGATTTATGTCACTCGCTTCATAAATTCAAGTTTTCGTAACAGATGGCACTGGATAGCATAGCCTGGTTGTTTTTGTTGTTGATGGGGACGTGGCTCAGGCAGTGCCTTTAGGTCATGTTTTCTGGCCCTGCAAGCAAACAAAGACAGGCAGAATTTTGTTAATGATGCTGAACAATGGTTTCGGCTATGTGTGAATTATGGGAGCATTATTTAAGTCTCAATCAATACAATTTAAAATGGGAAATTCAAGTGCAATTTGTGTGAGAGTTTTACAAAGCATTTACCAATTGCTTGTTAAAGTTCGCCACTCAATTTGCATTCAATAATTAAATAAAGCATGTTAATTAACTCGTTTAAATAGCGAAATGTTTCAACTATTGATACCGCATTTTGTTTTCCATTTCCCAACTGTTGGGGTGTGAAAAATGTTGGCATAAAAAGCCACATCGATTCCATTCCATTTCATTTTGCACTTTGACTGACATTGAAAAAAAACCAGTGAGCAAAATAAAATAGGGCAAAAACTTTCACATTGACATTCAAAAAAGAATGGAATATATGTATATCAGTATAGATATATTTATATATATATATATATATAACATATATATGTATAAAATTAACTCAATTGATGCTGATGTGGCAGAGGTAGCAGCAACAAGGGCATCAGCTTTATGGATATGTTCACATATGGGGAAGGTTTTACCTTACAGTTGTACTCGCAGTTCGTTAACAAAAGATTTTGCTCAAGGAAATACAACAACAATAACAACAACAGCAACCACAACAAAAGATTGACAGAAAGAAAGCAATACAAGTTGAACCTTGATGCAGATTATATATGTAAAATGAAATGTGGCAAATGGAATTTATAGATTTTGGTTTTTAGAGTGGCAATGGCAAGAGGACCAGCTCAATCTGAAATTCAATATGCCTTTGGCCTTGTCAACTCGTCATATTCCTTTGCAAATGCATTAAATCAATTTTTCGATATTTATTTGATCGAAAATGTCTATTTCTGCCGAAGAGTTCAATATGTGAAATTAGTTTTCTCAGATTTTAAACTTTTCTTTATTTGGCAACGGTTTTATTTTATTTATGGTAATATTTTGTTTACGTTTATAAGATTCATTTACTTATGCTAGAAGAAAATTACAGACTTTTTAGCAGTTTTTTTTTTTCAATTTTTAATCAACTTTTACAAATTTCGCAGACGAGAAAAAAATTCTTATTTCAGTTAACATAAGAATTTTATTAAAATGTTTTAAGTTAAAATTTTCCTATTAATAGTGTTTTTATATTTTAAAAAAATGTTAACTTAATCGTAACGTTTTATTTCAGCACCAATATTTTCAAATCTAATAGTCCGATTTCTTTTTAAATGGCTGAGAGACATTACGCTAAGCTAGTTGGCAAAAAGTGGTTTAAGCATGTCGCTTTAAGCCAATTTTTATCAAGCATTTTGAGATTAATGAGTGCTTCAGAAAATAACGTGTCGCCAATGACACTTGACACTGTCGCCTCACATACACTACACACACACTCACACATACTTAGCTTTGTGTGTTTGTGAAACGATGCGATGTGCACGATGCAAGGCTCAGCGTTTAGTTCTTGGTCACGTTTTTATGCGCCAATTTCGCCTTTGGCCTGAATGTGGTTCGTGTGTGTGGCTATCTGTTGACAAGTTTCACAATTAGACAGTCAAATGTGCATTTAAGTGACAGTCTGCGAATGTTTTTATGTGATTGTTGCCAATGAGCTGCTTGGTGTAGTCGGCCTTGCCTAATGAGTGGGAGCTTTTGCAGTTGGGTTTATGAGCTTGAATTGTGTCTGATGGAGGCAAATAGAGAGTGACAAAGGCAGACAGAGAGGGAGACAGACAGAGATAGATGGAGAGAGACAGATATAGCGAGAGAAAAAGAGACAGTCAAAGATAGAAAGAGAGGCAAAGAGTGAGACAAAGGGAGAAAGATAGAGAAAGGATAAACCGAAATAGAGAGATATATAAATAAAAGAAAATATAAAAGAGAGAGAGAGAGAGAGAGAGAGATGAGAGAGAGCAGAAGTTATGTGAAATCATAAGCGTATTTCGACGCTCTGTTCGATTTCACTGGATGGGAATTACAAATCTAATCTTCTACATATAGTAAAGAGTAAGTCCCTTTATATATTTTATACATATATAATATATGAAAACATATTGCAGTATACTTTATATTTATATTTTTGAATATTATCATCAGACGAATATACACTGAATATTATATAAGATGTTTCTATTGTTGTTTAGAATGTTTTCGTTTTGGAATATCAATACCATGAGCTACACCTTCTAAGCAGGCAAAATTCTTGTATCTAGTATTAAAATCCAGACTAATTGATCTTGATTTTTATACTATATCTGTAAGCAGTCCAGTAAAATAGAAAAGGAATAAAAAATGGTCTTCGTATTGTCCTTTTTCTGTTGTTATTTGTTCTGCTTGTTTTTCTATTTTGTGAAAAGCAACTTTTTGTTAGTTAAGCTTATGCTGGCGTTTAACCGCATTGCTGCTGAAGCTGTAGGTTTTGTTGCAGTTTCTTTCATTTTTGTTGCCACTATTCGCGGTCTGTTGGGAGTGTGCCGGATTCCAGTGCTGGTTCGCATTCAAGTTCTCTGCCTGGCTGTGGGTCTGAGTCTGAGGCAGCGGCTGTGGCTGCGGCTTTTCTGCTGTGGCATTTGCTTAGCAAATAGTTTTTAATGATTCCAATGCTTGTGGCCAGTTAACGAATATACATACAGCCGCATAACCCAGCCTTGGACTCGACACACACACACACACACACACTCACAGTCAGCAGCAACAGCAACAACAATAACAATCGTTTGGCTTTGTGCAAATTGTGCGGTAACAGCGTCGGCATCGGCGTCGGCGCCGGCATTTGTTGCAAATAGTTTAAATGGCTACTGGGCGAATTGAGGGGTTGGAGCATTGGGGTAGCTATTAAGTTGTTAACAGGCATTTAAAATAGCATTAAGTGTTGGCAATTACGCGGCATTTAAAATGCATTTTATTGATTTACTTGCTAATGCAGGACGAGAAAGAACACTGCGAAGTTCGATCAAACTAACTAAAAGTTTGAATATTATATTTTATAGAAGATTTTCTCTGTTCTTGACTATTCAGAAAAAGTTTTTTGAACTCGTCTTTTCATTTAATTCAAAGTATTGTGTAACTGCAAGGACGGCACATAAAATGAAGACGAAAAATATTTGCTTTCTCAATCCGAAATTGCAATGCTCTGTTTTTAGCTTGAAAGTGTAATAAAATAATATTTATAATTTTGACTCACTTTTTCAGAAAACTGTTTACGGAAACAAGTGAAGGAAGACACAAATTCAATAAAGAAAAGATCTTAACATAAACAATGTGCGTCATTTTAAAATAAGTTTAATTAAAAGCTTAACATTTCTCTTTGTTTTATTTAATTTTACGCAAATTGGCTTTTGTGTGCTGTATGCATTACAAATGCCAAATTAAACTAATTAAATAAGCTGAAAGTTAAGCTGGCTAATGTCTGCGCTTGCTTGAATGAAATTCTTGTGGAAAATAGAGTGCGACTTTAGCAGCGAACGTTGGGGTTTAAAATGCAGAGGCTTAAAGAAAAAAGGGTTTTCGTGTACCCCAATTACTTAACAAAATGAAGTTAGTTTCAAAGTGGCTTTGGAATGAGTTTAAATTAGATATGCTTCAAATAATAATAGCTAAAAGAAATAGTCCTTCAAATAATATTTCGTGTAGCTGTCTATGACATTTACAAGTCCAAAGGCTTAAAGGGGATTCCCCTATGCCAGCCAAAGAAATTTAACAAACGCAAACAACAATCACTCATAACAGCTACATTCTAAAGCCCCTTCAATTGCATTGTTGCCAAACACAAACAGCAAAGTCTCACAAACACACGCACGCACAATTTATAAGACTCGATTAGAGACAGCGCTGCCAGATGTTTGCCAGAAGTAGAAAGGGAATGAGAGGAAGCTCGAGAGAGATAGAGTGAAAGTGCGAACGAGTTGCCTACAAAACTTGCTGGAAACTTCTTTAAGTGCTGAATCATGCCGCATATACCATATAATTAATGTGCAGGATATACACACAGACACATATATAACTGGGTATGAATGTGTGTGTGTGCGGGTGTCTGTGTTAAACACCCCAAAGTAGCAATTAAGCGTTACGTATACGTCAAGCAGTCCCGCAGCGTAAAACTGGATCTGTGGCTGGGCATTCCTTGCCTTTCTTTTTGTTCCCTTTTTTAGGTGCTTTGGCTGCTCGTTTCGTTTTGTTTGGTCAATTCGAGTGTGAAAATGTTCTCGAGCGCTTTTCATTATTGTTGTTGTTGCTTACACACAGCCGCACAGCCATTGACCTTGGGCTGCAATGTGCAAGCGCATGGAACGAAACGCATTGCCCAGCCCAGGGTCGCCTTTGGCTGGGCGTGGCGTTGCACTACAGTCCTATTTTTTATTTATTTATATTTATATTATATATTTATATTTTATTTTTTATACCTTTTTTTTGCCATTATGCCGTCATCATCTTGCTTTGCCCCCAGCTGCAATTTCCGCTTTTCTAAAAGTTTGCATATCCTTGACATGCAAATAGGCAGAACTGTTTTGAATGGGAAAGTTTGCGAACAAAAATGTGATAATGCTAGTTATGGTCTGTATAAGAACAATGTATCTTTAAATTATTTGATGGGTGAGCATTGAGCTACTACTTTTGTGAAGAAAATTATTTTTAAAGAACTTTGTTTTGGTTTTATTTGTAAAACATTTTAAAATATCTTGTAAATATCTCCTTTTTAATGGCTGAATTTTTATAAATTAATTAATGAATAATTAACTAATGATTCATAATAATTATGTTCTATAATAATAATATAATATAATAATATAATATAATATAAATATAATATAATATAATAATAATATATTATATAATTTTATGCACTCCTAAGTAGAGCTTAATTACGCATTGCCTTATTTATTTGCATTCGTCTATTGCTACAACATATGAGCGAAAAATATAAATGCCTAGCGCCCGTATAGCTATATCATTCACAATTTGATGTTCTAGATGAATCAATATTTGGAGAGTTCTAAAGGATTATGTAGTCGATAGTAACCAACTATTGCTACTTATTTCATTTAGTATTTAGCTGTTTATTTATATTTGAGCTTCAAAGCGTATTATGCACTTACTCGTATTCATTCGATCAAAGGACTTAACTTTCAAAATTTAAAACTTAACTTTGTTATTTAATACCATTTTTTCAAGTATTTGCATTTCAGAGCATTTTAAGCTGCTTGTAAAAGTTTACCCTCTTCATCCTTTCATTCAAGCGAAAGAGGAGACAGAGAGAGAGAGAGAGAGAGAGAGAGAGAGAGAGAGGGAGATAGAGGTTTTCATGCACAAGTCAAAAGTGTTGCGTATTTTTCTTACACAATGGCCCCACAAGAGAACTTCATTAGAAAAATATCAACATCATCATGATTATAATCGTTTGTCGTCTTCATTTATGCCACATTTTGTCGTTGCTGTTGTTGCACAATTCTCGGCAATTTTTAAGTGGCCATCTGACTGAGTGAGAAATGGAGCATTGCGCTGCGGGTAGTGCTGAGGGCAGGCCTTAGCACTTGAAACGCTTGAACTTGATCCTGTGAAAGCTGCACACAATCAACAAATATGGACAACAGCCTCGACCTTTTGCCCAGTCATTCTGCTGCATTTGGCAAGGGCTTTTCCTATGCACGTAAAGCAAACGACTGACAACGTTTGCTTTATTTTTTATTATTTTTTTTTTTTCATTTCAGCTTTATTTGTTGTCCTGCTACAGCAAACACAAAGAGCAGCAGAAATACAAAATAGAACCGAAATGGAAAGTGGGGTTGTATCGATTATTGAGAATCCTCAGCGAAACCACATACAACGCATGCAAATTAGTTTCGATACGAGTTCCAGTTACCAATTTGCTCTAAATTTACCTGACTGGTGTATATGGGGCGTGGCCAGCGGCAATAGGTAGGGATGCTGCCTGACAAGTACATTTTATGAATTGCTACATTTTCTTTTCATTTCTTCTAACCTTATCGTTGTGCTGTTGCTCTCTACACGCAGCGCTTGGCATTTTTCATACTCTAATTATGAGAGATATTTGCTTTGTCAGACTTTTTGTCAAAAGCACAAGAGTTTGTGAAAACAAAACTAAAGTTTAAGTGCTAAAATGCATAATTTTGTGTGAGAGACCGACTTATTGACTATGATGTACTTTACTAGTATTCTGATTAGAAATGAACTTGTTATGTGAGGTATAAAAACTCTTCATATAAACTTCATATTCTTTGTTTAAGTCGCATCAGGTTTTAAAATAAAAATTATTAATTATGTTGCAGGCAGATTCGTAACGATTCGAAAGACAAAACTGGAACAAGTTATCTGAGATAATTAAACAAGCTCCAATAAAATCTTAGTTTTAATTGATGCTTTCTATAAAAGCTATCTATATATAGTGAGTTCAATATCTCTTTATTATTTTGATATACTTTATGGTATAATTAATGAATATTTATACTCAATATTTATATTAAATTTAAACTTCTTGTACTGTTTTCACATTATTGACAATTTTCCTGCTTTGGTAAATTTCCATGCTTCGTCTGACAACCAGGTCTTCCAAGTGTATTTAAGCTTCATTATATTTAAAGCTATTTGTTCTTCCTTGTCTTTCACTCTCTGCTTGACTACCTAAATTATTCATAGGACTGTGGCAAGATGCTAGAGATGTCCTTGTCCGCTGGGTTAGTCCTTGTCGTTGTGGGTAATCGCAAATTCAGCGCTAAATCTCAATCAAAATGCGCGTAAAGTGGCATTTCACTTGATTTTTATGAATTCGAAATGCGTCATTTTCGTTGATTGAATGCTTTAAAAAAACCGAAAATTTTGCTTAAGCGCACAAGTTAACCAAGATTTTCCTAAGAGTTCCTTAAGCACTGTGAGCTTGCCAAGAGATTAATATATACATACATACATATTTATGTTATGTTAAGAGTGCGAATTTAAGTTGCCGAGGTACTTAGTATAAGACTTATACCTCTTATAATTGTACTACTTACAAATATATTAAAATTGAACTGATTTTCAGCATAATTTTTATTCAAAAATCGTGCAAGATTTTCTAAGTTTCTTCATATTTTACCTTCAATTAATTCTACTTTTGAAATCATGTAAAATACTTGTTAGCATTAATAGTAATTCAGAGCAGGACTTGAAAGTTTTCAACGTGTTTTCGGATATACTTCAACTTGCAATAGAAGGAAAATTTGACAGTCAACATATTTTCTTTCTAGTTTTACTCTGCGCTTATTTGCAATCAGCTGATAAGAAGACAACGCCATAAAATTTTATATTTCGATTGGCAGCACTTGCAATTTTGTTAATGGGTCGCACTTATATATGCTTATCGATATTCTTGGCACTGGATCAATGTTGACTTATCGAAAAAGCACTGCTGCATGCTCTTGGGGCAGAACTGTTTTGAAGAGTTTAAACGAAGCTTTGAAAAAGGAGAAGAGAATAAAAAAATTGAATTTTCCTTTTTATATTTCTATCAAATTTTCAATATGCACAATCTAGTATAACCCTTAAATACATTTTATTTACAGCCAAAGGATTGCATCGATCTGCTCGCAAATGTTGCTGGCATTTGCATATTATCTCATCAGGGCCCCCCTCCGAAAAATGGGAGCAACACAAATTGCATTTCCATTTAATCCGCTCAATTTGTCGCCAGTTTTTAATGGCGCCGACTGAAAAGTTGCGAACGCCTCGCCTTGAGCACAGAATGAATGCATTCATTTGAATTTCTAAACTAAAGGCAAGAAAATATGAAAAATAGTACGCTAAAAAATACGACTCAAAAAACATATAATAATAATAATAAGAACAAAGTAGTGCTACCTTTATGAGATATTCCCTAAGTGAATTAATGTTTTTGTCAAAATCTTTTTGAGCGTTGTTTTTATTATTTTTTTGGATTATTATTTTTACCTTGCGCATAAATTTTACCCAGTTGTGCATGTGTGTGTGTGTGTGTCTGTGGGTGCATATGTTGTTTCAGTGCTTAAAATTTGCAATTTAAATGTAATTTCTCAACTGTTTGTTTGGTTTATGACGAGTGCGCTCGCGCTGATTTAACAGCCAGCGACAGGGGAAATGGGCGGGGCCTGTCCCTTTTATTTTTTAAAGGTGACAGCATGAATGATGACCAGCTGCAGAGAGCTTCAAAATACAAAATATTAGCCTATCGAATCGGAGGTAAAAAACATTTTACAAACAGAGCAAAGCTGTTCCCTCGGTTTCTCTATGTCATGTGGTCGTCGAAACTGAGCTTTGCCGGGGCACAGGCACGTTCTATTATAATAACATTATCCTTATGCCAAAGACTCCCATGCAAATCAGCATTTGTACACTGCCTGGCGCCTAAAAGGCAGCCCACAACTCATCGATACAAACGAGAAATTTTCCATTTGTCTGCGAAAACATTTTGCAAACATTGGCACGTTTTATGGTATAATAACAGAAAAATACACACACAAACACACACACACACACACATATATATGTAGATATACATATTTGCGAAAAATTGGCAATTCAAACAAAAGAACTGCAAAGCTGCCTGGCATTTCAAGTTATTCAACTTGGCACGCGGCAACAATTTTGCTCTTTAAATGGTTTGAATTTTTTTCATTCTCTTAATTGAACTGCATACAGTTCCATTGGGAATAGCTTTAAGACAGCCTTTATTTTTGAGTTTTATTTGGATATGCATTTCCGAGTATTAAATATCAAAAAACACAACTAAAAATCAATTGTTTTTTAAGCATGGTAACATCTGAAACAAGATTTAAGCCTTGGATTATGCATCAAAGCTTAATTCAATTTCCTTCAAAATCGCTTTAATATTATAAAGCTCTACCAGTTATCGTTTTATAAATTTTGAATATTTTTCACAAGCTGATTAAAGTTTTTTTTATCGCATGCCAGCGATGTCGCTGTAGCTTGCACAACTGTTTTCTTATTGCTCTGTTTTTCTTCTTTTTTTTTGGGATCCGTACGACTTCAGTTGGTAGCCCCAACTGGCACAAGTTCACTTGCAGTGGAGCTGTGGAAAGTCTTTTAGTCATTAACGAAATGGATTTGGGTGAGCGCACACCATGCATTTCCATTACATGGGCATTATTAATCATAGTCTGTCAAGCGATGTGCGAGTCTCTATGTGTGAGCGAGAGTCCGAGCCAGAACTTTGTGTCCGTTCTAAGTGCTGCCTACCACAGCCATCGCATACTCTGTCTAACCGCCATGGGCACTTTGGCTTTGATGCTTCTCGGCTGTCTGGGTAAGCCTTGTTGTTGTTCTTCCCACATGGAATACTGAATATGTACTCCTTTACAGGTTGTCTGTGCTGCAGCTGCTCTTGCCTGGCAAGACGAAAAGCTGAGAGCCTGGACGCGTACGCTCCACGCACGCAGAGTATTGTATGGCCGTCCATACCTGCAGAGACAGCTCATGTGCTACAGTTGACCTTTCTGCACACTCCCAACGCGGTGGACTGCATCTGCCGGGGCTGCAGCAATTCGCGGAAGGAGCATTGCCTGGAGGATTGCTTGAATGGAACCGAATGCTAAGTCGATATCTCGATATATCCGAATTATATTACATAGTTGTAATAGGCTTAAGCAGCGACAAATGTAGACTTTAACTGTAAATAAATTGTTTAAGGAACTATTCTCATAAATTTGTAGTTTAAATGCGAATCTTCTGACATTTGATTTCTTTATGACTGATTGATTGATCATTCATTTCTTGCCTGTTTTAGCCTTTGCTCTAATCTAGACTAGCAAATCATTTATAGTTATATTCTTAAAAGGCGGGCCTTTTTGCTGTGGTGAGACAGTAACTTTAAACTATATAATAAATTCATTCAATTGGCTGTGCTGATTGCTTGACGACTGATAAGCAATCAAAAGACTCACAAACTAATGGCAAATTCTACCAGCAAATGGGGAAAATACATTTTCATCTGAGTCATCATATGAGTATCTAAGGCTTCAATGTGATTAGACCTCATGTCTGAAAGCTTATGGATATATGAATTTATTTTTTAAATATATTTCTTTAATTCCACAACATATGTCTTGTTGTTGTCAATTTTAAATGGAAATCCTTTCCATGCTCTGACATTATACAGAATGAATGAATTCTACAGATTGAATGAATTGTCTAAATTTTTCCACTCGTAAGAAATACTTAAAACAAGATACAACATTTAAGAATTTAAGTGATAAATGTAATTCTGGTGGGTGTACGAAAAAGAGTTCTTAAATACCTTCTTATCCTTTGATTGTCACATTCCATATTCGCACTTAAGCTTGAGATCTTTCGCGATATGGATAACAACTACTTCGACGTATGCCCTACAAATATCGCTAAAAGTTTTTTAACTTCTGGGTAACTACTTGACATATGTCTATTAGTTCTCTATCTGCACTTAATGTTATGGTTGTTGGCAGCCAATCCAAATGTTCGTAACTGCCCCAAACAGATTGTACGCATATGTTTTTGCCTATTTAAATGAACTAAGGGAAGACCTTACTTCAGTGTGGTTCCCGATCGAAGCTTCAGTTTGTGAGCAAAAATCAAAGAAGTAACAATGCAACATCTAATGAAGGCGGGAAAAGAAAATCTGATGAAGTTGCTGCTGCTACTGCTGCTGCTCATAGTTTACCCGCAGTTCCTGCAGGCCAACAACTTTACAGGCAAGTGGGATTAGCTAGTCAATTTGAGAGATGCTCAACTTATTTCACCTATTGCAGATTATGGCTGGTTAAATGAGACAGACTTCGTAGAGGATGTCGATAATACAACGACGAATTCAAATGGTTTTATGATTACTAGCAACAATAACAAAAAAAATGTTCATCATGTTTTTATGGATCCATTGAGGAGAGTGGCATTTGTGGCCCTGATGCTGCACATTCTGATCGTTGGTGGAGGTAAGTTTCATTTGAAGAGTGAGATACTGATAACTTCACTAATCTGGCATCTCTGGTAGGTATTATCATCTACAGTGTTGCCTGCTGCAAGTCACGCTCGAATAGAAGACGACTGTCGGGTCTCAAGCGACGTCTACAGAGTCCACCTACACTGCAGCATATACCAAATTCCCAAAGTTGTCCCTGCCATGGCTGTCGTGTGGCGAGGCAGATGCTTAGCGGCCTAATAGTACAGCAAATTATTACCGAGCGTTCCGAGCGTTAGCGATTTAAATAGACGTAGCCAATGAAATGCCTTGTAGTGCGTAAGTGTATCAATATATAATTATTGTTCTCGTAAAGGTATTTTAAATGCTAAGTTTGAATGATAATTAAACTTGATATTAAAAAATACCAAAAGGTTGCAAAAATACCAAGCCCATATCGATCTCAATGCGCAAGTCTATGCTTTGTCCAATAAGTACTTAAGGGCGCAAGCGCAGCCAACTTCACTAATAGTATAAAAATATTTAAAGTGCACTTTTAATTTGATCATGTCGTCGGAAAAAGATGTAATAGATAAAAACAATAATTCTGATGAGGAATATTTGTATTACAAGGAGCATGAGAGTTTTCTATTTGCGCAGTATGCACGACCGCTGCTTGTGGCCAATTGCTCTCAGTACGCGATAGCCCACTCGAATGTACGCCTACAGACTGCACGCCATCTAAGCGAGGTATCCTTTTTACCCCACATTCAAATCACGATGCGTCGATTGAGGCTGACGCAACTGCTGCGACTGCAAAGCTACGCATGGCCACATCTCAACCGGGGTGCAGGCCATGGCGCTGTTATCGTGAGTGCTCCGCGCAGTGGACGCACCCTGAGTTATGCGCTGCCGCTGTGTCAGGTGGTAAGCAGAACATTGACGGAGCATCGTTCTCACACGCGCTGGCGACTGCAAGGACCTATTGCTGTGGTTCTGGTCGCCGATTTGGTTCGAGTGCAGCAAATGAGCGAGTTCTGCAATGCAATGTTACGCAGGTCAAGGAACGAGGAATGGTTAACGCTGGTGCTGACGGTGCCCTCTTCCCACTCACCAGAGTTCTTTCAGAGGCTACTCAATGGCGTTGGTTGCCTGGTCGCCACGCCTGCTCAGTTCCTATGGATGTGCGGGAATAGTTTAAAGCTACCTAATCTGCGCTTTGTGGCTTACGATGATGTGGATTTGATGCCAGACGGGCAATTGAGACAGGTTCATCAACAGTTGCTGGCATTAACCAAGCAAGAACGCCCGCAACTTGTCATCAGTTCGCAATCATATAAACAGCAGTTGCTATCTATGTTGCGCGAGTGTAATACCCAGCCCATGGTACTCTTTGGTGATGCTTTGGAGGCGGCTGTCTATGGCGGCACACGTCTACAAATCTCTCTTCAACAGCGTAATGCCAAGTGTGACGAAGTGTTGCGCGTGCTGCACGAGCGTCCGCCGTATCTGCATCGAACTGTCATCCATTGCCAATCTGATTCGGACGTACGTGAGCTGGTGGCAACGCTGGCATCGCATGGCTATAATTGTTTACCCTACTATCAGACGGCTGATATGGAGGTGCGCGATCACGTGCATAGGTGGATGCAGGAGAGTCGAGGTGAGGTCTTGCTTTGTACCGATCACTGCCCGGAACTAAACATACGACACGCCCACACACTGCTACACTACAGCTTGAGCGATAACTGGAGTCTGTTTAAGCTGCGCCATCTGACACTCGCTGACAATCTGCGCAATCAATTGGCGGTTAGGAATCGGAAGGAGCAAACGGAACGGCAGCAGCGTGAGCTGGATATGTGAACTCTTATAAAGAAATTTTAATGACTGACTAATCTTTTACAGATGACTTACTTTCCCTGGTTTTGCTGGATGAGAGCAATAACAATCAGCTGCCTCGCCTAGTGGACTTTTTGCAAATGCATCAGCAAGTGGATAAGCTTGTTGTCCAACTGGCTCGCAGCATACGTGAGCAGTTGAAACGCGCCAAGTACAAAGAGCCGACGTTGTGCGATCTCCTGCTCAGCTTGGGCGAATGCGTTGATACACAATGCGAGCAACGTCACCATCTACTGATGCAAGATCGTTTGCTGTCTGCGCAGATGCCTTCTAGTGGGGATGTTAAATTGCTGCTACTACGCGTTTATACACCCACGCATTATTGTGTTCGTCTGCTGGAGCATTTACCACTTGGTGGCAGATGGCAAGTGCTGCCACGTAACAGAACTCTCGAATTGCAACTACAGCTGTTACAATCAAAGGAGTGTGTGCATCTTTGGCCCCCGGAGGTGCAACAAATCTGTGTATATCACAATTCAAACGGCTATGAACGCGTGCGTATATTGCGCGTGGATTCCATTGGTCAGCTGAATATCTCGCGGACTGATGTGCCTGTGCTGGTGCAGGCTCTGGACGTGGACACACGACAGTTTATGACCACCAGTGGCAAGCTGTTTATATGTCCAGATGAATTGCGTGATGAGCCGCCGTTAGCAATAGATGTACGCATCGCGGGCCTGGTACCTTACACAGGCGAACGCAATTGGCATGAGAGTGATGGCAAGCAATGTGCGACCTGGTTGAATTCTATGCCGCAACCTAGTTTTTTGCAGGCACGCATTCTTACAGCTTTGTCGCATACGCTCTTTGTACACGACTTGGCCGTGACAAGCTATGCGCCCAGCCTGCAGATGCATGTTCGCCGCCTGACCATGTGTCAGCAGCTGTTGCAAAACCAAATGGCCAAGAAATGCAAAAAGACCGTGGAGAAACTGTTGGAATTTCTGGAGAATAATACATGCCAATCCCTGAATGTGCAGAAAGTCTGCGTGCCGCCGTATGAAAAGCCAAATCTTAAGACAAAAACGTTACTCACAGGCAAAGCTAGAATTTTTGCCAAAATGGCGATGCAACTAGGCAAAGAAAATGGATTGCGCTTGCAACAAAAGCAACGGGAGCAACAGCAACAAATGGATGACATAAGAACAGAAACGCAGATAGACCTGCAGCAGAAGTCAGAGGACAGCATAGAAGCATTACACAATTGTCTCATGAAATGTACAATGATGCAGCTGCAGCAGGAACATACGCAGGATCACCCTCCAACGCAAAATTCGGTGAAGAATCTGCCTGATGTTTTGCCACAGCCTAAGGTGGCCAATAAATTGGCTGCTGATGCAGTCATCGCAAGAGTCCACAATATACATATCCAGTTGCCCTTAAATGTCCTTCGACCCGAAGTCATTTACTATCAAACGCGCTTTATGCTCGAACTGCAGATTCTTCTCCCGGAAGATAAGATGCCTTATGACGCTCTGTTATACAATGGTTGTTGTGTTGCTTTTTGGACACTGCGGACACCTGGCAAGCCCATTTATCAGTTTATACTGAACACTCATTGCCCTTATCAGCAGCTCAGTCATCGTATGCGGGGTCGCACTGTATATATAAGCGTGGTGAAGGCTCTGGTAGTCACATATCCGCATAATTTTAGTTTCTACAAATTCATGAAACCACATTATGAAAAACTGCATCAAATGGAAAAAGAGCGCAGTAGCCGATTAAAAAATTTTGAATCTTATTTGCTATACAATGGCTACATCCAGAGCAGAGTAATGAAACGTACGCAAAGCTCAGATGATTTAAGTAGCGATGATGGATCGGAGGATTCGGCTCTTACTTGCAGGGAACACGTGGAGCACGCTCGTGATGACCCTGAATTTGTTTATTAATTTGTTTTAGTTTTTACGCTGGCCTATTAGAATTGTCCAGTTACTCAACCGAACATGAATTTATTATTATTATATTTCTAGTTATTTGTGATCTCAATTATTATATTCTTTTCTAAGAAATCGTAGTTTTATAGTATTTTTCTTACGAACGCATATAGTTTGCGCTTTTCTTAGTTTCGGCATTTATGGATTTAAATATATTATTTTACGACAAGGTTTACAATTTTTCAGACAATTCCTCTAAAACTTCAAATTAAATTGAAAGCATATTTTGTATAAGTTGATTATCATATGTTAATTTGATATTTTATATAATCTTAAAGGCAAATATATGTCATACTTTTGCCCTCGAAAGACAATACAAAGCTCTACCAATATTGAAATTACGACTTTTGAATAAGGCGATTATTAATTGAAACCTAGATTTGCATGAAATACAAATTTTATATATTCTTTAATTTATTATTTATCACGATTTAAAATTTTTTTTTTGTAAAATAAAAATGCTTCAAATAATAAAGAATAAAATTATTAGAACTAAAAAGCTTGCAAATTTCAAAAATGTTGAATAATTATCTGCCTTTCATATGCTTTGGTTAAAGTATTATGTTTGGCACGCTAACACCAACTGACCGTGTGGCCTAATGGATAAGGCGTCGGACTTCGGATCCGAAGATTGCAGGTTCGAGTCCTGTCACGGTCGAAAAGTTGGAAATTTCTTTTTTATTTTTTTAAATCGCTTGCTGTGCACAAACTGTTAAATAAGTAAGCATGAGGTCCAGGGTTCGAACCTCAACCAAAATATTAAAAAAAAAAAATTTTTATATTTCTGGAACAGTGTTATTATATTTTACGTTTAACAATAATATTAGAAAGAAGTGAAACATTTGTAGTAAATTTATACATTTAAAATAAACACACGTGAATATTGAATTGCCGAGGCGGTTCATATGCACTGTATTTATATCTATTTACAGAAAGTTCGAGGAAATGAATTGTCCTTTCTTAAGAATTGCTGCCTTTGTCTTCATGTAGAAGCTTTCAACAATAGATTAAAAACATTTATTTTTTCCATCAATTTTAATTTAAGTTGCCTTCGTTGTTTTTGTTGCTGTTGTTGTTGTTGTTGCTGTTGCCGTTGCCGTTGCTGTCATTGTCAGCTGCTCAGTTTTATCTAATTTGTGCATTTGTGCATTTGGCTGAGAAAACAGGTGAATGGAAAACAGAAATTTGTCTGTCATTTGGTAAAAGTGTGAAGTGTTTGCAAGTCATATGACAGCTTAAAATGCGAACAGACATTTGAAACAACTCTATTTAAACGTATATGAATTTATGTATAAAGTATAACCCAAGGCACTAAATGTCATATGGGTTCAGTAGATTTTGTGATGATTGATGATGGCTAAAAGCAGCCAAGACTGTTTTTGCTCTTTCTGACGTTTATAAAGCAAGCAAAGAGCATTTAATAAGTGTTTTCTTGAATTTTGAAATATAACTTAAATATTGAAGCTGTTGAGGTTAATGGATTATTTGGTCAAGTGCTAGGGCTTGAATGGTTTAGCTTAGATTAAGTTAAGTTAGGCTGGCTAGGTTAAACTAGTTTCTTTTCATAACTTTGTACTATGTTCGCTGAAGTAAGTTAAGGCAATGCGGACTTGTCTTACGTTAGTTAGCTAATGTTTTGCCAAACATAAGAAATGAAACAATATCGAGTTTTCCTACTTTATCTATCAACCAGTTTGTATTGATTTAAGTTATATTTAATGATGGTTCAAGGGAAGTCGTTTAGTTATCAAATACACAATACGTCGATTACGAATTGCTTCCTCCATAAGCAGCAAAAGATATAGTCAATAAGGTATATAAAGTAAAAGTACTCATTTTTCTTGATCTATATTTTTTGGCCAACGAACAAGTTTTTCCTATAGCTCAATCTATTTAAAACCGAACTATAATCTGCTTTGCTATAGCCCAAGTTAATTTATTCAGTTATGCCAAGATATGTTTTCATATAAATTTAATTTTCGTATGTTTTGCATAAATACAATTATTTCAATTGTCTTAAAATATATTATGTTGTCAGGTTTAAGCAAAGGATGCGCTTAAAAGCACATAAATGTCAATGTTAGCCGCAAATAACTAATACAATCAGGGAAACACACACACAAAAAGCTGCAGCTGCAGCTGCAGTTGTCGTAAAAATTGTTGCAGTAAAAGCCATAAAAACAATACGCAGCAATGCTGAGAGGGGCGAGGCAGAGGGGTGTACGAAGGAGGGACTGTTTGTAGTTGTTGACAAGGAAAAGAGTCGGATATAAAGGATACAACAGGCTACAGGATACAAGGGGACATGCACAAGCTGTTTAACAGCTTAGCTAAGCATTGTTGTTGTTGTTGTTGCAGTTGTTGGTACTGTTATAGCTGCGGCAATGGCAATGGGGCTGGTCGCTGGCGTTAAGGTCAAAGTTCGCAACCTTTACTCAGGGTACAGCGTGTCCGCTAAAGGACGTGCATCCTGTGGACTTGGCACTAAGCTACGCACGTGAGATGTGGATATATATTTATCTATATATATATATACATATACTTATAATACGCAACAAAACATGGAAATAAACATTTCGCAATGGGCTTAAAGTGCTTAAGGAAGTCATGACCCAGCTTTAATCTTAGCTTAATAGAAAAAACTAAGGAAGGTTAGAGAATTGAGTTTTATAATTATGTAAGCGCTTGACGAAGAATTGATACTGTCTATAATCTGTGTAATCCTGATCAGCTTAAGCTTCGTTCTGCTTCTGTATTCTTCTGTATTTGTTGATGACAAAGTTAGCTTAGATTGTTTGACGTAAGCGACCAGGTTTGCAGGTCAAGTTCTTGCATGAGCAACTTCTCATACACTCAAAGCCTTGAAAATGCAACTTCGCAGTAAACAATAACTAAGAACTTAATATTAAAATTAAGCATTTGCAAAGAATCTGAAGACTAAGTAAGCTGAAATCAAAATATATATTTATTAGGTCAAATCTTTATTGCACAAACTAATATACTCTTTTCACTACGTAAGCGAGTAAAGACAGGCAGAACTATTCCCTGGCTTCATTCTGCCATTGGACAAGTCTCACTTATTTATTTTTGTGCACATTTTCACCAAACTTGTAATTTATCTTGTCCAAACTTAAACACAATTTTATGAAGCTCAATTATAAATATTGAGAGTTTTACAGTCTCGCAGAAGTTTTAAGACTAATAAAAATGTTTAAACTATTTACTATTTTAAACTTTAACTGTCGTTTTTCTCCATTAATGATGTATTTGATTAGTTTTTTCTTTTTTCTTTAGCAAGCCTTTCAGATAACAAGAAAACAAATACTAGAATAAGCAAGTTGCATTAAAAGTGGAAATAAATATTTATGCAATGATAAAAGAAAACTTTGTCAACGTTCAATTTAAAATTACTTATTTTGCTACCAAAGGGCGGCCGTCAGTGCAGCTCTTGCAGCTGTTATGTAGTTATTTAGTTATTTCAAATTTGATAAGTTAAAATTACGTTAACTTACGTTAATTACGTTACGTTAACATTTAAAAAGCAAAAACTTTCGTTTTGTGAGTTAATGTTAGCTAAAAGCAAAAGTGTTTAGGTTTGGGCTAACAGCGTTAATGGCTTTCGGTGCGGAAGCTGGCAATAGATTTTCTAGAACTCAGTGACCCATAAAAATAATTGTATCGAACCACTTCGTGCTTTGGTTTGTAAACCTTGTTTTTCACATCCGTGAGCACAGGTTTCTGATTGAACTCTTGATTCATACAGCTCTCAGTTATGATTCTATTCAAAAGCGAAATTGTTCAACTGAAAATAACATAAGCTTCAGATATTTTCTCGTTCTAGAGGTGATAAAGATCCTTAGTCAAAATTTAATTAATTTAATTTTTTTTATAATTATTTGAATATATTTAGAGGCTCTTGCAAACTGTTTATTAATAATTAATTCAAACCAACTCAATAAAAATTATAGCCAGGACAGTCAGGCTATCATTTTTATCGATTTGGTTTGAATTAATAATTAATAAAAGGTTTTCAGGAGCCTTTAAATATATGCAAATACCTATAAAAGAAACTCTTGTAATTAGATTTCTTAAAGTACTTCAATAGGGCTGTCTATGCTTTAGGACAGCAGCTTGTGCTCAGATTGGTGTGCATCAAGTAAAAAGTTTTGCAATATTCATAAAGTCCTCAGACTTTCTTAGTATTGCCTATTTAATTGGTCGAAATGTAAGCAATGCGATGCTAGACAGACGGCAACAGAAATTTGGCTTTGCTGCCACACATTACGCATACGCCATGTGTGACAAATGGAGCCAAGTGCCAAACGGTGAAGCTATCAATCAAATAGCTCGGCTTTACGTTTTGCATAAAGAAAGTGCACAGAGACAAGATGAAACACCTGTTGTTCCTATGTATAGGTAGGTATATATATAATAGATATAAATACAACTATATATATATAAATATAAATATATATATATATAATTGCAAAACTTACCTGCCAGTTGTTGGGTTTTGCAGTTACTGCTGTTGCTGTTGATGTTTTAATTGTTATTGTGTTTAATTCCTCAGCTTTAAGTCGTTAATTGTTGGTTATGCAAAAGCAAAAAGAAAGAAACTGGTAGAGAAGGCGGGCAGCTGAGGAGCAGCAAAGTAGAGCCAAGGCAAACACGCATACGGCACAGGACGCGGCAGGACAAGCGAAACTGTGTGAGCAGGAAACAACGCACGTTCACGTCAAGCAGGAACCAGGAAGGAACCAGGCACAAGGCACAAGGCAAACAGACAGGAAAGCAAAAAGCGACGTCGAGCATTGACGAGCGCCAGCCAAGGACAACGATACTAAGGTAACAACAGCAATAACTATAACAAAAGGCAAACGGGCCAAAGAATAAAAAAGTGAAAAACAAATTTCTTTGACAACGACTAAATACCCTAACTGTGCGACAGTGGCATATAGTTTCCTCTCTAGAAAGCCCGCTTACATAATAAACAAAATTACTTGGAACTGTTTTTATCTAGCTGTCTTTGTATCTAGCAGAGATTAGCGGAGATGCGTGAAGAAGCGTCGAGAGCTCGTTAGAAATATTAGGAATAGCTTGAAAATCTTCTTAAGAATTACGCACATTTGTGTTCATATTTAATTTACTTTATTTTTCGACTTCAGATACGCGAAACATGATATATTATTTTACATTACAAAACAAAAAGTTATTTAAAAATTTATTTATTGTCTAGTGCAAGACAGATTGCAAAAAAAAACAGCAATTAAAAAAAAAAAATTTGACAAATACTCGCATAGAATCTCTATGATATATAGTAAAATATACTAGTTATATAATATTAAATATTAAACTATATCTTGAAAGTAAAGAAATATAAGATTTTGATTTAGCTCGATTCTATTTAATTCATATCATATAAAACTGAAAACAGATTTTTGTCCATATAACTATAATAAATATATATATTTGAATACTCTATGTTGACCTCTATCTGACCTCTCCTAACCATTCTGATATATGCAGTCTGCAATATGGAGGCCCAACCCAAGCCAGCTCGTAAGACAATAGCAAACACAAAGGCAAAAGTAAAAGCAAAAGCGAGAGCTAAAAGTCCTATTTCTATATAAATTATGTAGAATCCATAATTTTTTGAAGAGTTATTAATAAGCGAAATGCCATTCACTATGCGTTACATATTTGATAGGAAAATTGAAATACCGACAGCAAGGACATGAGGACGTGCGCAAAAAAGTGAAAGAGGGCAGCGAAAGCACAGACATTCCAATAACAATGAACCTGGCTGAGAATAGCGAAGAAGAAGGCAGGAAAAAGTTTTGCCAGGCTTTGCTGCTCGGTTGTGCCAAGCCAGCGGAAGCTGGAATTAATTTTGCGTTCGGCCACGCTTGGCTGGAGTACAGTAAAGCCTGTGGGGCACGGGTCGTGGCTGTAGAGGTCAGGTTGCCCAAAAACTTTGTCCAAATATTTGTCGACTACCTTTGGCTTCAAAATTACCGAAAACCTCTTAAATTTCGGTGCAGAGCTCAATTGCAGCAATTGCTAGCAGTGTATATATACTCAAGTGCACATACGTATATGAATAGAGTCCATATACTAAGGACAACAATAGGATCACTTAAAGGAATTGCCTGTGACATATCAGGCAGATTTGTGTGTACCAAGCAAGCAAAAGTTTCAAACAGCTGAAAGACTGCAAAATTTAATTCATATTTTACCTAAACAGCAATTTCAACTACCTTAAGACAGATTACCCTTAAAAGAAATCCTTTTTATTTTACGTTTCTCTTTAACTACAGTTTCGCTTTATAACTCGATTGAAAGGCTATTTTTGATTATTCGATATAGAAATATATTTATAATATTATTAAATGTATTTTACTGGAAATTCCTGACTAAAATCTGACGACGGTATATATGAAGCTTGAAAATATTGAAAACAATAAATAATTTATAAAAGTTAGGTGCCGTCAAAGCATTCAGAGTTAACGCGAATTGTATTTTAAGACATTTTTCATAGAATTGAATCTCTGGTTTCTGATGAAAAGGATTACTTCTGATGCGTTACACATTTACCAAACACTTGGGAGCGAACCTGTTTCACTCAGTTCCACGAAACTGCATTTGAGCATTTGATACGTCTGAAAGTTTGGATTCATGAAATGTATTTGGCCAACAATGTGAAGAGCATAAGTCGAAAGGAAGATTAAAGGTGATCAACTATGTTAAAGAAAATAATTGCGGTTGTAATTAAATATGAATTCTGAATAAAGATTCTGCTTAGATACAAAGAGTAATTTTAACATTGGCAACATTGCGAACTTTAAAAGTATTTCAAATGGAGATAATCAACGCTAGCCAAAGAACACCTCTGTAGAAGTTACTTGTGGGACGCTCTGATCTCCCCTTCTGTATCCAATTTGAAATGCAACCACAAGTAAACAAGTAAGCAAAGAGCAAAGATTGATAAAGCGGATTGAACGGAGGTCATCAAAAATAATGTTGCGGCTGGTCAGTGCAGCGAGTGCATAGTACAGTTAATTAGCTGGTAATGAAATCAGCGTATAACCGACTCCGACTGTGGCTGGATAATGCCACAACACCGCCACCAGATAGCAGACAACGGGCATATGCTGGGTGCAGTTGATGCCATGGCTGCAACTGGCAACTGACAACTAACAACTGGCAACTGGCAAATTGGTCAGCAAAAGGTCCTTGACGCTGAGCTTATACATAAATATATATGTAAATATAGTGATTCATATTTTATTAATCTTTAATTTATGTTTGGGTCACATCAATTGAATGTTAAATTGTTTTTACATTTTGGACGACACAAAAAACACACGAAGGACACGCGCACTCTAGTGAGGACCCGCACAAAAAATACGATACGTGAATAGAACGCACGCAGGACTAAAAAGTTTTTATTTAGATTTGATAAATGCAAATCGTTTTTAGAACGCGACTTACACAATTTTAGTTGCAGCACAAACGTTGTATTGAGTTGTTGTCGTTGTAGTTCGTGTTGTTGTGGGTGTTGTTGTTCTTGTTGTTGTTGTTGTTGGTTTATGTGTTAATTGATTGTTGGTTAACATGGGGCAACCGCCTTGGCGCACAATTCGAAAGCAACTGAAAGCACAACGCTAACAGCAGCAGCGAAAGTGACGCCGACGTCGGCATCATTTCCCACCCACACAGAGCGAAGCTTTTGCGTGAGCGCAAAAGAGCTTTTGGCAAGCGCGCGCGCGCCCTTTACCATAAAGTGTATATTTTATAGCAGTGCTGCTGGCAGCGACGCCGGCGTTGCAGCTGCGTTTGATTTACAATTTGATTAACTTGCGCCGCAATTTTCGGCAGAGGCAGCATTCAAAGCTTTTGCTTTTGCTTTTGCTCCGTAGGCGTCAGTGTGTGTGTGTGCGAGTATGTGCCCTATTGTAAATTGGATCCTTGAATATTTATTCGCTTAATTATGTGTGTGTGTGCATGTGTGTCTGTTCAGGATTTGTTGCATATTTTTGTGGGCGAACACAGTTAGGCAAAAAGTGGGCTGTCTAAATAAGCATCAGAGGACGTTCCAAACTAACTCGAGTTTATTTGACAGCCATTAACAAGGATAATTAATGCAGCTTTCTGTTTTAGCTTAGACACACACATATATATATAAACATATTTTTAGCTTCGCACTCTTTCAATCCTCGCCAGCTTTCTCTTTCTCTTTCCATCTCTTTGCCTCTACGCTCAGCATGCGCTGCCATTCAACTAGTCCATGAAACAATTTGGCCATATGAAAAACGCATGTAAGCGTGTTTTTGGCAGTGTGGGTGACCTTCATTTCAACTAACATACACACATATACAAACTCATACCCACCCACAGAAATGTACGCCCCAACACACATTGACACCTTCAAATAAAGTACAAAAAGCTGTCGTTGTCGCTGTGGCTGCCGCTGCCGCCTTTGCTGCTACCTCGACCTAGACACTGAAGGCGACGTTGACGACGACGCTGGCAGCGACAACCGTTAGCTTTAGTGAGTGAGATGCTGCGTTGTTTCACTCTTTCGCTCTGCTGCTCTGTCGCTGTGTGCAGAGACATGTGCTGAAGCTTAGAAGCTAACGGAAACAGTAGGCATCCGACTACGCAGTCCTCTTCGTTTGCTGCGTAGGCGCAGGCGAAACCAGTGAAAGAAGAAGAGGAAGCAACATCAGCAACTACCAGGAACAGCCGTTCGTTAGGGTAAAACTATAAGGCGATTATAAACGAGGCACCAACGGGCGTAATAAAAATTACAAAGCAACTAACGGCTACAGAAACAAAAATTAAAATATAATAATAAGCATACCGTTAATAATTTCATAGAATGAATCAAAAGGGAATCGGTGTAAAACATTTGCTGGCTGCATTAGCTTACTTTACTGCTATGCTTCTTATTATTGTTGTTTTTGTTGTTGTTGTGCAAGGTTATGAATGAAAAGCTTTTTCAATTCAGCTTCTGTTGGCCCTTCGGCAACATTTCCGATTGTGTCGCAGCTAAAAGAGCTTCGCATGGAAAGAAAACCTTGACAGGCCGTTAACAAGGCATTAAAAAGCTCTGCGAAAAGGGGGAGCAGCAGCAGCTGGTTGGCAGACATAACTAAGGCTGACTATTGAGGGATAATTGTTGGCAATTGTGGGCAGACTTTATAGCTGATATATCAATACTCATATGTAAGGTTATACGAACTGTTTAATTTTCACGTCCTTTAAGCTTTTTGATGGGATTTTGTAATAAAATGTCCGACATTGACTGCTATATGTGTTTTATTGTTATTATTATTAATTAAATATGCATTTGAATTGGTTATAAAAGCATTCTCGCATTTGAACTATGATCTTTAAATTGTGAAGGGAAGCTTTTAGCTCGTACACAAACCTCAGAAGCAAGCCGATATTCAGAGAGCGCTACTTAAGAGTTCTGTATGCTAAGAGCATTGATATTTCTCTTTTCGCTTTGAACAGCTGATCAAGTGTTTGCCGGCTAAGCATTTTATAAATACAAGAGCCGAAGACAGAGCGTGAAACAACACGAGACAGCGAGAGAAAGAGCGAGACAGAGAGCGTGAGTTTGCCATATCACAAATGCTAACCGGAACTTTTTTCGCTGCATGCGAGGGATGTCACAGAAGTCTTAATGTAATTATACATTTAAATGAATTGAACTGAATAACATATATAACTAACTTACTTATATGGAACTTAAATAATTGGGTGCAGAGAATAGCCATAATATCTTTCAACTTTTATAGAAAATATGTAAAGAATATATATTTTGATCTAAAATATATCATATACAACTCAAGTCAAAGTTTGTATGGGACTGGACATGTATTTAAATTTAAGTACATTCATTCAATTCAGATGACACTCAGACTACTTCCACTTGCAAATTTTCGCACTGCCCTCGTATTTTTTTGCTTGTGTGCGTGTAAATCGACCAATTGGACGACCGACTCGACGCTCATAAATATAAAGCCGCCTTTGCAAAAATTTTGAAGTCAGTTCGCAGTTTGGCAGCAAAAGAAATCGACGTGAGATCGCGGCGTGTTTACATTAGCAGCGCGTGTTATTTACATTGCTGTGTGTATCCCTCTCTGTGCGTGTGTATGTGTAGTATTTGCGAGTGTGTGTGTTAAGTGTCTGCGTTTATATTTAATGTTAACATCGAATGTGTCTTTAAGTAGCGCATTAAATTAAGTCTCTGACTGTGACTCTGACTCTGACTCTGACTCGGGAAAATCATCGAGTTATATAAAATTTTGCAATTGCGTTTTGCGTGTTCTGACTAAATTAATTACAAAATGAGCAACGAAAGGTAAATGTGAAAGGCGATTTACAACAACAATTACAAGAAATTATTTTCACAAAACACAAAAAAAGTGAACAGACAACTGTTTGCCCCAGTCTGCTCAGCATATTCAACTAAATAGACTTTAAGCCGTGTCTGACAATAACTTTTTTTCATTTCACATTGAAAAAAGATCTCAGTTTTAGGGTACTCGACCGACCAGTTTTGCTTAGTCAGCGCTCACTGTAAATGCTTTGAGCTGCTGATAACACAGCCATATGCTGATGAGTCTGTTCAAAATGTAACAAAAAATATATAAATAATTCAAAATATACAAAACATTTGAATAATCTGTCTAGACTGGGAGCAAATCTATGCATAGTAGATTTTGATCAATTGATTACTTTATAATTATTGCCTAATCTAGAGTTTGACATTGTCGATTTGTTCACTGATAGCTGATAGCAACAAGTAGTTGAGTGTAAATTGTTATGGGACAACCAGATAAGATATTTGTATCTATTCTGTGGAAACAAGACAATCAATTGCAGCGAAACAGCACATGAGAAATGCAGCTATAAATAGAAATTGTTGACTATAAAAAATCGTGAGTGGAGATTGAAAGATTTCCTTGAGCTATACTTTGCATCACTTGAGCAGATATTGAGACAGTTATCTGCGGGATCTGTTTACATGAGATACATTTTCTGTGAAACTCAAGATTTGAGTTCCAGACTGATTTTTTTGATGAAGTGCTGTTCATGTAAAATTATATAAATATTTACTTTATATGTATTCCGATGTATTTGCACAATTTGAAAGAAAAGTATTTCTCTTGCTGAATGAAATTGTATATAAAATATATACCTTTGCCTTCGGTAATAAGGCGAATGTTTCTCAATACCAGTTGAAATCTTATTCAAAAGGCATTAGCACATTTTAAAGCATACAAAAGTACTATCAATATTATTTATTATGATAAGTATTATACAAATATATATGTCAATTCATGGAGCAGCAGTTTCGAAAATCAATTATGCGAACAAAAGTAAACACCATCAAGAGCAGTTTTTTCAGTTTGTTGTCAGGTTAGTTATGCCATGTGTTTCGACTCTGATCAACGATGACTTTCGATAATACAAATTTGTCTATTTGTTGTTTAATAAAAGTACAACTGTCTATCATCCATCAAGATTTGATATCTATCATTTGGTTATAAAATATATTTATTTATTATATTTATTATCTAATACAAATAAGACTATGAGCAGGTCAAAGCCATCTAGACTTTTTTTTGTATATTAAGTGCAATATAATAATAAGTGTAATATATTTGACTTTTTATGAATTTAATAATTAGGTTTTGACTGGAGGTTTTTTAGTATAAAATTAGAATCAAGAATGTGTTACAATAGGTACAATTGGTAGACTAAGGCATGTCAGCTTAGGCAAATATATATATTCTGTATACCATTTATTATCATATGTAAGTCGTATCAATGTTAATAAATAATTGGTTTATTGTAGCAGATGTTTAAGTAGAAGTTTTGAGTATAGACTTTCTGCTGGTTGGTACCCGTGTGGAGTCTTTTGTTACATGTAAGATATATTCCTTTTGCTATATAAATATATATCATTTGTTATTTAAAATAATTTCTAAATTATTTTAAATTTCATTGAATTCATAAATATATGTTTTTCTTAATGATTTTCAAGGATTTTTGTAGATTCTATAATTCACTTAGAAAGCTACGAAAGCAATATAAACGAAAAATGATATTTGGGGAACTTTGATTATTTTGATTTGAAAAGATTTTCATATTGATTTTTAATCTCGCTAAAAAGCTGAGGGTGTCTATAAGGCGATAGCAGCTATTCGCGATTGAGCAAAGATCATCATCTATAGATAGACTGTTTGGTGATCTAACACGCTGTCAAATCAATTCAAATTGATAGAAATTATTGTCGCTGGCGCCAATTGAAAAAATTTGCTAAAAATTCCAGTTTAAGTCACTCGTAATTGGAAAATAAAGGAAATTTTTCTGATTGATAACAACTCGAATGCATTGCAAAACATTGTGAAATTATATTCCTAATTGGATATGGCTTTCGGCCGATTAGTTTTCAATTTATATTGATCGATCTGAAAATGTGTAAGCAACTCCCAAAGACTGTAAAATAATATCTGCAAAACAGAAACATCTAATTGGATACAATTCTAGTTTACGCTGCCTCGTTTGCTTTAGTAATTAACAAATGAATTTGAAGTTGTTAATTAGTGCGATACGGCGAGTTCGAGTATCTACTATCAAACTGCTTTATATATACACACATAAATATACACTTATAAATAATGTTGTACAAATTCCCACGCTGCACAGCAGTTATCTTATCAGTGTAGGCCTTTGGGCAGCGAGCTGTGCAATTTAATTACGCATACGCCGTGTATGGCCGCCATGACAACAACAACAGCTACAGGAACAGCAGCAGCGAGGCGCTAATGACTATGAAATCAATGCGCTTCCATTGTATATATAAATTAATTATGAAGGTACACATGTATATCGCGGCATATATATTTACAGTTGGTCTGCGCTCGCATATTTTTTGATGGCTGCGTAATTGGTTCAATTAGTTTGGCAAGCCGCAAAACAGCTGAAGTTTGACTACTGTAAATATCTCAATATGTCCAAAAATGATATGTATATAAATGTTCGTCTTTTATCAATTGTCTAATTGGTGTGGTCAACACAGAAACTTGTTCGATTCACACTTGAAACACTTCGCTTCCAGCTTTCCCATTGACATCAATCACGCTGTTGATTGATTAACATCGTGTGATTCTTAAATTTGCAGCTTGTGCCATTTACTTGTTTCCAGCAAGCAGATCCTCTCTAATCCATTGTATCAACTTCAACATTGTCATTGAGCTAAATTGGAACATTGAACTGTTTTCTTTATCAGCACTTCCTCAATGTTTCACCGAAACATAACTCTGCACCTCTATTGATAACACAAGTATTTGGGAATTTGACGTGGCTTTGTTTATTTTCTATAATCTTTTATATGCAATTCACGCTTAGTCGTTTATTTGGCTCGGTCAATGCTATAAATGTGCTCAAGGTTCAAGATTGGAGCCTATTGGCCCCTTCGGCGAAACACTTTGTTTCAGAATTTAAATCCTCTTAACAACAATAATTTGTTGCTTGCCTCATTCCTCAGTACAATTTGTTTCCAATTTTATTTATTTAAATGCTTAAATTTCGTAAAGTCGAATGAATAATTTGTGACAGTGTTATTGACATCGTGCCGATCAGGCGTTCATAAACAGTAGAAAAGTACCCAATTCCTGGTAGAAATAAATTCACAAGCATTTCAAGTATACTCGAAGAGAGTCTTAGCGAAGTGTGTCACACGCGCTTCCTTATCATTCATGATGGACAGCTAAAGCAATTCGTGTAGTAAAGAAAACAGGTGAATCAAGGTTAGTTTTGGCTTCGCCTTGGCAACCAAAAGTTATTCGCATCACACGCAGCTGTTCAGCCAAAACAATGCAACAAAATGAAACACAAAAAAAACAATAACAAAAATATTGTTGATAATAATTATTTTCGCCAAGCAAAATAATTACAAAACGCAAACAAAAACAAATAGCGATAAATTAAAAAAAAATGTGACAGCCAATTAGGCAAATCGAACAAAAAAACGTGCCCAAAAAACAGAAAACAAAACGCGCTGCGAAATGCCGCTAAAATTGTTATTGTTTTTTTTTGGGTTCACTTTTGTTGTTGTCTTTTGGCTGTGGCGCCGCATGGCATTTGTGTTTTTTTTTGCTTATCAACCAAAAAAAAGTAAATAAGACAAACGAAATAAAATAAAAACAACAAAACCAAAATTCCGTCACATGGCTTTTGAGCTTGTGACGTATACGCACCGTACGCCGAGTTGGCTAATTGTGTCTGGCAGCTATTGCCTGGCTTTTTGTTGCTGCATTGCATCTGAGTCACCTAAGCAAATACTTACAACTAGAATTTACCCTGATTTACAATCCAGATGATATAAAACTCAAAAATAAAATGGGAAATAATATTCCAAGTCTAGAATACTGAAATAATATATTATTATAGGAAAAGATTGCTGAGGAACATAAGAACATAAATTGTATAAATTTTAATTCTGGTTATTAATTTATATTTATTTAGTAATATTTATTATTAACTAGTGATGCGTAACATCGATATTTATCGATAATAATTAGATTAGACTTAAGCAACGTATGTATATCATTTGAGGAGTTACTGATTGAGGGAGAGGATGAAATGATGAGAAGGGAAAATAGAAAATATTGATGCACAAGTGAATTGTTGCGAGAGATTTTAAGTATTCAAGATTTGACTGATTTTATTATTAAATATCTTAGTCTTATATACCTAAATTACCTAATTGCCTAAGCCTAAGTATAACGAGCTGATTCTCCAATCTGGAGTCTTGCATAAGAACAGATCTGATCTCGATCAAAATTATTTGTAAGTTCTCAGTGCATCCTTTGGCAAGCTTTGCGAACTCACTTTGCTATCAATTCATTCAAGTTAAGTCGTAAAGTTCTTCGAATTCATTACCCTTGAGTGTAGGTCAACAAAATGTTTGCTGCATTTTTTAAAGCTTTGTTTGCAAGTCGCTAGAGGAGGCTCCTTTCGTGCGGAGCTTTGCTATTGTAGGTTGTCCTGTTTGATGGCTTAGCAAGTGTCGACTGCTCGAACTGCAGTTGAATGACATTTAAACCAGTTAAAATACGCTTTAACTTAAATTGCTTATCGAACTGGCTGTTGTTTGTGGAGAACTAATATAAAATATTATAATTGTGTTACCTGAACTTTGATTTGAGTGTGTTATGTGTGATAATTAAATATAGCAATAACAACTGTAAAATATTCGATTTTAAATGAAAATGTAAACCCAATTAAAATTTAAATTAAAATAAAAATAAAAATAAAATCAAATAAATTCGTGACATTGAAAAATGAAAAATATTCAATTTAGGTTTATTAGCTGCTTGCGCCGCTTTCAATAATATCCTTTGCCATATTCTGGGACAGCAGCTGGAATGCTTTTATGATCCTATTAAAGACACAGCATGCCAATAAAACCATTTCACGAGTTGTATCTGTGATGTCAGATGACATCACAATGACAACGAATTGCAGTCTCAATTGATTTGTCAACTATTTAATTGTTATTATTGTTTCATTTATCTTTCTCGACGCAGGGATGAGGAGTACAGCAAAATCGTGCCACAGAAGATGGCATATCATATGGTGCCTGGCTCGGAGTTCCAGTGCAAAGTGCCCATGTCCATGTCGATGTCCATGTCGATGCCGATGTCGATGTCGTCGCACAAGGTGCGCAAATTGTCGACCATCGATGAGCAGGATTACGATGCGGCCAATCGTCGAGGCATGATTAATCAGGTACAATAAATACTATGAAAAAAAACGAAAAAAATATGCTTGCTTCCAAGAAAAACAGGTTTGGGAGCCGATTTACCTCTTCTTCAAACAACTTGCAAAAGCTTTAAGCTCTCTCAGGATGATTAACTTTAAGAGAGAGTCGCGCTCTTTCGGTGCTCTGCTTTATAGCAACTTTTATGGGCTGTCCTTGAAAATGAAATTCAGTTGAATTGAACAGCTTTGCTGTTGTCAGCAGCAGCAGCAGCAGCAATAGGAGTAGGTGTTGCAGCAGCAGCAGCTGGTTTGAGGTACAGCAACTTAAGCAGCTCAAAGAGTTCACGTGGGCATTGCGATAATCCAGTCAAGGAGTTAAATAGCTGCGCATTCTAGCAAATTGCACCTGTTCTAGTCAGTCACTAAAACAGACAGATGCCTGTTTAATAGCTGCAAATAAATAACAAAAACAAATACAGACAGAAAAGAACAGATTTCAGGTGCCAATTAAGCCCCTTCGTAGTAAAAATGTTCAGATGTCCATCAAAGTTGACAGCATTACAGTGAAGCCGAAATGCCGCTGTTTCCACTCCAAAAAACCATAAATCAATCAAACTATTTATAATCACACGCAGTCGCAGGGAATCATAAATCAATTGATTGCAGATATCAGTCCATTATATAATATTTATAACTATGAAAACTATTTGGAGCTGACTTGTGAGTCAAGCAGTAATTTAATCATTTTCGGTTCAGCTATATCTATCTCTTTCTCTCTTAGATTTATCATCGAACTTGATTGAGTTTAGCTTTATATTTGAATAATTTGTTATTGAACTATTTCGTGCTTCTTTTCCCTTTGTCTGTCTCTCTGTCCCATCTACTATTTTCCTCCCTCTCTCTCTCCCTCTTTATCACTCTTTGGGCTCTTATTGTCAATTCAAGCAACAATTCAATCATTTAGGGTTGAACTCTCTCTCTCCCTGTCTCTTTTCATCTATGTAAATCTATCTCTTTCTTACTCTCAGATTTTTCTCCCTCACCATGGCTGTATCTATCTACCTACCCTACCCTAGCATTCTCTTTCTGCAGATCAATCATTCTAGATTGCAAGGTCTTCCCCGTCATTCACTTCTCCCTCTCTCTTGCTCTTTCTGTGACCTCAGCCTAACATAGTGAACAGCCTCTAAAGCCCTTAAATCTTACAATGTATATTTAAAGAGTAAATTAATATCTAATCAGGCATAGCGAATGGAAGCTATGCCTGATTAAATATTAATAAGAGGAGTACTTTAGGTGTTTCACCACATCTTGGAAAAGAGTTTGCGAAGTCAAGGCCAAACCGCTTCTAGCTTTTCTCTTCTATCTCTTAACCAATTACGCCAATTACTAGCCATGACGATGTTTCGCACAAGCTAATTGTGAAGGACACAATGATAAGATATAAATATAAATATGACACGGAGCCCATGTGGAAGACATGTGACGTAAATTAAGGCGAATGAAATTCGACGTCACAAATGAATGCTGAATGCCTACGAGAGTGCATATTCGATTGCTTTCTGGCAGATTTGAATGACAGGCACGCAGACATGCAGAACAAGTGTGTTTTGTTTCTCCGGCATAGATCGTTTATCACTATTGATACCTCAAGTGGAAAGCGGGTCAGTTGCATGTCAATCGCTGCTTTAATTGCAACGTGTCGCAACTTCAATTGCCGCCAATTGCTCGTCTTCCAATCAAATCGACATAAACTTGCAACAAAGTCGCTTCCCCATTCAATTAAGTGTCAATTGCAGTTATTGGCTCCATATCTCTAATAATGAACTGTAGCTTCATATGCTCTTAGTTTTGATAGATATATATATCAATGCATACAGATATGTATAATGAATCAATAAAGTTTTCTTCTGCTTCATTTGACGTTTCTTTGGCATCTTAAGAATCATTTAAAGTTGCATCTATTTATAGATCCATACATCTATTATTATTTTGTATTCATTTAATATAGCATTTTATTAGACTTATTTATTCAACTGAGCTCGGGTTTGCTCTTTATACATTGTAGTCAATAATCCAAATAGCTGGTGATAAAATGGATTCCTCCCATATGCCTGGCCGATCCTATTTAGTATATAAAAACTCTCATGAAACATACATAAATTTGGAATACTCCTCATTTTGATTTTAGATTTTTCTGAATTGGCTTTTATAACATTCTTAATTGCTTTTCCAATGTCTTCATAAAACATTTAAAATCGCTTCAAGTTCAAATCAGTTTGCAGCCTCGCTAAATACGGCTTTTATTTCCATAAATATTCTCTATATTTTGAGCTTGTATTTTTATATATTCTATATGCTTGTCTGTCTATATACTATTTGAATAATTTTGAATTGATATTTCTTTTTATCTCCAAACAGATTCTATCCACTTGCGCTGTTCTTTTGCTCTCTGCTGGATGTGGCATGCCCATTGGCTACTCAGCGGTTCTGTTGCCGCAGCTCAGCTTGAATTCGACGGAGGTGCCCATAGATGTTAGCACTGGATCTTGGATAGGTAATATTGCACTTACGATAATAGAGCTAAATATATAGTGCTAAATAGGTATATCTTTGGTTAAAGGTATCTATCTATCAGTTGAATACCCTTAATCGTATATCAAAGTCAAATACAATGGATATTCGATATTCCATTCACTTTTGTTTCCTTTTCTATTTGTCTATCTATATATTAAATATATAATATAATAATATATATAATATATATATAAACTCTCTTAGTAGCAGTACTGAAGTTCTAAGGACAAATAAATTAAAACTTTTTAGTTTCTTCTAAACAATACAAAGACTTTTCAGCTGTAGTCAGTGAAATCATTATGATAGCTTGATGAAACTTAAAATAATGAATTTATTTCGCTGCAGTTAAGGAATTTTTATGACTTTGCAAATAATTAAAAAAATAGTAAATATACAAAAAGGCAATTTAATTTAATTGAAAATAGTTTTCAGCTAATGATTTTTGATCGCACTCTAATTGATCTAATTATATGTTAACTATATTTCATCTGTGTTTACACCTTCTTTACTCTTCACAGCCAGCGTACACAGCTTGGCCACGCCGTTTGGCTCGCTAATCTCTGGACCACTGGCCGATTACTTGGGCCGTCGCAAGACGCTGCTGGTATCGGTAATACCCCTGTTCCTGGGCTGGAGCACAATGGCTATGTCGAACTCGGTGAAGGCTTTGATATTTGCGCGTTTCCTCTGCGGCTTTGCGACTGGAATTCTGGGTGGACCCGGTCAGGTAATAAAGGCTGACCAATGCCAACATCGCAAAGTTCATTCACTTGACACATTAACCAGATTAATACACATGCATATGGCATAAGTCCACAGCCCTGATACCCCAGCAGGAATTGTTGTGCTGCAAACGCCGCAGACAAGTATGTGACAAAAAAGCAAAACACAGCTGCCGGCTGTCGCTTGTCGCTTGTCGGCTGTCAGCTGCCTGTCAACTGCTCACTTAATTCCATTGTTCCGACTACAATCGAGTGCTCTATTGTGTCGTATGTTAATCCATAATACGACGTCTCGCTCTCTCTGCCCTGTCTCTGTGACTCGTCTAAGTGAGCAGCTCAATTTTCGCACAGCCGGCATTTGTTTATTTATCTTATGGATATGTCCATGACTTATCAAGCGGCCAAAATGATAACGAAAGCGTCTTCCAAATGCGTCGCAGTCCATTTGCATTAGCAAATCGCTTTCCGCACACACAACATCAAGTTCCGGATTCTTGACCTTAGTCTATAATAAGTTTGTTGTTGCCAGCTGGGCGCAGGCATGGACCGAGCGGGGGTGGTTGCGCCCCCAAACAAAAACTTGTTGCGCGTGTGCCTCGAAAAAGTATTTCATTAATTGTCGTCTGCGGCAGTGGCTGAAGATTTATGATTTTATGATTAAGCTTCAGATTATGTTGATATAGCTGCTTGATATTTTTGTGACCCTGTTTGCCATTCAGCTTGATCAAATTGTTGTTTATACACCACAGAGAGCGGCTGCTCCACCATTAAGGGAAAGCTTTTGTCGTTTGTGGACTTCTCGAGAACTTGTGCGAGGTCAAGGTGGGTTGCGCATTCTCTACTTCCAGGAATTAGTCACGAGCTCAGCTCGCCTAGTTGTGGCAACTACATGATTTAATAGTTACTGCTGTTATGAAAGTAGGCGATAGTAAATAGCACTTGCGTCTAGTTTTCGATTCCCAGCGAAGCAGCTGACAGTTAGTTTGACCTATTAAGAGAGGCTTCTCGGCCGTGTTTTATCAGTTATCAGTCGAGTCGTGCCATTCATATTGAGCTTCAATTCATAATTAGCGATTCATTCATTCAATTGAGCTCTACACCTAGATTTTAAATATCATTTTGATTGACCTATTCAGCTGTCAATGACTAGACGAAACTATAGATTATGATTATGAATGTAAAACTAGTTACTGCGGACTGAGTAAAGTGATTGATTCGGAAACAATCGATTGAACTTAGTCCCCAAATTGAAATAGAATTCTCGTTTATCAATTGAAGTTAACTCATTATAATGAACATGATATGGCTTTCTATCACAGGCAGTACGTTTGACCTAGTTCCTTTGTCAGGAAGTCTCGCACTTGCGTCACTCAATAGATCATACTCTGCTATAACTCGGAAGAAAATGCAAAGGAACAAGGCAACATGGATAAACTATTTCATAGTCGTTTATGATGCTTGTTGTGGGTAATCATTATATGATAATTGTCCTGCTTCGCTAGCCAATGCACATTATGTCATGAAAGCTATAGATCAAAACTAGGTCGGCCACTAAAGAGAGCATCTGTCATTGTCCCTCATCATATCCTGCAAACGTTATGCAGAAAAAACAGGTTGAGTCATTGAAAATTAAATAAAACTGCAACATAATTTTTTAAGCGCGCTGGATCAGAATCCGAAGCCGTATAGCATATAGCCCTAATACTTCAGGTGTTCGATATATACCAAAAGTGCAAATTTATAATATTTTGACTAGATTTTTGGTGCTGAAAAAACAATAATTTTAGCAGAAAACTGAAGGAAAATTGAAAGCTGCAAATTTGATCCTCGCTTGGTTCGCTTATAGCTTATTCTTTATCATTGACATCTAGAAGAGGATACATCCCATAAGCTCTTCTACATTCTTCTGATATTTACCAGAAAGTACTAAAATTTTCATAAATCCAATTAATCTTTCTTCCCAATCAGGTGTACATAGCCGAAACAGCTGAGCCCAATCTGCGCAGTCTGCTCATTGGCGCTCCGTATGTGGCCTATTCCTGTGGCATTCTGCTCGTCTATTCGCTGGGCACCGTTCTGTACTGGCGCGACGTGGCTTGGTGTGCCAATATCTTACCTGCTTTGGCTGTCATCTCCATTTACTTCATACCGGAGACACCAGCTTGGCTTCTGCGCAATCGACACGATAAGCGGGCGCTGCAGGCGCTCACTTTTCTGCGTGGCAGCGAGATCACCGCCCAGAAGGAGCTGAACGATATGAAGGTTCGCTTGGAGAAGGAGCGCGCTACGACCAACACGAATGAGAACATCTTTAAGCTCTGCTGCCAGCGTGTGGCCATTAAGCCGCTGTTCATTGTGGTTGTCTTCTCGCTGCTGCAAATGTTCTCCGGCACCTTCATCGTGATCTTCTATGCCATTGACATCGTGTCTGAGTTCGGAGCTGACTTCGATACGAAGCAGGCGGCCATTTGGACAGCGGCTGTGCGGGTGGTCTGCTGCATGATCTTCTGTGGTATCTTGATCTTTGTGCGCCGACGTCTCATCATGATCCTCTCGGGCATTGGCTCGGGCGTCTTCTGCCTGGCTCTAAGTGTGTTTATGTATATACGTATGGATCAGCCCAAGATGCCTTACGATGTGCTCGTGGCTGGTGGCTGCCTCCTCGGTTACATAGTGTTTAATACGGCTTTGATGGTAATGCCGGGCATCATGATCGGGGAACTGTTTCCCGCACGTATTCGTGGGCGCACGGCTGGCGGAGTATTTGCCTCGATGAATGTGGCTCTTTTTATCTTTGCCAAGGGCTTTCCGGCGCTCCAGGCGTTTCTGAAAATGCGCGGAGTCTTCCTTGTGTTTGCCGCCTCCAGCTTTCTGCTGACAGTATTCATGTGCCTGTTCCAGCCGGAGACAAAGGGTCGTAGTCTGGAACACATCGAGGACTACTTCAATGGTAACAATTGGCTCTGGCTGAAACGCGATCGTGGCTACAAGACGGTCAAGCTGCTGCCACTGGAACCGCTGGTTGAGAATCGCCCACTGCAGCGCAATGTAGAAAATGCCTAAGCATAGGATTCTTTTTTATTTAGTTTTTAAACAGGACTCAAAGATTCCATAATTTGTTAGCTAGTATTATGCGTAGCTTCTAATTACGTTGGAGTACCTCGTAGCAGTAATCTTAGTGCCTTTCCAGTGTTCCTCAGCAACTCCTATATATCACCAAAAACAAATATTTTGAACTCAATTTCTGTTAATTTAACAAATGTGATTTTTGCAATTATGCATTAGATTTTTAAAGTCTCGACATAGAATACATATGCCTTATTTGTACGATAATATGATTAGCGATAAAAATAAAATATTAGCAATAATCTGATGTGGTTTTAAATTTATTGCGCCAAATGAATGCCTCAACGCAGCCAGCTTCAAGGTACATGCAGCTTAAACTATCGGCTTGCCGCCACAAATTGGTTGTTTTTTCTAACTAAAGGCACACTTGCTTCATTTGTCTAGCCCAACCTTGTTTGTCTTTATTAAGTTTGTAATGTGCGCATTGTGCTTTAAAATTGAATATTTAAGTTAAATGATGGTTTGTTTCACTTAATTTTTCACTTAATTGGTGCTGCCAAGCTGTTTTTTCTCATTTGAATGTCGGCTATGGGGGTGCGCTGCCAGACTGTTTGTTTTATATAGACTGTGCTTCGTTAGGTATGTTCGGATTATCCGACCGCCACAGTTTCGTTAAAGCTCAACGATAAAGCTCTTAAAGCTCTGCTCAGTTTTCAGCGCACTTTAGCAACTGCTGAATTTATTTTTAAATAATTATAACGTTCGTTTAAAGATTATTAGTGTTTAAAATATACAGATTTCAAAACGTTTCTTTAAGAAATACTTAATGGAACGAATATATAAATGAAAGAAATTACATATATTACAGATGAGTTTTAAATCTTTCGTTTATATCAATATTTGAAATTTGTATATTTTCAATTCGAGTTTTTTTTAATGTGCAATTGCAATGGCCTATCATACTCTAGTAATTATGTAATTTGAAATATGCTGGACAATAATTATCAAGGCTTTGACCTGCTCCTTCTTTTCGTTTTGTCCAGAAGTAACCCCATTGTGAATGCGGGCACTCAACTTCCAACTTACGTACAACTACTCTATACATTACGTAAAATAAAAATGCCCCACGTGATGTTTAATTTTTAATAGACTTCTCAGCGGCAGTCGAGTTGAACTTTGAAATTAAAAAAAAAAAATACAGAACTGGGCGTGCATGCATATTTAAAATTCTATTATCCCCATCAGTCCCCGGTTTTGATACTCGTCCTGCACTCGGTTCTCAGTGTGCTAATAAATTGTATAATTCTTGGCATTTTTTTTTCCAACTGCGCGCTTGTTTTGGCTCGACAAACTTGTGCCGTGTATTTTCTTTGTGCATTCCTTGGTGGTGGCAGGTGGTGGGGTTGCTCGCTGGCGCGCCGGACAAGTGGGCGAGCTCGAGTGGGTAGGTGCTACTAGCCGGAATGCAGGCGAAAAAAATTGCTGCGGCATACCGGAAACACTTCAAGTTGCTGAGCTCATTCGTCTCTGCGATTTGTTGGCATTTTAACGCGACCAACAAGTTGGACTGCCCATCGGGTGTGGCCGAATTTGTGCATACCCAGTAAATAGAATTACCCCCGGAAAAAAAAATTTATATTGAAAATTATTTGGTTCCATTAAGTATGAAAAGCACATAATACTCTGGAAACATTTGAAGAAGTTTGAAAGGTGTAAAAAGATTATAGAAATAATCTTCGAATATTTAAAATGCTATTGAATAGATTTATCGACTGAAGTTATCTACATACTCATATAGATTTATAGAGGTCTAGTTTAAATGATGAAATCTATATAATATATGTATATTAAGGAGGTGATCCTTTGATTGTTCTTTGCCAAACGAATCTAAAGTTATTTGTACACTTTAGACTCGTTTGTATCATACAGGCGGAAGATTCAGCGCATATCCTGTAAGATGCTGAGTACAGGGTATAACGACATAGCCAGCAATAATTGTACCGAGTGCTGCGCGTCAGCTAAATATATAGGGACATGACGGCCGAGGGGACGTTGAATGTTGCATAGTGGGCGTGTTGCCTGCTCATGCAATGATAAATGAAGTTTTAGTGGCTTTTGACCCATTTAATAAATTGTTAAAGTTGAAAAATGCGCAAGAATATTGTAAACTTTTGTACATTAACTACATATATATATATATATAAATAAATAAATATATATACATCAATTTGTTGTTGCTGCTGTTGGAATTAGGGTTAATTTAAAAGTTACTCGCAAAACTGACCCTTGGACTGCGAACTGAAGTTGTTGCTGTTGCTGTTGCTGCTGTTGCACTTGTTGTCCCTAGCTGCTATGCTGCAAAGTTTTTTGCTGTTGGCCCACTTTTTGCAACAGCCAAAGTTGCGGAATTTTAAATAATTTTGTTAAATTCTATAACGTGCCATGCTGCACGGCTCAAGCCTAGGCTTCGTTACCTCACCACTCCGCTCAGCTTCAACATTGCCCAACTTGGCCAACTTGGCTGCTTATTAAGTTAGAGATGACAGTTTTCAGTTTTCAGTTAATGTGATTATGCGTCCGTTTTAAATGCAATTTAATATTTTAGTTTTCATTTTCGTTTTCGTTTCATTTTCAAAGTCTCTAAAATATGCACAATAAATATGCGGCGCTCTTCTTGGCTTGGCCTGGCTTGGCGTTCAGGTCAGCGTGTGCTTCAGCCATAATAAGCAGCATAAAAGGCTTCTTTTTGTTTTGGACAGGGACAAAGCTGCCAGCACCGAGACTCTTGTATATATACACATATAGCTGTAAGTCTTGCGTATAAACAATTTTCTATTATGCAAAAATAACAAGCGAGAACAACAAAAGCAACAGCAATAACAACTTGAATGGATTTCTGCATAAGAAAAGCACCGAGCGAAGTTGAAGTATGGCCAAGGCAGCAGCAGCCAAAGCAGCTAAAAAACAGAGTTGCAACCAGTTCGACTTATAACAGCAAGCCTTTTGTTACCCTCTCCTAGACACTTCTCCACCAACAAAAAAGTTGCGCCATCGAAACGATATTTCCTATGCGCTACCAAGAAAATATAGCATTCATTTTGTTTTAATTTATATTATTATTATTTGACTATAAAAGTTTATTCGATTTTATTATATATTCAATTTAATTAAATTTATATTTCTATATTAGAACAAGGAAAAATATCATACTTAATTTATAATAATAATTATTTAAGTAATTTTAGTAATGTCTCTATAAGACTTATATTTATTATTATAAATACAAAAACAGTTTTCAAGTTTGTAGTCCACCTAAAATTTTTTTTTAAATATTTAATATTTCCTTTAATTAGACCCAATAAATCTTAGCTCTATATTTTTTAAATTTTTAAATAATCTATTAGAATAGCAGCTTATATTATTTCTGGTTTACATTTCGCTAAGAATATTTTTTTAGTTTTAGAAAATAAAAGTTTAGTAAATAATATTCTTAAATTTTTTTTAGATTATTCTTATTTTATTTTAAATGAAAACTGAAATTAGTGAGGAATTTTAGAAATTATATAACATGGTAACGTTATATAGAAACTGAATATATTTCTTTAAAAATTCAAGAATTTTATTCAATTTATCTGAAAGTCTAAAAGTCATATATTATACAAAATTTCTTATCGTTCCAGGTTTTAAGATACAATGATAGAAGCTTTTGAATCTTTAATAAATATATTTAGTTTTACATTATAATTATTTTCTATATTATTTATATAAATAATACATAAAATGTGAAGCTGAATAACATTGATTCCTCTGTTGTTGGGTGTTTAATATTTATTTGGTTCAGTTTTGAAAGCTTCTCTAGCTGGTTTGGATGTATGCAATTACGGCGTAACTAAAAGTTATTTTCTCTTCCAAACAGGCCGAATAAAAATGAGATAATTTCGTTGGTTGTGCGTGTGAAGCATTATGCAACATGACCGCAGTTGCTAACTAACTGCTGAAACTGAAGTTACCTCCGTGACCCAAGTCAATGCAAATGGCGTAGAGCACTAGACACACACCCACGCACCCACCCACACGCACACCCACAGCTGGATACACAGAGTAGATTGTGGGGGCAACATTTGCAAGTGAAGCCACAAGAACAGCAGACGGCACTGAGACGCGCCACAGCCACAACAGTGTATATAATGCTAAGGAGTTAGGCATCCACCCAACGCCCGCGCCCACTCTCAAACTACGCCCCCGCCCCGCCCACCTGCTGTGATCTGTGCTGCTGCAGCCACAGGATGAAGCAAAAACGCAGTTGTCGCTGGGATAGCGAAAAGTGCTGAGCATAAATAAGACATTTGCGAGTGTAAGCACACACCACAACAACACCAACAACAGCAACAACAACAACACTGAATGCTCGAGTTAAGCAAGTTCGACTCAATGATACTCTGTATTATTCATATATACTCTAATAAATATACTCTAAATTTACCTTTACCTTTGTTGCCACAGATTGCTGCAAATAAAATTGAAAGCGCGTAAAATATCTAATTAGTTATTTTCAAATTAGAATATACAAATGGAATATACAATTCCAATAAGAAGCGAATTGTTATTCAATAAGTATTTTTTTTATAGATATATTATTGACTGAGCTGTAGGTAAATATAAATATAAACATATAAATATATAACTATTATATATTAAACTAGTTATTCTGTTTATAGAAAGAGTGTTACCAGCAAGCATCTGCTATTACTAATAAAACCTATCACAAGCCCAAATGAAGACTCGCTATTCTCTAATCATCTTTAATCAATGCCTCTAATCATCACAAAATCCAAGTCACCAACATCATTCAATTTCAAATCATCAACAATCAACATCAATCAAGGATAATCAATCACGAATTGCCCATTTGGCAAGCTTTTGACTTTTTGAATTTAAATAAGAAAGCTTAGCCTGAGTTTTACTTACAAAATTCTGTGTAAATAAACTGCTTTTGATATCAACTAGTGCTGCTAAAACACCATTCTAATATTGATCCATTTAGTGCTAGTAATTTAAAGTTCGGGCTGCTGCATCGGTCGAGATACCCAACCTTTTCGAACCCTTTTCAATGGGTACTGTCTCTAACAATAACAATGACTTGAAATAACTCTACACGCAACATTGAAATGTGGTGAAGTTGGCAACAAGCAGCTGCACTTGGAGTAGGGGTAGAAGCTGGATTTCCAGCAGGCCACGCAGGATCAACTGCAGCAGCAGCACCAGCAGCAGCA